AAATGTTTCAAACATCCACATCTACATTACTATCTACGCTGAGTTTTTTAAAGGATTTACTGTTTTTAGAATCCATCTAGTTGTGATGTAAGTGTAATTTTAATATATCATCTCATAAAGAAGTTTTAAGATCATGTTGTTCCACTTATTTTCTTATAATATATCTAGCATTACCTTTCATCATGTGCTTCTTCTCCCAAGTAAGAGCTAATGTTATTTTTTTGTCAATCTCAATCTATGTGCTATTTTATATATGGGAGCTTAAACCTACAATTCCCCAATTAACTAATAGATATCTTTAAGCTCGAAATATGTTGATAGAGAAAGTCATTGTGAAGGTTAAGGATTGCTAATATTATATTGTAAATTTTTCATTCTTGATAAAATTTTCTCTCAAGATTGAGTCTCAAACTCCAATCATTTTAAGCCTCTGTTCTTAGTAACCACCAAAGCCAACATAAATTTTTCTTGTAGAACTGTAGAGATCACCTTAAGAGACTAAAAGGTGCCATTCAATATTTTTTAAGCCTCTCAACATGGATGAAAAAGAATAGTACGACTTATTTCATATCATAAATATTTGGACACAAATCAAGTCAAGGATGTTTATGAAGTCTAGGACACACCGAATCATGGAACTCTTTGTCTAATATGAACTTATCCCATCTCTAAAAGGAGAATAAATGTTGTCCTGATTGAAAAATCCTTTGAATCTTGGAGTCAACCCTTGCTAGACTCCTTTTAGGGTACAAACCATTCTTGTATCCCTTTTTCTGGTTAGTAGAATTATGATGCAAAATGAAACATGAGAGAGAGAGAGAGAGAGGAAGAAGAAAATTGTAGGAATATAGGATACACCGACTTCCCATGGTTCATATAAACTTATGTCCATGGTCACTCATGCTACAACACAAATCCAAAACAAATTCAGAAATCACTAAAAAATCTGATTTAAAATCTGACTAGATGATCAAATTCTTGGAAAATATAAGATGCATCTCAAGGATAAAAACCTTAGATAATTGTATTGGCATATAGATTAAAAGATGAAAGAAGATACATGTAATATGAATCATCAAAAAATACAAATATAATCATGAATTTACTACATACCACTTCAAAAACATGCAAATACATACTTAATTAATACCAATTTTACATTAACTACATAAATACTAATTATTTATTATGTGAAATAGAGTATTAACTATATGGAATAGTTTTAACCGATTTAATTGATTTTATATGAAAGTATGTGCTGAAGTACAGTTAGGATGATGAAGGATAATTCTCATAGCCCATGTTAGGTGTTCCTTCAATACTAGAGTTTTTGTACTCATGCAAGCACAACACAGTGATTTACTTGTACATATATATAAATGTTTTACAACTATTAAGGATTCTTGAGACCAATAATGAAAAGTTTCTAAATTATTTACTTTACATGTCTCCATTGATAGTGTATGATCATTGCAATTAAGATTGGCCCAATAGGAAAGATAAAAATAGTAAATACTACTTTTAATGGGCTGGTTAAAATGAATGTCAAATTGATGCTAAATATTTAAGTAATGTTCATCTATGTAATGACTCTAATATGATTCTTTCAAACTAGTTATTTAACTTTAGAGGTAAAAATTAAAGAATTATGTCATTATTTTAATTCTGGTTATGCAACCATATAGGTAACAGTTATGTTAAACAATTCTTTTGATACTAGTTATGCAACTATAGAGCTTGTACCTGCAACCATATAGTTATGCAACTTTTACATTTCAGGAGTCACTGCACCTAATGGAAATCACCATTTCGAGGTGAAATAAATGAACAGAAATAAATGTGTGGAAGAGGAAATGCCCCATTGATCAGGTTGACAAATTTTATGCAGGCCATTAATAGTGAGAAGGCCTTCTGAGGTGCTGAAAAATAAAAGTTTCATCATCTCATTCAGTATATCCAACTGAAGAATTACTTTAATTTGGTGAATGCTCTGAGGGCCAAGATTACAAATTTATTCCTTAGGCTCTTCATTAATGTTCTCTAGAATCATTTCACATCTAGTGGAGTTTTACACCATTGTCTATAAACGTAGGAGGCTAACCTCAAATCATGTTAATTTTTGTGCTACTTTTTCTCTTGGCAGTTCTCTCTCCTCTTCCCCACTCTATTACACAAACCAATAGTGTAGTATTTTGCAAGTCCTAGAAAGCTTTTTCTCTCACAAGTTGTTATTACAGTTTCAATTATTTTTTTCTCTATGTTTTTTGTTATTATAGTGAAAAAAACATTAATAATGCAGTTCAAACTGAAGTGTTTGATGGAAAGTCAAAGAATTTCCACATCTAATAGTTGAAGATGTGCCTTTTTCTAGAACAAAAAATAACGAGTAAGATAAGGACAAACTTTAACAACTATAAGAGGAAAAAGAGAGAAGATTATATGAAATGTGTTTATAACATAATTTGACTAAAGTTACTGGATTATGTGATCCCAGATTATATATAGGAAGAGACTCTCACAAAATTTTAGCTCCATCTCAAGTCAAAGCACATAAAAATGTCCCTCACAAATAGGCTATTCTTGAAATAATAGTTATACACTGTACAAATTTTAGAATGCATACTCATTGATTATTATTCAAATGAGTTTATAAAGACTGGTATAGATTTTAAAATTTTCAGCATTAAAATTGATGATAACGATCAAGTTCTTATAATTTAATTTTCCTTAAATATTTCATATGAGTATTTAGTAGATATTCTATTTGTATGAAATTGATGATATGTTAGTGAAATATGTCAAAGGTTCCTTAAATATAACTAGTTAAATAAAAGAATATCACAATGAAAATAGAAAAAAAGGGTAGTATGATTCTTATAACAAAAATAGAGAAAAATAAGTTCCATCAATAGGGAGTTTGAGATCAAAATATAACTCAATAAAGAAATACGAATTCTATGAACGAAACTGAAGAGGACATGTCAAAAAAAAATTGTGAAAAACTAGATGAGAAAAAATGCTTCAAGATGGGTTTTCGTTTTGCACAATAAATGTTGTTCAAGAGGAAACTATTGAGTCCAAGATAAGTTTGTCAATCTCTACTAATTCTTCAGAAAATGACTGAACCCTAGATAGGAGTTGCATTGTTTACATGCATCCTCATTGGGACATCGGTAAGTAGGTGGTATTATAATATTAAGTGATTATAGTAAACTTTATTTTGTAGTAAACAGTGCAGTTCGAAACAAGATTTAGAATGATATCATCAAATTTTGAAAGTAGGTTGTATTCCAGGATTGAAGAACTTTACATCCTTAGGTACTATGCAAATATTAATATATCATTATTCATTAGAGAGTGAAATGCTGTAATATTCCAGAGATGTTACACCACAATAAAATAATATTATATAATGAATGAATATGACACTCTTGATGCAAGAAAAAAGTATGTTATGTGAAGTCTATCAAAGAAGTTTTTGGACTGATTTTTTCAATGTAACATCTTATTTGGGGAATGCATCTCCATCTATAATAATTGAGTTGAAAACTCTAAGGAGGTGTAGTCTAATTCAATTTTCAACTATTTTCAGTTATAGATCTTTAGTTGTTCTACTTATACTCATGTTACATGTGTTAGGTTTGGATCAAGGACAAAAATGTATATTTTCATTGGATATGCACAAATATATGGTGTGAAGGCATATTGATTGTAGTGTACTGATCCTCAATCACCCAACTTCTTTATTAAAATAGATGTGATATTTGATTAATCTATAATATTTCAAGGGAAAATCATTTAATGGCTGAAAATAGAAATTAAGTGGGTAACACATTAGAGGGGCTAAAGGTAAAACTATTAACAAATAATATAATATAAGAAGAGATAGTGTAAGTCTATGAAGTTATTCAAGAGAGCAGAATAATACAGCAAAAAATCTTTCAAAGATAATGCAAAATCGTGATAGTTAGACTAAATTATAACTTTTACTTTTTCTGGTAATAGATTAAAACTTTACAAAATAATAACACAGGGAAGCTAGTAAAAGTACCAAGGGGTCCTAAGACTGTGAGGTGTAAGTAGGTCTTGAAAAAGAATGAAACTGCTGTATTAAAGGCATATTGATGAAAAAATATTTTACATAATAAGAGGGTGTTGACTTCAATGTGGTGAGACATAAATTCAGATATTACTCAATATTTTTATTTACTCAATTTAAAGTTAAAATAGTTAGATTTTAAGACAACATTCTTGCATAAAGAGTTGGAGGAAAAAAATATATATATATATAGTTACCTAACAAAGTATAATGTGTACCTCTTGTTTAAATTTTTGAGTGACTTGGCACTATTTCTAAGGTAGTTGAACAAGAGGTTTGATATATTTATATTGAGTCATAATTATGTTAGAAATGATTATGATAGTTGTGTATATCACAAGAAGTTTAAATATTTTTATTTATCTATTTGTCATTATATATTAATGATATATTGGTTACTTTTAAGAATATTGATTAATTAAAATCTAAGTTGAACTTGATCTTATCCCAAATGAGTACGGAAATGTGGTCTGACATATAGGATGGAAAATGGAATGGTAGTGCATAATCCACCGGGACCTCGTTTCTCGTCGTCCGTCGTAGGTCCGATGTAAGAGGTCAAGGATAGGTAGCGTGTTCTATCAGAGCAGGTCGGCAACCAAACATGTTTACATTGCTAGTTCCTGCACACAGAAAGTCGCCTTCGAGAAGGGAGGGTTTGTCGGGTTGGTCAGTATTAGAGTTTCGTAGTTTAGTATCTTCTCCAGAACACAGGTGAGTAGCGAACGGCGACATCTCTCATTTATTTATACGTAAGAGGGGCAAACGAGCCAATAAAACCATGTGAGAGCATGTGGGTCACAAGTACAGTGAACAGCAGACCTATGCCATCCGATACGAGTTGGTGTGCCCGTATTGACTCTTGCAGTTTATTTATTCTCCATATGTTTGCCCGAAACGCTCAGCAGATGCGGATGCTCATGAAATCGTAATGGCCGCAGAAGCGGGTCTCCTTGCTGAGGCCGAAGGAGGAACCGTCGCAGTGGGAGCCGGTGTAAAGCCTTGCCTTCTGGCCCTCGGTGAAGACGAAGTGGTACCCTTCCTGGTAACCAGTAAGGCGGAAGCACCCGCAGCCAGTGGCGTCCATGGTTCTCCCAGCGCACCCAGGTCCAGAGAAGGCAGTCAGCGTGCTACCAGATGCCGGCGCAACGACCGCAGCTGCGATAAGCAAGGCAAGAACGGCAGCTGCCGCGGGTGTCGGGGTCCTGCCGATGGTTGCCATAGCGTGGGAAGGGTCGATGGAGAGTCGCAGGTTTCGGGTATGCGGGTGCAGTTCGAGTTGTGAGCTCCCCACCATAGCCCCCTGTTCAGTTTATAGGAAGATGATGGTGGAAAACCACTAGCTGGGATCAGAAATTACGATCTGGCTGCCCAGGAGTGCGTGGAATTCTTTGATGCCTTCGTCAGGAAGCGCGAATGTCAATTGTTGTAATCCGATTTGTATTTAATTTAATTTCGCCCAATGTTGTCTCTCAGTCTTATTTGGTGATTCGCCGACCAGCTGGCTTCCGTGTGCTTAAAGTTAGCCCCTGGAAGATTGGAGGAGAATAACGTGTGGGCAACCTCCCTTGGGAGGGTTCTCATATAGTCGACCCTTATCGAGTTCATCTGTCCGGTCAGCTTTGATAGATGTCATTCTTTTCCTTGTTTATCCTCGCAAGAGCCAATATATGACTCTCTGAGAGGGCTATTTACACGGAAGTTCGGCATTGATCTTGTCGACAGTACAAAACGAAGACAAACGTCTTAAAATTAACTGTTTGCTCTAATATCACGCCACTCTAAAATAATCCACTCACGACCACCTGAAAAATGCATAACTTTCAAGCAGAATGCGGGTGGACCCTTCTCCAATCGTCCTTTCCCTCGGTTCAATGCAACGTTCGGCGTACCCTCGCGCTAAGGAACAACGTCTTCATTTACTACCTTCTTGTCGATCAACAACGCAGCATTTCATCCTCGACATTAACGATGATCTTCTAGGAACCCTGACCACTGACATCCAAAGAAGTGAAAGATCTCAGCATTATGTGTAGGTGCTTATGGTATCCGCTGAATTGGTCATGCTTCCAGGATAATGAAGAACACGAGACGGTTTTCACGGAAAAAACATCCAGCGAATAGCATAGTATGGAGCAGGTGTCACGGACAGAAGGATAGACGAGAATAACATCTGTTAACCCCGGGAAAGGATGATGTCCATGCTCGGATGTGCGAGACTTGTCGACGTGCTCATTTGTTGCGAAATAGGGGATGATAAATTTAATCCCGTTTACACAAATTTCTACGCTCTGTAAAGCAAATCTACCGCGACAGTTTTGTTTCAGTATGATGGAACGGAGGTACACTGAATAGCGAGCCCAATTCGATTAACTAATGTTTGGAGGAGGATTTTCCGTTCACATCACTTCACGCGAGCGAGTCTTCGAGCAGCTTCCTTGTTGGCCAATATTTTACTGTGTGGATATTGCAAACGAGGATTGAGCTTAGCTGAACATGCGGATGCCCTTATAACTGCCCGGGACGCAACAGTCAGTCTCCTTGTGCAGGAGATAGGACGCGTCGTGGTGGTTGTACCCAGTGTATAGCCTGTTCCCTGGTCTTCCATGACCATTAAGTGGTAACCCCCTTCGATTACCCATGAGTTTAGAGTGAAATCATCATGTTTCCTGCATTTAAAACAAATCAGCGAAAGATAGTTCACATGAATACTATTTCTTGTGGTAATCTTTTGTGGTATTAATACTATTTCTTTGGATGACATGAATACTTTGGAAAGTCTATATAGTAATACAAAGTCATTTCCATACACATTATTTTCTTTCATAATATTGCGAGATTTTTCCTTTTGAAAAATAATTTTATCCAAGTAAGATACATGTTCATAGAAAGTTACATCCTTAGAAATAAAAAAAAATGAAAGAAATAACATTTATATCCCTTTTTATATTTGAGTAGCCAACAAACACATTTAATAGCACATGGATCAAGTTTACCTTAGTGGGTTCATGGTTATGAACAAAATAAGAGCACCCAAACACTTTAGGAATCAAATTATCTTTCAAAGATACTTGAGGATAAAATAAAGATAACACATCTAATGGACTTCTAAAATCTATAATTTAGTAGGTAGACAGCTAATGAGATAGATATCTATGAGTACAACCTCACCCCAAATGTTCTTGACTTTTTTGTTTGAAATAGAAGTGATCTAGCCACTTTTAATATATGTTGGTTCTTTCTCTCCACAACACTATTTTGTTGTGAAGTATAGATACAAGACAACTTATGAATAATTCTTTTACTTATGAAGTATCTTGTAACATAATGGTTAAATAAATTCTTAGTACTATCTGACCTAAATCTCTTTATTTTCATTCCAAATTGATTTTTAATGAGAGAGAAAAATTAAGACAAAAATAATATTTTATATTCAAAAGAGGGTGGAAGCCTTATACATATAGGGCTGAGGAGAGAGAGAGAGAAAGTGGACCATGCCCATATAGCTCTTAATATTACTTACTTATGATTTATGATTTAAGATAAAAACCTAACTATTTTTAGAAAAATCATCAATAAAAATAACAAACCATCTACCTCTTAATATACTAGGAGTAAGTTATGGTCCTCAGATATCATTATGAATCAAAGTAAAAGGAGAGGTACTCTTCTTTGTAAATAATGTATGTGTATTTCTCTTATGCTTTGTCATTTCACACAAATCAAATTTCAATTCTTCTTAATTTAAATATAAAAATAGGTTTAAAAATATAAATTTTATTTTTCTAAAAGATGACTCAATCGATGATGATATAACCACAAGCCATCATTCTTAGCTAACAAAAAAGCTTATATCCTAAAAAATCTTCTGATTTAGCACAAGAATCATGGTCTAATGCAATAAGATAGTAGAGTCTATCTCAATCTTCAGCATGTCTAATTTTTGTGTCCATTACCCATTATAGACATCACAAATATCACTATCAATTACCACTCGACAAGGTATATCTTTAACTAACCATCTAAGTGAAAAAGGGTTAGTAAAAAATTTTGAGAACATGTAGGACATCTTTTATAATGCCAATAAGTTATAATTTCACTTCTCTAATTATATTAATAGTAATCAATGATCTATCAGCTATGACCAATTTTTTATTTCCTAGATAAAAAAGAATTTGAAGAATGGGTTATATGATCAGTAGTACATTTACCTAGTATCCAAGAAGTAAAAAGACTATTAGATGTAACTTGTAATATCATAGAGTGAGTTTTCTCACTAGGGCATGCCAAGGCATTGAAGCTTAATGTCATGGCTGACTTTAGTCTCTCAAGTTCAACTTTAATACTCTTTCTTTCTTATTTTATATTGATCTCTAAGGACATAATGATCCCTAGAGGTTGAGAGCTGATCAAGCTCATTGGACCCCCTCATTGAGGAATATCCAAATGAGTTTGAAGTTCTATTTAGGAAGAGACCAAGTGAGCTTGACTGCCAACTTGAGGTATCCTACGGAGCTTGTAGTAGCACTCCCTAGTCTACCTTAGTCTCCTATAATAAGTGCACCACAAATTATCTTGATAGTCACCCCTCTTGACCCCTTGTCCTCTATCATTTTTAGGCTAGACCACATATGTTGGTTTTTACTACTTTGATTGAATCATAAATATTAAAGTTTCTATATTTTATGATTTTATCATAATATTTCTATGTTCTGATGATAGCAATCAACTTTATCAAGTTTGGGATTTTCTCTCTCCCTAAAATTTGAGCCCTAGTTTGATCATATATATAATTCAGTCATAAAAATTCACTGATTCTACCTTTCTCTATATATTTCTTAAATGTAATTTCATTCTTTTGACACTCAATGATAATCGGTCTATAACAAGTAATTTTCTATCATAAAGTTGTCAATTCATTAACATATTACCATATTGGTTCATTGTCTTATGTCATAACAGAAGTGTGACTAATCACTCTATATATTTTGGCTTTATCTTCTCCTTTTAAAAATACTTAATTTTTTTACTCATATATATCTCTTGTTGTGCGAAAAAACTAGTTAACATTGAGTTTTGATGTTATTGTATTCTACAGCCACGTTTTTATAATCACATCATCTTCCTTATATTATTTAAAATGTAGATCTATTTGAGTTGGTCCTAGTTCAAGAAGGTGATCTAGCTTTTTCCTTCTTGTCAAGACCACTTCTACAAACTCACTCTACTAGAAGAAATTCCTCCTAGTGAGCTTAAATTCATATGATATATTGGACAACTCTAAATAGAGTTTAGAGCTCTTTGATGAAGAACTAGAAGATGTTGATAACGTATCAACAATTGTAGACATTTAACTGATTCCTTTTACTAGTAAATGTTTTGCTTTCATCCTTTATTCAAGATCACGAAGCCAACTAGAGGTAAGTCTAAGTCACCTCAAGGAGACCCTCACATATGTTTTTCCCTAAGATCATACAAGGACCATTCTTTCCCCACTATGAGTATGAAGGAATACAAATAAGGATTTGAATGTCTAATTTCAATAATAATAGGTCACGAGAAAGAAATAAGAATAACCAACAAACTAAGACATGATATGGATGATTTCCAACATATAAAGAGAGAGACCCTCTTGGTGTAACTAGGGTAAAGGAAGAGCACACTTAGTTGGCTTTGATACCATGTTAGAACATACGGAAACCTTTTTGTTTGGCATTAGATTTAGTTGAGAAAGAGTGGCGGTAAACCCTAGCTGCTGTACAAGAGAGATGAGAGAGAGAGAGAGGAATCATGTAGAGAGAGAATACATGGAAAACATACTATTTAGTTCAAAAGGAAAAAAAGGTACATATACATACATGATGGGCCGGATCCATCTAGTAGATCTACTTATGCCCAAATCTGACTGATTAGCAATACACATTATAACAGATGTGAAAAATATAATAAGCTTCATTGTCTTATGGTCAATTGAATATAATATCAAATAAAGTTGTCTTTTGCATATTCTAACTATTAGCTACAATAGGTTTGGCAACTAGGCTTGAATGGGCAGCCCTCCAAAAAAAATTGTCAATGATAGTAAGTATGAAACTTTTAATATAGAACTAGTCTCTCCAATGTCGATGAACTATATTGTTCCATACCAAGAAAGACATGACATGCTCAGCAATGCCAATTGTCTTCTACCATCACCTTCCATCTTGTAACCTTTTGGGAAAAACATTTAGCACAACTTATAACCAAACATTTTCATCAGAAATAATGATCAGATGCAAGTTAAGATTTAAAAAATATTTTCTCTTTTGAGGTTGAAGCAGATTCTCAAAAGTGGGAGAAGGCAAGGCGACATAACAAATGCAGGTGTAAGGGGCCTGATTTATCATACTAGACGACTCAAATCATGTTTGGCTGGCCCGTAGTTGTTATATGATGTAAAAAATAAAGACAAATTAGGTTAAGGTTATTTGTACCAAGGGTATATGTACAAAGGTTTTTTTTAACTTCCACCAAGGGTATTTGTATCCATACATCATATAGTACCATAGCTGAGTTCATATTATTTTGTTCAATTCTCCTGCAAAGATATAGATTGCAAAGTTTGAAGTTGCAAAATTTAGTTCTAAGACTGATTTCAGTTTATGGTAGAATAGAGTGAAGTCTGTATTGGTCAAATAGGAGTTTTCCAAGGCTTTTCCTGTTAAAAATAATGTAGACAATTCAGCTAACAAAGAATGGGATTATTTCGTTTGAAGGTATTCAAGACTAGTCAAAATCAATCAAAAACAAGTTATATTTGAAGAGGAATGCTCTAGCTTGTGTATGTCAATGGGACAAATCCTTTGGAGTACATAATTTTTTTTAGTAAGTTGATATTACCTCTTCCTATTTTAAAGGCTTATGTTGATAAAGAAGATCAAGCATTTTTTTTTCTCATCCTTACTTCCATTCATTCAGTCGGTGAACAGGATTTTATAGGACCCAACGTTTTGAAGAAGGAGAAGGTGGAATCCATTTACCTATAAGAACAAGCCTAATATAGCAGTAAATATTAGCATCAAGAGGGGAAAAAGTAGCAAGGGATAAGTTCCATCCAAATCTAGATGAAAGGAGAAAATAGTTTCTAAAGCAAATAAGCAAGGCAATAGAAGAAAAATGGGCCCAAGCCCCAAGAAAAGTGCAAACGAAAGAACCTTCATCGGTGTATGCTTGAATAGAAAATAATAAGTGAAGGCTAGAGTACTAATCATAGATTTCTCATTTGTCCATTTATTTTTTATTGGGCAAGAACAAACAGTAAAATTTGTCACTTTTATAAATAGTTCAGGATTTGGTTGCTTACCTACTCACATCCATTTGTGGAGATAGATGCTTTCACTAATGACTTTTAACGAATGTTTTAATGGGGCATAAATTTTAAGCACCGAAGTTTAGAGTTTAAAAGATAATAGGTAAATAGGCAATGGTTCTATCAACTTAATAATACAGGTAAATATAACATTAAGCAATCCGAAGAAACGCAGTGCTCAGCATTTAACTATACTGGGAAATTCACAACATAATGGGGAAGTCACAAGGATGAGTAGGACACTCCTTTAAAGGGTTCATTGCGTTTGGTTATTTGCGGATCTTTGAAACCGGTTTTCAGATCAATCAGCGAACGCAGCAAGTGAAAATATTTCGAATCACAATATTTCGAATCACGAAGTGACAAGAGCTTGGTCACATAAACACCTGCATTATTCTCATCTCTTATTTATTATTTCTCTGCCTATGGTTTCTGATAGAATTGTGAAAGTAAATTTAATGCGAAACCCTTTAAGCTTGCATCTTTCTGGAGGAGAAATAAATATTCAATTGAGATCTATAGATAGACCAACTTATAAGCTTTACCTATCACTTCGTCGAACCCTTTAAGCTTTCGAGAGAGAATTGAAAGTTAGCATTAAGTTGCAATGGAAACGAAGGTGTATCGAGCACATTAACAGAACAGTCTGTGAATAAAATATACATCCCGTTGGTATGCCTCGAAGCGTTTCTTCCTCGCCATTAATGGCGAGCTTCATGGAATCGTGCCCGCTACCATCGTAACGAGCGAAAGCTATCTCTATATACGGACGGATAAATATACAAGAGGCCCCTCCTTCCCCACGTCCCCAAACGACGTACACGGTTTCTCACAGGAAAAACACCTCGCGAGTAGCTTTGTACGACGTAGGTGTGACTGAGGGGGGCCACTCGTGGATAACATCTGCCGCGCATCCAACGCCCTGTCTGTACTCGCTGGATCAAGATCAGATCGGCAAGGGGCAGCCATTTAATACGTATCTGATATACTTAGAACCCAGTTAGAAGGTTAGGATGAAGTCCACAGCCATTTAATATGGGCTATTGCACGGATGATAAGCTTCGAAGGGTGGGATGAAGTCCATAGCCATTTAATTCGGGTGTGGTTCCTGCTTATTTATTCCCCATCGGTTTCCGTACAACCTTACAGCAGGTACGGACGTGAATATTTAGTATAGTAGGCTTCTTCTTACCAATAGAAAGAAACGAGACAAGAAGCCGGAGTAGACAGCTGAAGAGGAGTAAACCGGCTAATAATGAACTTCTTTGATTGAGCGGCGCGCCAGAATGAGACCCTAGAAGGTAACACGTTGCGCAAGTGGGTGCGAGAACTAGAAGAAGGTAGTAATGAGAGACTTTCAATGGAGCGGCGCGTGCCAAGCTTTTCAAACCGCCCTCGTCGGCTTTGAATCTTCTGAATGAGATCGAAGCAAAAGGGTTGATTTCTACCCGACTTACTATAAATAGCACGGGTTGGGGGAGCTGGAGAGCAGCAGCTCAACACAGCTTTCTTCTCAATCCCCAGATTCTTCCCGAGTCCTGCCATGGCCTACAACACGACCCCGGTTGCGGCGGCAGCTACCCTTCTCCTGTTGCTCATCGCAGCCGCCGCCGTCGCACCGGCGTCAGCCAGCACGGTAACGGCGTACTCGCGGAGGGGCTGCACTGGGAAGAAGATAACTTGGCGATGCGGTGCGTGCTACTCGTTCACTGGCTACAAGGCGGGCTACTTCTTCGACTACTCGCAGGGCCAAATCGGCAGGTTCTATATCGGCGCGCGCTGCCGCGGCCTCTACTTTCCCATCTTCTTCGACATCCGCGTTTGCTCCCCCCACATATTTAACAGCATCCGCATAGTATGCTGAGAGTGAGTGCTCCTCTGCTCTGCGAGCTGTGTGCTGGGCCGGCTACCGCGCAGCTATCTGTGCCGGCATTCGGTCTTTCTTCCAGTGGCCATGGTTACTGACGGAAAGAAGGCCAGACGCTGAATGGCTACTGTTATGACGCCTGTTCCTCGTTAAATATACTAAACTAAGTAGCTATCTCTATGTTTGTGTTGAAGGAGGAGAAATCATTTATCTTACAAAGTGGTTAGTTTTCCGATCATTAAACATGGCACCTTTCACCAATATTCAACTTTATATAAATAAAAAAAAATGAAAATCTTCCAAAAATCATAAGAAATCAGATATGGGATTATATTTTGAGCATTAGACAGTCATTAGCAACTTTCAAAACTGTCTCAATACGATATAAGCCTTGGCTAGAGCAAGCTTATTCGTTGATGATTAGAGCTTGGGGAAATCAAGGTTTTTCTCCAAGAACACGAACCATTACTTTCCATTCTGAGTTAAAAATGAATGACAAGAAGTTGTCGGACACTTTCCACTCTTGTACCTGTTTCATGTTAGGAGGGGATCATTCATCGTACGAGCACTTGACTGTTGTTTGATGTCACAAGCGCATCTCAGAGAGCATTCCACTTATATATAGTATTAAATATTTAATGAAGATCATGATTAGAGACCAGCACCGTCATAGAGACGCTGGGCTCGTTCTAGCCTGGGATCGAAGTCCCAATCATGGTCAAGATCACAACGATAGCGGAGTGAGAAACATTATCGCGGCAGAGAGTTGGAAAAGGGCTCCGAAATGGCAATCACAAAATTTTCTTCGCCGAAAGATGGGAAGGGTTCAGGGTTTTAACCTACCAGCTTTCATGGACAACAGGAAGGGAACACAAGATCCTTAGCATAAAATAAAATGAAAAGATGGATACATGGAGATTTTATTCTTGAGCACTTACTTACTGGATTATATACTTTCCATTCTGAGTTAAAAAAATAAAATGAAAACAATTTAAACCACAAGCTGGTGAGGGAAGTCATGGAAGATTTCAAAGATTGATGTTTGTGGTTCTGTGAATTAATTTAACCAATCGAGCTTCAAATCTGCCATTAAAAACAAGCCAGTTTAGCTGTGTCACAATCACAGAATCTGGCAGACGGAAACATTCGTTTCTTTTTTTTTTTTGCAAGAATAGAATCAACAGCAGGCGAGCTCACCAGATTTAGGGTTTTCCTAAGCCAGGTCCTTGTGGCTGCAAGATTACCGTAAGGTGGTGGAGCTTATGAGGTTACCCAAACTCTGAGGCATATTTCATTGACGGGAGTAGGCTCGATGTTTGGCATTACTCTTAGTCTGTCTACCTCAGTTCTGCTGAGTCTTGCCACCATTGGTTGATCTGATTGTGAGCATGTTGGAGAGGACTGTGCGTGTGGTCGAAGAGGACCGTCATCTTCTAGAGCACATCGCTATATTTCTCCATCTCTCAGGCATCGACAAGGGTGGTGGCGGGTTCATGATAACAGTGTACGCCTAATGCCAAGTCTTGCAGCGCTATTCCACCAAAAATACCAAATCTAATATGATATCATCGAATTTTTGTGACTTCGAGTGCTTAAATTCTTGCCCTGAAGTTCCTTTTTGTCTACATCTATTTACTAAATAGCGAACCTGTTATCAACCTTACTTAACCTGCAAGTATGACAGACTGCATCTTTTCTAAAAACGACAATTATCTTCATCATAATTTCTGTGGAATCTGATGAGTTCACCAGTACCAGGTTGCGATGAAACTAAGGTAAACTTCTAAGTTAGCATCAAGTAAATCAAAAAAGAAAACAGTAGACATAATGCACAACGAACATTATAAAAGTGATCAGAATCCTTATACTCGTCAACCAATATTTAGTGGGTATAAGCGTATATACATGCACGCCCCTTGTTACAGTGGCAATGCTAATAGCAGGAGGCATTAACTTGGTAACTGATTCATTTGCTTTTTACTGACAATAGAGGTATGAATAGAATCAATAGGAGGCGAGCTCACCAAATTTAGGGCTCTTCGTGAGGCCTTGTAGCTCCAAGCTTAGCGTAAGTGGTGCCTTGAAGGGTGAAGCAGACAGGGGATGAAGCTTGTGAGGCTGATGACGTAGACAACCTATAAAGTTTTAGTTGAAGCGAAGAAGGAGACTCACCGGAGCGTTTCCTTGGTCCCCCGACGGACTTTACATCGGATGGTGGGGAGGCCGAGGCGCTGGTGGGCCTCAAACCGGTGGCATCCAGAGAAACCTGCAGAGAAAAGAGAGCCGGCAATGAACATGAAGATTCAATGAATGAATAAAAGATTCTTCCTAGTAGCGTTCTTGACGAGACTACAAATGAAACATGCAGAGATGTTTGTATAAGTTTATATGGCACGAACCGTAGTAAATGCCGTCCACCTCGAGCACATCAATCTGAAAATATTCCAAGGAAATGAAGCTGTTAAACTTTTTTATATAGTCGGACTTCTCAAAAACCAGTTATTCCCAGTAACAGTATATTAATTGCATATGAGCTGCATCCAAATTAATTCTAAATATAGGCCTACTTCATTCAATTTGAGTATAAAGTTTCTCTTTTTGAATTACCCACATGCTTCCACCATTCGAATCTTATGAACCTTAATTTTCCATGAATAAATTAAATAAAAGAATTGAAACTGTTCAACCAGAGTTAGGAATGGACCAATGCCCGAATATCAGAAGCCCAAATCAAAGAATATCTGTTCAACAAGAAACCAGCCTTTCCCTATTTCGATAATTTTCCTATCAGGAAGATTCAGATTGATTGCATTTTTTTCCAGTGCAAAGTATTGATGGTGCAGGCTTCACCTTGGTATTCCCCTAGTTCATATCAAAGCAAGTAGCCTTCATTCTCCATTCTATGAAACTAAATAGCGGATTGAGCGAAGAAGCAACGAGAAAGATGGGAAAATACTGCTCTCTTTTCTCTTCTTCTAATGGACTTCTCTATAAAAGCCATAATAGAAAGTCCATGACTTCCAATCACAACCATCCTCCCATCTCCCATTTAATATCACAGCATAGATACAAGAACATGCTGATTTTTTGACAGAATAATGCGAAAAATATTAGCAATATATGTTTTTCATCCTAATGTAACTCCTAAGGAATACTGCAGAGATGATCTAGGAATACTCTGAACTAGTAACAAAATAGTGCGAAAAATTATTCAAAAAACTATATGTGATTTTCATCCCGATCCAACTCCTACATTATAATCCAAAGTATTAGTAAATATTAATTAAAAATGAAAATAAAATGCCAGAAAACTTTATTTCCACCCGCTTCAAGAAATTCCAGTTCCCGTTTATGTACCAATGTCCTTTTTGTACTTCTCTAACGTGGGTCTGAGGATCCAGACTCCATGAGGTCAGAAGTTCTAGTACAACATTCGAGCAGGCTTCCTTCTGCTGTTCTGCAGTGAGCCACTCAATGAGCAACTTCGTTGAAACATGTTTTTATTCATTATCGACTCAGATCCATGAAAGGAAATCTGGGGAGGCAACACCTGCTAGGAACTTGCTTCTTTGAATTCCAAATAGTTCTGAAGCCTTCATCTAATCATGATGAAAATAATTGAAATCAAGTTCTCTATATTCATATTTGGCAGTCCCTTCTACTACAATCAAATAATATATGAGCATGCACCTGATGCAAAGGAAACAAATAGTGCCAAACAATTTACTTGAAGTAAGTATTGGAGGTACACAAAAACGATGATAATTAGGCATACAGGTTCTTGCAGACCGATTTCCCGGATGCTTTCCATGAGCTCTTTCACCTTCACGGGGTCATTTGCCCTCGTCCGTGTGAGGGGCCTCCTGATCTTATCAAGCGGGATTTCAAGAACAAAGGGACCCCTCTTTTTGATCTCGGAGAAGGGAGCTCCTGAAAAGATTAGTGGAGTGAATTCTTTCGTCGATTCTCGGAAGGAAGCCACAAATAGCAAGTACAGAGTATACAAAGAAAAGTAGAAATGATCAGAAAAAGAGCTCTACACCTGGAACGAAAAACAGAGGAAAATGACATGGGGATTGGGCTCCACAAGGCGGGAATGGACTGAGCAAAAGAACCCTAATTCATTGGCGAAGCCTACATTCCCGGAAGAAGAGTCTTCATCACTTCGGCTTCTTCCGTGATTATTAGAAGATCAGGTATCTACTGCTGTTTAAAGGATGTCTCGACTCAGCAGGAGAAATTGAGCTCCTCAGATCGATCTACCGTATTCGATTTCTCGGATGACGAGAGAGGAAAGAAAAGAACAGAGAAAACTGCGTCTACAGCATCAGATCGGACGTGATTACCATTTGAGGAAGCAGCGACGATGGGACGGAAGCAGGTTCTGCCCAGTCTATGGTGGGGAAGGTGAAGCGACAGACTCGCCATCTCTCTCTCTCTCTTTCCCCGAAGGCGAAGAAGAACCACAAAAAAGAGGTGCTCTTTTAAGAATAGCATCCGAGAATGCATTTCTCAGAATGCATCTTTTCCCTTTTCCAGAACGATACCCGGGATGAATTAACTAAAATATATATACCTCATATTCCAGAAAAAATCAAAGATATTATGGCATCAAAAAATAGATAATTTTTTTCCCAAAAAACCGCCCTATAAAATCAAATTATAAATTTAATTTATAATATTATTCTTCTAATATATAATAATGCATTCACAAACAGACTCAGCAATTATGGCATTATTTGTATTATTACTAAAAAAATATTTATTAATGCTTAAAATTTAGTCAACTTATGGTCTCTCTAGTCACAAGGCTGCAGATTATGAGCTCGATCAGCATGAGGTAATATCCAAAAATGACACCTAGTTAATCAATCTCCTAGATATCTTGCCCAATTTATGAAATTTGGCAATATATATATATATGCAAATCTCCCTCAACACGAAAAATAGCCATTAAGACCAAGCATCATCTGAAAACATATTATTTTCTTTTTTTCTTTTTTGGAAGAAATCCCTACATCCTTATGGTTCATGAATCGTAATTGGCATTAATTGTGAAGTTTTTTTTTTCTCATCGTTAAGTTGTAATTTTCTTGATTTTTGGGATGTGGGTCACTAATTCCGATCATCTGCAAAGATTGTGAAGACACACCAGTTCAAGAAAATAAAAAATTATCATAACAATGATCGAGGAGCATCAAATGGGTGATGAAGAAAAGAGTGTGGATCAATCTGAACGACGAGATGGATCGAATAAAATAAATTCAGAGATTACTCGTTCTTTAGACTATATATCGCCATTCACAGCAAGGAATTGGTTAGGGTTAGGGTTAGGATTAGTTCAAACATATGAAAAGGAGATTCAGCATGGAAATTACTCTAGCATTTCTCCTGACAAGGACCTTGGTTCATCTGATGATTTAATATAGGTCACTGGATGATCAGGGGGCTGGCCACAACAAGGAGGGAAGCATAGCCATGATCTCAGAAGACCACCAGGTAGTCCTCTGGTTTACCCCCCAGGCTAGAGAAATTCGGGGAGAAACTTCGAACGTGGCTCGAATCAGAATCCCGGCAGCAAGCCATGATACGAGGAAGAGATAATAATCGAAGATGAGAGGAAATCTGGGCTGAAACCACGGCAGCATTTGGGGGAAACCTAGGGTTCCCTCTTCCTGGCCTCCTTCTCGGCCTTCCTCCTGGCCCTCGTCTGCCTCGAGCTGGCCGTGGACCGGAAACCACCGCCTCGGTCCTCCGACTCCTCCAACTCCGCAAAAGACCTCTGCAGCCATGCCGACGGAGCGGACGACGACGAAGACAGCGAGATCGGAAGCCGCGTCAGAGGCAATCAATCGCCGCCGGGAAAAAGAAAAACGAGGACGGAGGGGAGGAATGGAAGAGCGCAACCGCCGCCGCCGGCGACCTACCTCTCGGATCTCTGAGAAGCTCACGGCGTAGAAGGTCACCGCCGCCGCCGCAGCGATGCCGAGGACGGGGATGACCATCTGCATGGCGTCCATCTCCTTCCTCCTTACCTCCCTCTCCGCTTAGACGGATAAGAAAACCGGGAGAGGTGACATTTAGTCCATCGGTAAACATACCACCCCGCGCTGCCGATTAAGCTCACTCTTGGTAAACATACCGCCTCCCGCCACCTCTCACTTCCCAAGCATTATTTGGACGGTTATTTTCTTAACGATATTATTAATCATATATAAAAACTTTTTGGTCTCTCTAATAAGTTTTCTGCGATTCATAGAAAATAACTTCTCAGCCAAAAAATTACTAAACCGGTTTAAGATCACCGCTTTGCGGACTGGGTGAGGTTAGAGGGGGGGAAAGAGGTGGGGGTGTCATTGAGACTAGCAGAGGAGGATACACAAGAAACGACTCCATAGAAGAGAAAGAGGACGCTCATTAGATATTTACAGCACGCCGGCGGGTTGACGCCGGAGGGAGGTAAACATACCGCTCCACGTCGGTACAAGTTACTATTAATTATTAATAATAGTATCGTTTAAGATTTACCACTCTGGAGAGTGGGTGAGGTTAGACGGGGGAAAGGAACTCAGCAGCGGAGGACGCTCTGTAGATAACTTATAGCACGCCGGCGCGGAGGGGCCGAAGAGTCGGTAAACATACCGCTCACAACAGTACGGAACTTCACTGCTATTCATCAATGAATCTTCTGTAATATCCCGATTTAATAGAAAATATCTTCTCTGTCAAAAAAACTATTATGGTTTAAGATCACCACTTTGGAGCGCAGGTGAGGTTAGACGAGGGAGACCGGAAGGGGGGGGGTATTAAAGAGGACGAAGCTCTGTAGATGTCCAGAGATTACTTACAAAACGGCCACCTTAGCAGGAGGGCCGCTAGCGAGGAGGCGCCGGAGAGTCGCCGGGAGGTCCGGCATCGCCAGCCGCCCGGCGGCCTCCGGCGGCGGCGCGGGGCTGTCGCACATGCGGAGGAGGATGCACAGATCGTTGCCGATCAGGAACTTCTGGAGATTGCCGAGGACGAGTGGGCCGTACTGGAAGACCGATCGCTTGCACTGCGGGGCGGCAATGGCAGATTGATCGAATGAGTTGAAGTTTCTCGCCGGTTTTCCATTTTTTCCAGGAGGAGAGTGGCTCTACCTGATTGGCGTGACTCGGGAGCGACTCGCAGGCCTCGAGCAGGGCCTTGATGATCTTGATCTGCCGGCACCGGAAAACCTAGTTCGTGAGGATTTTGATTTTTTTCTGCGTAGAGTTTGGGTGCTTGGATGGCGAGGAGGTGATTACCTGCTGTTCGTGATCGTCGAGGCCCCGGCGGATCTGCTCCGCGGCGACGTGGCACGCGTCGCAGCCCGCGCGGGCTTTCATCTGCGAAACTCGATTCTCTCAGAAGAAAACCAGATGTGTTCATGGTACGTCTACGATATATTATTAGCATGAGTAATAACTAATGTGATGATTTTACCATGAATGACGGCAGATTTATCTCGCCAAGGGACGGAAGCCTGATCGGCGACTGCTCCGCAGAGATGGAAGATGAACTGTTGGTGCGGTTACTAGCCGGGCAGAATCCGGTGTAGTTGCAGAGATTCTTCTCGAGGAAGACGATCTGGAAGAAGAGGATACCCTCCCGCAAGTAAAGCTCCAACAATTTCCTACACTATCGAGAATCGAAGATGATGTTTTAGGAGCCGATTGCCGGAGGAGACGAAGAATTTATTTAAGCCAGAAAATTGGAGGAGATCAGATGGCACCTTAACTTGTAAATCGGAGCGTATGATGTGGCAAACTTCACCGGAGATCTTCTCGACTTCCTTGTACAAGCTGGGATCGTTCAGGAACCTCTCGGCCTTCCTGGAGACCTCTCGGCATGAATGGCAGAAGAAGTCCGGCGGCACCCGCCGTGAGGGAGGGCGGTTCTGAAGGATTCCGATCAGATCCTCGAGGAACATGGCCATCTCTGGATATGGCAGGCACCGAAGTTCGCTGGCTCACGGAGGTGTAGTTTCGACGGAAGAAAATGGCGCAGGAGAATAGCTCTGGAGCGTACCGTCGGAGTCCGGCGTGGGCGCTGCGGGGATGAGATCTTCGCTCCTGACACCGTCTGCAAGTTCCAAGAAGAGGAGAATGGAGGCGATGAGCAGCCCCGCAGCCATCTTCGCCATGGAAGAAGACCTGCAAGAGGATCCATGGAGCAGATTTCAGAAGACCGGTGAGGAGGAACCAGGACAGAAGAGGAGGATGTGGAGGAGGACCAGGAGGACGAAGGGATTAGAGACAGGATTACTGCCGCCGGAGAGAAAGGGAAAGATGGCGACCGCTGGGTATATACCAGAGCGAGTTGCAGGCCCCCCGCCATGGCCGAGGAAGCTTCGCGGAGAGGAAGCTTCTTCATCAACCCTAGGGGATCATGATTGGGATTCCTCCCTTCTGGACGGCCCTCCCCATTTTTCTCACTATTTGATCGAAGCGCCAGTTCCATGATTCCCCCCAGATTTACGGAGAATCTCTCCGATCTTCCCTCCATTTTTCATCAGAACAGCATTTTACAGGTACTGCACAGAGCTGCAGCAGATCTGCCTCCGGAAGCATCATCATCCATGGCGCATGGCCTGGCTCCTTCTCCTGCAAGGCCAAAAGCTCAATAAAAACCAGAGAAATGGCACACAAGGAGACAATGCAGGACTCGGCGCACGCCGGACCAAATCCACAGCATCGTCCTTGCAGGAAGGAGTCATTGGGGAAGAAAAACGAGGAAACCTCTGCAAGAAGATCCCGGAAACGCTAATTAAGCCGGAGAGAAGGGTGGCGACTTCGGCAAGGGGAGGTATCCGTCCTACACCTAATTCTTCAAATAACAGCTTGAGATAGTATTTTGTTTATTCTAATTTTTGCAGGGGCTGAAGGTATAAATTTCCTTCCACCCAAAATTCCCCAGGAGTGTAGAGAAAGTTCAATTCGGGCAAAAATGATAATTAATCAAAAGGCTGGATAATTCTGTAAACCTCAATATTTATAAGCATATAATATTTATAAAAGAAGTTAAATAAGTGGCATTGCTGCGTGGCAGTACGACACAGGCCAAGGCATCCACCGGGGCCATTCACTCTATAAAAATTGTCTTTTTATGGAATATTATCTATTATCTTCGAATTATATTGGTTCATGTAGTGAGAGAGAGGGGGAGAGAGAGAGAGAGAGAGAGAGAGAGAGAGAGAAAGAGTAGGGAGATGGGCCGGGCCTGGTTCCATTGACTTTGGGATTCTCTTCGAGCCAGGGGAGGAGGATAACATGAACTACTCTCACAGTGAATGCCTCGGATCTTAATAAATTCTGATCTAGGGGAACAGGATAACGTAAACTTGGCCCCCGGAAGCACCGCATGTACCTCGTCTCCAGGCGTCCATATCTCCGTTTCGCTTTCCACGGACCGCTATCCAGCATACCAGAACCACTTCCCAAAAAAAGCAGATCAAGTCCCGTCCAACCCCCCTCTCTCTCCTCTCCTCTCTCTTCTCACCCCATCCTGTCTTGCAGATCACGAGGATTGGAGTGCGGGAGGAGGTGGCGATGGATCGGCCGCCGGAGGAGTTGCAGGAGCTTGGCCTGAGGGAAGTCCTCCGGGAATCGATCTCCATCCCCCGAGCTTCTCCCCGGACCTTCTCCCTCATCACCCTCGTCCTCGTCTTCCCCCTCTCCTTCGCCGTCCTCGCCCACAACATCTTCACCCACCCCATCCTCCATCGCCTCCAATCGACCCACTACTCCTCCCCCTCCTCCTCCCATGGGCACGAGTGGGCCCTCTTCTTCCTCTACCAGTTCATCTACCTTCTCTTCCTCTTCACCTTCTCACTCCTCGCCACCGCCGCCGTCGTGTTCACCGTCGCCTCCATCTACGCCGCCAAGGCCGTCTCCTTCTCCTCCACCATGTCCGCCATACGTCCCATCTTCTCTCGCCTCTTCCGCACATTTCTCTGGGTCTCCCTCATCATGTTGGTGTACAACTCCGGCTTCATCCTCGCCATCGCCGTTGTCATCATCCTCTCCGGCGGCGTCTCCGCTATTCCCAGCCCCAGGCAGATCTTCCTCTTCACCGTGATCTTTCTTATCTTCCTCGCCGTCCATGTCTTCATCGCTGCACATTGGCACCTGGCCAGCGTGATCACTGTCCTCGAGCCCGTCTGCGGCTTGGACGCCATGAAGAAGAGCCGGGAGCTGATGCGGGGGCGAATTAGAATGGCTCTATGGTTTGTTCTGGGTTACCTCGGAGCCTGCGGGCTGATCAGTGGGGCTTTCGGGGCGGTGGTGGTGCGCGCCGGAGAAGAAGATAGCATTCCGGCTTCGCCCATGGTGAGGGTCCTGGTGGGCGGCGCACTGGTGGCGGTGCTCGTCGTCGTCAACCTGGTGGGATTGCTGGTGCAGAGTGTTTTCTATTATGTCTGCAAGAGTTACCATCACCAGCCAATCGACAAGAGTGCTCTGTGCGAGCACCTGGGTGGGTACCTTGGCGAGTATGTGCCCCTGAAGAGCTCAATCCAGATGGAGAACTTCGAATTGTAATGATAGTTGATAGTGAAAACATCTCTGTTTCTCTCGCTCTCCTTGTGCAAGGTGTCTCCTCATGGATTTCGATAATTAGAGATCTGTGCCGTGGTTTTTGGTTCTTATGCGCGCCCATGTTGATCTTTCTCTAGCTCTATGACAGAATCTGCTTCAAGTTGCAGATTTTCTTGCCTTGCAGATTTTTGTGGTTGTTCTCTAGCTCTATGACAAGCAATGAGAAAGAGGCAATAGTGCTGCTAGTCGTCTGCTATGCCTTGGTGTCATACATGGCTGGGTATTCTCTGGCACTTTGGTCAATCTCTGGGTAATGTGCTAATTCTTTAACTTGTCTTGGTGTGGCTCTGATGTTCTCGAGTTCCTTCCTTGGTATTCTGTTTCAAGAGTTCAATTACAGTAATGGATGGGTCTGTGGTCTCTTATCTTTTTCTCTGTCTTAGTTTTCACTAGTTGTTCATCCACTCTTCTGAAGAGAAAGAGGCAGAAGACTGTTCTCTGCGGTACTACATTGCCCACCATGACCTCCCATCGCCTGCTATAGTTGTCGACCCACCCTCGTTGCCCTCATCTGCTCATCCACGAAACGTTTGTAAGGATTGGCATTGGGGAGATGTATGCATGAAGGGGATGTAATTGTCTAAAACATCTGCCAATTCAAACTGCTAACATGTGTATACTCATTTATATTAGTTTTTGATTTATTCTCAGAAGAACATTACAACATTCTTTTCATAATTTAGATTTCCTTTTCTGGCCAGTCGAATCCAATCTGAACCTTGTTAGATGATCTTTTTTCTGAGTTTGACTTGATCAGTGCAGTTCTGGGGTTGAGTTCAACTCGTTTGCAATGTCCACCTAATCCTGTCATGTTATCTATGTAGGTTGGGAATCGCCTGATTTAAGGAGAAAATCTTATTTGACCAAAAAAAATTAAATAAAAGGCCATGCCATGCCAACAATTATGAAGAATTTCAGCCGAATTGGATCTGTGGATGTCTATTTATTCTCGTCTTTCCCTGGCCTATATTGTTAGAACATTTCCAGTTTTTTCTAAGTCCTCAGCTTTCATGGGAGGCAAAGAGAACCTGTGGGAGTTTCAACAGCTGGAAAGCTTAACAGTCAACAGAAGGCGTCTGTGTGTGATGGAAGATAGGTCAGTTTTTCTTTGTTCTTATTATCACTGCTTCAGTATTCTTCTTGCACTGGTGAAAGTGGCTAGACAGAGTACAGGCTGCACAACCTTTAGTATCAACTGATGCACGTTTAGCTTGAGAAAAAATTGCTACGCCATGGATGAACTCCTGAAAGGCACAGCCGATATTAAGCTTCCCAATGACCTGCGCGGTTTGCCTGGATCAACCCCATAAGGTGCTTAGAAGGTTTTCATCCTCAGTTTCCCACTTCCCGTGCATCATAAGGTACTGTTACAAATTAGTCTGATATAAATATCAAGATTTCAGGAAGCAATTTGTCATTGTCAGCTTAAGATACTTGCCATTTTTGTCTCGTTGACCTTTAACTAACATCAGAAGTAGTAACCAAAGAATTTAAGAAATATTCTTCTGATTCCTTATGATCCAATATTTTTCACATCCCAGGTCTAAAGCTGTTCATCTATTGCCATTAATAATGCTTGCAATGTTGCATAGGGATGAACAAGCTTCACTTGAGAGCTATGCATGTCACCATGCTGTAGTCACATTGGGTTTCTATGATTTATCTGGTCAACCTCTCTGAAGATTTTGCTCATGTTTCAAAGGGATACCATTTATGGCAAAACACTGGATATAAAAGCCTATGAGAGGACTCACTAATGGGTGAGAATGCTGAATTGGATTTCCACATGAACAATCTGAGAACTTGTTCACAAGTTTTGATGAATTTGGTCATCTTCAATTAGCTGGTTGATGCATATAATGATTCTGCAGCTGTCCTGGAATCATAACCCAGTTCATGGTCCAGAGTCTTGCATGCAATTACTTGGCCAAGTTTCTTCAGTTTCTTAATCATTGAGTTGAAAGCTATCAATTCTAATATTTATAGCTGAACTTAGAACATAGAAATTAGCTTCAAAGTTCTAGTCGAATTCTTAATGTCACGTTTTATTCTCAAATATTTATTGAATGAAAAAAGAAGTAAAAGAACCCTAAAAATATAGTTTTTTTTTTTTTACTAATTTCTAGTTGATGTAGCTACTTCTTCGGCATCAAGAAATTAGTAGTGAGAAAGTGTGAGGAGAAGGGAGGAAAAAGATTAACCAATGTTCATAGGTTGATTAATATCCAAAGTGGAATCAAAATCATAGACATCTTTCAATTGGGAAAAAGAAACATTCAAGTATTAACTCTTAAGTTGTTCAAGCAAATTCTCAACACAAAACTGACACTAGAAAAATGAATAGTGGAAAATGTTTTAGTATTTACCGCATATATGTCACCCATACTGCTGGAGTAATGAAATCAATGAGAATGACACATAATATAAATGAAATAAATGCAGCTTATAAGTAACTCCCCCTTCTCACCCTAAGCAGAGAAGCTTGAACGCTGGACTGGGGGTTTCAGGCCGTTGTGGACTAGGGGCTTCCGCTGCTGCTGCTATTTTTATGCTGCTACCGTGCTCACCTTTGCCTATCACCTTGAGGGAGGCCTGCTCTTGCTCTCTCTCTCTCTCTCTCTCTCTCTCTCTCTCTCTCTCTCTCTCTCTCTCTCTCTCTCTCTCTCTCTCTCTCTCTCTCTCTCTCTCTCTCTCCCCCTGTTATTGCGCTTGATATAATCCGCCTATTTTGAGGCCACGTTTTCTTCCATAAATTCGAATAATTAGAAGAAAAAATTCACATTTCCTACTCCTTATTTTTCTGCACTTCTCTATCAGTTATGATATTTCTCGGGGGGATATGGCTTGGACATTTATGTTAGTATAGGTCAAATCATTAAATGAACATGTCTCAAGCTTGGTATGCAAATTAAATAAGAATTCATGAAAAATCTTTTAAAATCTATTTAATATTTTCCCATTCAATCTGATTACATTTGAGATTAGTTAATCTGGTATTTTCAATCATTTTTCTTTGATTAACATATACAAATTAAACATTAATAATCATCTCTTACTATAACATCCCTATTATTTCATAATCTTTGAGAGTATTTACTGATCTATTAGTTGACTAATAGCTTGGTGAGGCACATGCCTTGAGACATGGCACAACTAGTGCACCCACATCAAGGTGTAGTACATCATATACACACATCGAGGCATGGTGTCACATGTGAGGTCATTTGTGATGTCATGGATGATGTTAATGGTGTGACCAAAGATGAGTCCCACATTAATTAATATGGGCATGGGCTAAACCCCTCTATAAAAAGGGTTATACATTTAGTGTAAAAGGCACCCTAAAGTATTATAATGCAATAGAAAGAGACATCCTTTGAGCCTGTACTCATGCCCAAAATGAGTTGCAAGGACATCCAATGAAAGCACATCCATGCGACAACTGGTATCAAGTATCTGCCAAATTGTTTTGATGACTTCACAAACCCAAATAGCTTAACACTACATGACCAATAGTATAAGTTCAAAAGATGTCTCTCTCTATTGCGTTATGGTACTCAAGGTGTCTCTAAGATTAGGAGCATGAACCTTTCTATTTAGAGGTTGGGCCCCTCTCTTCTAAGATCAAGTAATGCGTATGTTTAACCCCACTATTTACATCATCCCTGACATTGTGGATGACCTCATCAGTGACATTCTGCCTCAATGTATCCATTTGTTGTCCAACATCTCAACTACATGCCCGCCCATTAGTTGCACATTGAATTGTGCACACCTTGTCGAGCTCCATGACACCACACTATTGTGCATGCATGCTCATGTCATCTGTCCTACTATTGTGTAATTGCCATGTCACATCAAATCAGATCATGATATTCTCATTGAGCCTATGTTGCTCCCACATGGCACATTGTGTTATTTTATGCTGTCACACATGTATTATGCTAACACGCACCAACATGTGCCAGCACCAAGCCTCTATTGTTCCCATGCACCTTGCTATGCCAATGTCTACCTCCGTGCACATATGTGACAGTCATGTTGTGCAGCACTACACACCATGCTTGCCTATGTAGAGACAAGCTCTCTTATGTTGCATTGCGCCCTTGATGTGCAGTCACCATGTCCCATTTTCCCAGCATGTGTTTGCATTGAGGTTCCCAATCTCATGTGTTGTGTTGTGCTGACACGTCCTCGCACGTGTACATTGTGCTATAGTATGACACTATGCACATAGTGCTCCTCCATGCATGACCCATCATACTCCCAAAGTCAAAGTCCAAGGTGGGACCTCCTCATCCAATTCTAGAGTGGTGATATAGTGGTCTCCATTATGTCCTTCACACACAAACTATGCCACACTTGACAAGTACTTCTTGCTACCATGAATGTAGCTTGTTGATGTGTGCCTATCCACACATTGCCATCAGGGTTGTTGTGGGCCCCCACACGTGTGGTGCTTGTCCATGAGTGCAACATGCTTTGCTCATGCTAGTAGTCAGGTCAGCTCATAGGACCAACATGCAGCCACTTGATTGTCTTCTAAGGTCCCCTTGAGCACCAAGAGGGGGGGCTTCCTCAGTCTCAACCATGGTGACCAACAAGGCAACATGCTCTTCCATCTGAGCCAACATTTGATCACACATTCCACTCTCTCTTTCACCAAGATGCAATCAACTTGCTTTGATACCACCTCCTCTATGAAAAAAAGAGAAAGTAGGAAAGTAGCAACCTCTTGTTTCACTTATTATATGATCACTATGTCAAACATCATCATGACTTCAACCAGCCTACACCATGATTAGGAGTAAAGTCTCGAAGGGACGTCTCCTTCTATTGTACTATAATACTCAAGGTGTCTATTTCATTAGGTGGCCAATGCTTTTATAAAGGGGTTGGGCACCTCCATTCCCAAATTAAACAATGTGAGACACATGTTTAGCCCCATTGCTGACATCATCCCTAACCTTGTGGATGACCTCACATGTGATATGTGCATCTAGTGGATTGTGCTGTGGCACATGCTTGTGTCACATTGTGACATTTATGTCGTGTTGTGCTGCATGCATTCACCCCACTGTGTTGCATGCACCATGAGTTGCATGTTGACTATGCAGTTCTGCCTCAAAAATCTCCCTCACGGTGTCAACCTTGTGACACCAGGTCTAGGGAAATGCTCAAAAAATGAACTTTAACTCCACTCTTGTCGACATAAGATCATGCCCACAAGAGAGGTTCTACCACCCTAGTTAGTTTGAGGCTTCAGGTTTATAGCCCTAGATGATATTCTGACTCATTAGGCCCACTAACACCCATACATAAAGTAGTTTGAATCTTCTAATTTTCCAAGTTTTTCTCTAATCCATATACTTACTACTATTTAATATTAGACACTATTCTATAATATCAGATCATATGAAGGAAATCTATTGAATAACAATGTCCTAACTACATATTTTAGTCAACTCTAACATATCAGATGAATTGCTCTTCATCTTGACAAATTGCTGAGTTAAAATGAGAACCCATCCCATTGAGGATTGTTGTTTGTTGGGTGCAAGTGGGGGAGGCCAGGCTTTGGCTTATCTTGTCAACTCTAAAGGTAGAGATAACACTAGAAACTACTTACCTGTGAGAGTAAGGGTGAGGGAGAGAGAGAGAGAGAGGACCACATGCCATTGGGACCATAGCCTATAAAAGCTTGAATTTGATTAAGAATATCATTGAGTTGTCCAAGCCAGTTTATTTTTTTAGACACTTACATGTGAGAGTGAGGGTGAGAGAGAGAGAGAGAGAAATAATAACATGGGACTGGACCATACCCTATTAAAGCTTGTATTTGAATAAAAATGGCATTGAGTTGACCAGGCCAATTTATTTCTTAGATCCTTACATGTGAGAGTTAGTTGAGAAAGAGAGAAAGAGACGATCACGTGGTATTCGGGCCATACCTTATAAAAGCTTTAACTTGATAAACAATGGCATTGAGTTGACCATGTCAATTTGTCATTTAGAGTCCCAAACATGCTAAGGGGAAAAGGTTATACACATAAGAACAGCAAGATATTTGGCATCATTTATTTCCATGGCTAGTATAAAAAATAATTTTTAATGGTATTAATATACAATATTTTTTATGGTATGACCTAGTCAAGTCACTAGTACAATAGAGACATGGCCTAGTTCTTGGCATCTAAAAAGATTCCATAGAGACAGGGCATAGTTCTTGGAATCTAACAAGATCCCAATTATGGACCACTCAAAATCTTAGTATTTTTCTCCAGTGGGACTCTTAAACTCTTAACATGACATAGAAGTAAAGCCAATTCAGATACTATTGATGTGTTCATGAGCATTGACAATTGCACTCATATCTATCAAAAGTGGCGTCATTGACTTTTCATTTGTACCACAAATTGGGTACTAGGTAGATGGTTGCATGAATTGTGAGACTCACATGGATGAAAAATTCAATCAATGTGAGGTTGAGATCAATTATTTTTAAAAGGCTTCATATGATTACGCTACACCATCTATTTCACTGAACAAATGAGGTCTCAATCGTGCGGCCAATGCCTAATATGATATCTTTGAAGATTTTCTATCCATTGCTACTTGTTTCAACGATGATTTGAGTGAATTCATGGAGACCCAAATCAAGAGAGTTTGGGCCCAAATCATGTATTTACTAACGATGAGTTACTAACGTTATGACCTAAGATTATGAGAAAATGTGTGCCAAAATATCTCCTCCCAAGCATGTGGTTGTACTGTATTTTCTTCTAAGCCAAGTTGCTCGAGACTCGAGTTATTCTCCAAGATTTGGGCTTGGAGATGTTATTTTTTTCCGAGAGGGAGAGGAGGAAGGGAACCGGATGGGGGCGATCTTTGTAGGAGATCTCTCAAATTGTGTCACAGACTTTTACCGATAGGAAGGATCCAGTACGAAAAATGTATCAGCCACCAACCGTACAAACAAGATCGGTCACCCATCAGCCGCCGTCATCGTCCTCTCTCTTCCGCCGCCGGCCTTCGAGCTCTGGAAGTCTCCACGGGCCCGCGCTTGTCTCTTGCGGACGCGTGGACGGTGACTTTTGTCCGAAATCTCAGGGACCATGTGGGGGGCCGGCACAGCTGGGGGCGTTGCCATCGCCTCTCCGTCGTTTCCTATCGAGGGTCGACGGATTTGCTGCGGCCTCCTTCTGTGAATCTCATCGGCTTCGTTGTGCTGCTTCCCCTTCATCCTCTCAGATTGCTCGCCCGGGTTTGGGGGATCGGTGCTCCCCGAGGAACTCTGATTCGGTTTACGCCTTTTCTTGGGCTGATGACGGACACTGCGCTGCCAAATTGTTGGTTCTGCGTCGCAAGGAGAAGGGAATTCGAGTAATCGGAGGAGTTTCTGAGTCGGAATTTTTCGATAGTCTCGGGTTGATTTCTGTGGAGTTCGTCGAGGAAGGAGTTCAGAGCCCAGATTACTTGCCTTCTTCTTGTCCTCTAAGGAATCTGAATAAGTTCGAGGAGCTTGACCATCGATGGCATCTCCGCGGACCGATGAGGACACCACGAAGGGAAGCATGTGGGTCCTGGAACAGAAGCTCGATCAGCCCATGGATGAAGAGGCTGGAAGACTGAGCAACATGTACGTAGAGAAGGTACTACTCTGTAGAAATCAATCTCTCTCTCTCTCTCTCTCTCTCTCTCTCTCTCTCTCTCTCTCTCTCTCTTTCTGCAACATTATAGACCTCTTCTCTTCCCGTCCGGTGAAGAAATCTTCACCTTCTCTATGAACAAATGAGGAACCCTGGTAAGTCACGTAGATCACCATGTTCGCGGGTGCAGGAATTGCCCGCAGATACCACGAAGATCCTGGGTTCTTCTAGCTGTGAACCAGATGAAATCCATCTCACGTGGGCTCTCATCCTTGCTCTCAGAAATTCTCGTTGCTGCTGGTCCTGCGTCTCGCTTTCCAGAGTCTCGGGGTGGTGTTCGGGGACCTGGGCACTTCTCCCTTGTATGTCTTCTACAACACCTTCCCGGAGGGAGTGGATGATGACGAAGATGTCATCGGAGCCCTTTCTCTGATTATCTACTCTCTAACGCTCGTCCCCCTTCTCAAGTACGTCTTCATCGTCCTGAGGGCAAATGACAACGGCCAAGGTAATTCTCTGATCACAACTCGGTCATTTAGTGGACCATATTTCTCATGCTGTGTTCTACTTTATGCGCTTAGAGCGTGGGAGGTGGAGGGGAGAAAAAAGTTGAATTTTCTTTTGGTGACCCCAGCGAAAACTCTTTTTGAGCAGCAATTTCTCTGTTGGAACTGTTCTAGTCTTGTTCTTGTTTCCTTCAAATCTTACTCCGCCCCTCTGGGCTCAATGGCGTTTCTGCCTATGATTCTGCCCTTATTTTTATTTTTTATTTGGTCGGAAGAACGGCATGGGATTAGGGTAGGCCATGAATTTCATCCTGCGAAGAAATACTCTGAAAAGTCTGGTGATCCATCTGCGATCGTCTCGCACAGTTCTTGCCTTGCTCTTCTCTTGTATTTTTAGCATGAATCATGTATCTTCAGGCTTTTGACCAGAACCAGTAAATAGCACTAGACGTAAAAGCCTTCGGATTCCCCCCATTAGTAGTAGGCCCTCGTATTGAGTAGACAGCGCATGAATGAGCATCACTTGGGAACATCATCGGGCAGATCATATCCTGGCAGAGTCTTACAGTTGTCCTTGATCTCTCATTTCAGGAGGAACATTTGCTCTTTATTCGCTGCTCTGTCGATATGCCAAGGTGAAGACGATCCCAAATCAGCATCGTACAGATGAAGAGTTGACCACATACAGCCGGCGTACTTTTGATGAGAACTCTCTCGCCGCCAAGATCAAGAGATGGCTGGAGGCCGATGCATACAAGAAGAATGCACTCCTTGTTCTTGTTCTTATCGGCACTTGTATGGTCATTGGAGATGGGATTCTCACTCCAGCCATATCAGGTAACGTTTGATGCAGCTACCTGTATTGTTGTGCTTCTCGATGCTCAATCATTCAGTCATCTAATGAAACCCAAAAAAAATTAAAAAAGAAAAAAAATCTATCCTCTGTCTTTTTTCAGTAGCTTTCATCAATCTCTCGTTTGATTCTCACTGCCACTCAGTGGAAGGCGTACAGATGATGTAGATCTGTTAATCGGAAGTAAAAATTTAATGTTTAGGAACACTGGCAGCATAGATTTCTGTTTTAGATGCAAAAAAATAAAATTCCCAGGAGATAGTAAATGGAGATCAGGAGTTTTGGAGCAAGGTAGAAAGAAGAGAGAGAAGGTACTCTTTAAATTGCCCAGGCTATTGGATTTCTGAGAGAGATATTACAGAGTTGCCGTGCTAGATTTCTTCCTCTCCTCCTTCACTTTAGTCACTGCTTTTGATGGCTTTCTTCCTCTTGTGGGCTCCCTTTTTCAGGCGCCTCTTGGAAAGAGGAGCACCATTTTCCTCAGGGGATGAATTGATAGTATGGTTTGGAGATCTGATAGCATGAAGATTCTCTTGGAAGTTCTGTCTCGTTCCATTTCTGATCCAAAGATTTGCTAAATGTTTGCAGTTCTTTCAGCCGCTGGAGGGATCAAGGTGGATCACCCCAAGATGAGCAACGGTATCCCATAATCTTTCTCTCATTAGATCTGTTCTTGAATTGGCACCTCTACCTGGCTGCTTTTCATCAGCCCAGGCTGTGGATTGCACTAGTCCTTAAAAAAAAATTCCAATGATTTCCTAAATCTCAAGCTAGAACCGTCCCTGTTCTAATCGAGCTCTCCGTTCAATCATGTCAGATGTGGTGATAATCGTTGCTGTTGTGATTCTTGTTGGGTTATTCAGCATGCAACATTATGGAACAGACCGAGTCGGATGGCTCTTCGCCCCCATCGTCCTCATCTGGTTCATCCTGATCGGTACCATCGGCTTCATAAACTTACTGAAATACGACAGATCAGTCTTGAAGGCCTTCTCTCCGGTCTACATTGTTCACTATTTGAGGAAAGGCCGGCGGAGCTGGACATCCCTTGGTGGTGTCCTCCTCAGCATCACAGGTTAAGCTCAACACCCAAAAATGGGGTCTTTAATTTGGGAAAAAAATCTACCCAAAAAACCCATAATTTATCTGGAATCATTTTGCAGGAACGGAAGCAATGTTCGCCGATCTGTCCCACTTTCCTGTGCTTTCCATCCAGGTTCAATTTTTATCTTATTTTTTGACAGGAAGATCCTCAGCTTCTTCCTCTCCTCTTCCTTTTACTCACTGTTCCTTCTCATGCAGATCGCCTTCACCTTCATCGTCTTCCCCTGCCTTCTCCTGGCTTATACCGGGCAGGCAGCCTACATTGTGGAGAACAACGGGCACGCTGCTGATGCCTTCTATCACTCGATTCCAGGTCTTAACTTTAATAATTCCCCTCCACGGCCAAATCTTCTGGCGAGAATTGCCCACCGGAGCTGGAGTTTTGATGGGTCTTCTCCCTCCCTGCAGACAGCATGTACTGGCCCATGGTCTTGATTGCCACTGGAGCCGCTGTGGTGGCGAGCCAGGCAACGATCTCTGCCACCTTCTCCATCATCAAGCAGTCCCTGGCACTGGGCTGCTTCCCGAGAGTGAAGGTCGTCCACACCTCGAAGAAATTCATGGGCCAGATCTATATCCCTGACATCAACTGGATCCTCATGGTCCTCTGCATCGCCGTCACTGCTGGGTTCAAGAACCAGAGCCAGATTGGCAATGCCTATGGTGAGTGAGCGAGTGAGTGAGTCGAAAAGTGAGTAAGTGAGCTTCAAGAACCAATGCCATGGCTGAAACATCGAGTTGCAGGGATGGCGGTGGTGATAGTGATGCTGGTGACGACGCTGCTGATGATCCCGATCATGCTGCTGGTGTGGCAGAGCCACTGGGTCCTGGTGGCACTATTCACTGGGCTTTCCCTGCTGGTGGAGCTCACCTACCTCTCGGCGGTGCTGTTCAAGGTGGACCAAGGCGGGTGGGTACCGCTGGTCATCGCCAGCGCCTTCCTCACCATCATGTATGTGTGGCACTATGGCACGGCGGCACGCTACCAGTTTGAGCTTCACAGCCGGGTCTCCATGGCATGGATCCTCGGCCTCGGCCCCAGCCTGGGCCTGGTGCGAGTGCCCGGAATTGGCTTCGTCTACACCGATCTGGCCAGCGGCGTTCCACCTATATTCTCCCACTTCATCACCAATCTCCCGGCGATCCACTCTGTCGTCGTCTTCGTCTGCATCAAGTACCTGCCTGTTTACACCGTGCCACAAGGGGAGAGGTTCCTGGTGCGAAGGATTGGCCCCAAGAGCTTCCGCATCTTCCGCTGTGTCGCCAGGTACGGCTACAGGGACTTGCACCGCAAGGATGAGAACTTTGAAGCCATGCTCTTCGACAGCCTTACCCTCTTCGTCCGCTTGGAGGCCATGATGGAGGAAGGATGCTCTGAAACGTCGGAGTACAGTCTCTATGGGCACCACACGGAGCGATCGTTGGAGAATGGTGGTGGTGGCGGTACCGCCGGTGACTGCATTGTGCCAGCCGTGGGCTCGCCGGCGCTGGGGCAGGCAAGCCGGGGGAGCATGACAGAGGGTGGCGACGAGCTGGAGTTCCTGAACAGGTGCAGGGATGCTGGAGTGGTGCACATCTTGGGGAACACCATGGTGAGGACAAGGAGGGGTTCGGGGATACTGAAGAAGGTGGCCATTGACTATGTTTATGCCTTCCTCAGGAAGGTCTGCCGTGAGAACAGTGTCATCTTCCATGTACCCCATGAGAGTCTCCTCAATGTGGGCCAGATTTTCTATGTATAGAAATAAAAGAACCCTCTCCCCCTTCTACTTGAGCATATCTTCTTCAATTTGCGACAGAAAAAATCCCATTTAATCGGAAACAGATGGCAATTTCATTGAGTATTCAAGAAAGTTACTTAAAAAAGAAGCAGAAAAGATAAAAAAACCTCAGACATCTGAGTTTTAATGCTTAAAGACAATGAATTATCGTCGTCTCTGCGAACCTTTCACTCACTGAAAGAGGACACGTTTAGGATTTAGGGCACCCAGAGATGGAGTTTTCCTGCCATAAAATAACCAGCTCGATCTATTTTGACCGTGAAGGATTTCCACTTCTTCACTTCCTTGTGGAAACCACAGATGCTCTCCTCTCCTCTCCTCTCCTCTCCTCTCCTCCCCTCTCCTCTCCTCTCATGTATACTCGCATAGATCATAAATCGTTCCCATTACTCAACTTCCCAGGACTGCTAGAAGTTTACTGTTATCCCATCATAATAATGTTTTCTACGTAAAGTTGTGTATATAAGTATGATTAGTCAGGAGCCATTCATGTCTCGTGTGGTTAAAATGTATGGTACTTACTGGTAGTATCCGCATGCTTCACTGGTCTTGGTGCCCGTCGCAGCCATAAAAGGGGGAAACCATGAGATAACTCAAGGGAGATTGTTAGATCAATGCATAGCTCCCAATTAAATACTTGCATATATGCCATCATTTCGTTTCATATTACTACGAAGACCACATGGATTGACATATTTCACTTCAAATACCTACTTATTTTTCAGTGAGCGCCACACGTATTGAGATATTTTGTACTTTATATACTACATTGTTCCACAAAGTAATTCTCCAAGAATGAGTGAAACATTGAGCTGAATAAAATAATATTTATGCACAAGTTTGAATGCATTGAGTTAATTTACAAATGATACTCATTTAATCATTACGTCAATCGTCAAATGGATATTTTTCCAAGGTTGAGATTAAGTGAGATACTAAATTAATGTGTAGAATTATCACATGTATTAAAATATTTTAGTAGATAAATTTCATTGGTTTTTTTCATTAACAATATGATTAGTGATTTGGTAATTCCATCTTCTAATTTTCAAATCCCATTGTGTTAATCAAACATCACCTTTAATTGGAAGGTCAGTTTAATGTCAATCCTAGTGATCATCTTAAGTTTCAAATTCAGCATTTAAAGGACATGATTTGGTGTCTACTCTTAGAATCCACTTATTCTTATAATGTTTTGTTTTTATGAAAATTTTGAAAAAATATTTCATACAATTAATTTTCATAAAACTTGTTGAATGAATTACATTCTAAAAATCTTAATTTTTAAGTATTCAAATCACATTATTTTAAAAATAGAATACCACAACGATCACTTTTCTTAAAGCATGTATTTGAGCAATTGATCTCATTCACAAGTGATACTCATTTAACCACTATGTCAATTATGGAATATATATTTTTCCAACACAAACTATGTGAGACACTAAATTAATGTGTATAGTTATCACATGCATCAAAATAGTTTACAGATAGAGCCCATTGACTTTTCTGATTCATGATATGACTAGTGGCTTCATAAGTTCATCTTCTTATTTTCAAATCCCATTGTGTTAGTCCAAAACAACATTTATTGAGAGATCAATTTAATGACAATATTAATGGGCATCTCAACTTGTAAATTCAGCATTTAAAGGAAGTGATCTGATGCCTATTTTTAAAAGCCACTTCCCCTTGACAGGTTATATTGGTATGAAAAATCAGAACAAATCTGGCATACAATTAATTTCAAGAGAACTAGTTGCATGAATTCAATCACATTAAAAATAGCACTATTTAAAGTGTCCATGTAAAATTGTTATAATCATGATGTTTTAGAATACCACAATGATCAAACAATCTGCATTATTTATATGTTCTTCAAGTGAAACTACTATATTTTCAAAAAAAATTAAATATCCATGTAGTTGACTTTAATTTTAAGAAATTACATGATTTACTCCTAGTAACACTTCTAGAATGAAAGAAATATTGAGTTATTTTTGAGCTACCTCTAAGTTTGATACTTTATTTGGGTATGTAATTTTCAAGCTATGAGTTATTGAGCTTCATGTATTATAGTGGTGTACAATGTGACTTATTGAACATTTATGTATCAAGCTTGATATAGTCAAGTACTCTACAATTGAACTCATAAATTGACATATTAAATTTGATAAATTTTTCTATTCAATTATTTAACTTCTCATATTTAACTTTTAATGAAAAATTCAAAATAAGTGATTTGGTTTTCAGTTTTAGAAGTAACTTACTTTTAAAAGGTTATCTATGGAAAATCAAAAGAATTAAATAACATTATAAACAGAATATTTTTAAAAAATTAAACTTATAACATTACTACAAAGAATGGTATTTGAAAATATCACAATGATCACTTTTCTGAAAGCCCATATTCAAACACTTGATGTTGTTGACAATAGATATTCATTTAACCACTATGTCAAGGGTCAAATGGATAGATTTCCAAGGCTAAAATTATGTGAGATACTTAAATATTGTGCATTGTTATGACATGTATAAAAAATAGTATATTCAATAGATCCCATTAATTTTTTTTATTCACGACATGACTAGTGACTTTGTAATTCCATCTTGTCATCTCTTAATCCCATTGTGTTCAACTATAATCACATTTTAATGACAATCTGAATTAGATTTTTAACTTTTTAATCAGAAATTCAAAATAAGTGGTTTGGTATCCATTTTGAGAAGTCACTTACTTTTGAAAGGTTATCCTAATATGGAAAATCAAAAAGAATTAACTAGCATTCTAAATAGATATTTTAAAAAAATTAAACTTATAACATTACTATAAAGAATGGTATTTGAAAATACCACAATGAGCACTTTTCTGAAAGCCTATATTCAAACAGCCAATGTTGTTACAAAAGATACTCATTAAACCCCTACATCAAGGGTTGAATGGATAGATTTCCAACGCTTAAATTATGTGAGATACGAAATATTGTGCATAATTATGACATGTATCAAAAATAGTATTGTCAATAGATCCCATTAGTTTTTTTATTCACGACATGACTTTTTGATTCTATCTTGTCATCTATTAATCCCATTGCGTTTGTCTAAAATCATATTTTATAATCACAATCTGAATTAGATTTTTAACTTTTAATGAAAGATTAAAAAAAAGCTTTCGTTTCCATTTCTAGAAGTAACTTACTTTTGAAAGGTTATCTAATATGGAAAATCAAAAAGAATTGAATAACATTCTAAACAGATTATTTTAAAAAAATTAAACTTATAACATTACTACAAAGAGTGATATTTGAAAATACAACAATGATCACTTTTCTGAAAGCCAATATTCGAACACCCGACATCGTTTACAATACGTACTCATTTAACCCTTATGTCAAGGGTCAAATCGATAGATTTCCAAGTCTTAAATTATGTGAGATACGAAATATTGTACATAGTTATGACATGTATCAAAAATAGTATACTCAATAGATCCCATTAGTTTTTTTATTCACAACATGACTATTAGCTTTGTAATTCCATCTTGTCATCTCTTAATCCCATTGTGTTCATCTAAAATCACATTCTATAATAACAATATGAATTAGAGTTTTAACTTTTAATGAAAGATTAAAAATAAGTGATTTCGTTTCCATTTTTAGAAGTCACTTACTTTTGGAAGGTTATCCTAATATGTAAAATCAAAAAGAAATCACTAACATTCTAAACATATTATTTTTCAAAAATTAAACTTATAACATTATTACAAAAATGGTATTTGAAAATACCACAATTATCCTTTTTTGAAGGCCTATATTTGAACAACCGACATTGTTTACAACAGATCTGTTTAACCACAATGTCAAGGGTTGAATTCATAGATTTCCAAAGCTTAAATTATCTAAGATTCTAAATATTGTGCATAGTTATCATGTATCAAAAAAAATTAGTCAATAGATTTCGTTAGATTTTTTAATCATGACATGACTAGTGGTTTTGTAATTCCATCATGTTATCTCTTAATCTCATTTTGTTCTTCTAAACTCACATTTTATAATGAAAATCTAAATTAGATCTGTAACTTTTAATGAATGATTCAAAATAAATGATTTGGGATCCATTTTTAGAAGTCACTTACTTTTGAAAGGTTATCTTAATATGAAAAATTGAAAATAATTAAGTAAGATTCTAAATATATCATTTTAAAAAAAACTAAGATTATAACATTATTACAAAAAATGGTGTTTGAAAATACCACAATGATCCCTTTTCTGAAAGCCCATATTCGAACACATGACGTCGTTTACAACAAATATCCCTTTAACCACTACATCAAGTGTCGAATGAGTAGATTTTCAAGGCTTAAATTATCTGAGATACTAAATTATTGTGCATAGTTATGACATGCATCAAAAATAGTATAGTCAATAGATTCCATTAGTTTTTTTATTCACGACATGACTTTTTAATTCTATCTTGTCTTCTATTAATCCCATTGTGTTCGTCCAAAATCACATTCTATAAAGATGATCTGAATTATACTTTTAACTTTTAATGAAAGATTGAAAATAAGTGATTTTGTTTCCATTTTTAGAAGTCACTTACTTTTAGAAGGTTATCTTGATATGGAAAATTGAAAAGAATTCAATAACATTTTAAATCTATCATTTTAAATATATATATATAATATTATTATAAAAAATAGTATTTGAAATACCACAATGATCCTTTTTCTGAAAGCACGTATTCGAACACACAACACCATTTACAATAGATATCCTTTTAACCACTACGTCAAGTGTTGAATGAGTAGATTTTTAAGGCTTAAATTATGTGAGATACAAAATATAGTGCATAATTATAACATGTATCAAAAATAGTATAGTTAATAGATTTCATTATTATTTTTAATTCACGACATGACTAGTGGTTTGTAATTCAGTCTTGTTATCTCTTAGTCCCATTGTGTTGATCTAAAATCACATTTTATAGTGACAATCTGAATTAGATTTGTAACTTTTAATGAAAGATTCAAAACAAGTGATTTGGTATCCATTTTTAGAAGTCACTTACTTTTGAAAGGTTATCTTAATATGGAAAATTGAAATAATTCAATAAAATTCTAAACATATTATTTTTAAAAATTAAACTCATAATATTATTACAAAAAATAGTATTTGAAAATACCACAATTATTCTTTTTCTGAAAGCCCATATTTGAACACCCGATGTCATTTACAACAGATATCCCTTTAACCACTATGTCAAGTGTTGAATGAGTAGATTTTCAAGGCTTCAATTATGTGAGATATGAAATATAATGCATAGTTATGACATGTATCAAAAATATTGTAGTTATAATGCATAGTCATGACATGACTAGTGGTTTTGTTATTCCATCTTGTCATCTCTTAGTCCCATTGTGTTGATCTAAAATCACATTTTATATTGACAATTTGAATTAGATTTGTAACTTTTAATAAAAGATTCAAAATAAGTGATTTGGTATCCATTTTTAGAAGTCACTTACTTTTGAAAGTTTATCTTAATATGGAAAATTGAAAGAATTCAATAACATTCTAAACATATTATCTTTTAAAAATTAAATTTATAACATTATTACAAAAAAAAGTATTTGAAAATACCACAATGATCTCTTTTCAAAAAACCCATATTTGAACACCCTATGTTGTTTACAACACATATCCCTTTAACCACTATGTCAAGTGCCGAATGAGTAAATTTTCAAGGCTTGAATTATGTGAGATACGAAATATAGTGCATAATTATGGGATGTATCAAAAATAGTATAGTCAATATATCTCATTAGTTTTTTTCTTCACAAGATGACTTTTAAGTTATTTGGTATCCATTTTTAGAAGTCACTTACTTTTGAAAGGTTATCTAATATGGAAAATTGAAAAGAATTCAATAACATTCTAAATCTATTATTTTAAAAAAAATAAACTTATAACATTATTACAAAAATGATATTTGAAAATACCACAATGATCCTTTTTCTGAAAGCTTATATTCAAACATTCAACAGCATTTACAACAGATACTCGTTTAACTACTACATCAAGTGTCAAATGGATAGATTTCCAAGGCTTAAATTAGGTGAGATACTAAATTAATGTGTATAGTTATGAGATGAATCGAAAATAGATTAGGCAATATATCCCTTTAGTTTCTTTTATTCGCAACATGAGTAGTGGCTTTGTAATTTCATCTTGTCATTTCATAATCTCATTGTGTTAGTCAAAAATCGCATTCTATATTAATGATCTGAAGTAGATTTTTCACTTTTAATGAAAGATTCAAAATAAGTGAGTTGGTATCTAGTTTTAGAAGTTGCTTATTCTTTAAAGGTTATATTAATATGGAAAACGAAAAAGAATTCAATAACATTCTAAACATATTATTTTTTAAAAAATAAACTTATAACATTATTACAAAAATGGTATTTGAAAATACCACAATGATCTATTTTCAAAAATCATGTATTTGAACAATCAATGTCATTTATGACAAATACTGATTTAACCACTAAGTCAATAGTTGAATGGATAGATTTTTCAAGGCTTAAATTAGGTGAGATACTAAATTAATGTGCATAATGATGACATGTATCAAAAATAGTATAGTCAATAGATCTCATTAGTTTTTTTTATTCATGACATGACTAGTGGCTTTGTAATTCCATCTTTTGATATCTAAATGTCATAATATTTGTCTAAAATCATGGTTTATAATGACAATCTTAACATGCATCTCTACTTTTAAATTAATGATTCAAAAGAAGTGATTTTGTATCAATTTTAGAAGCCACTTACCTTTGAAAGGTTATATTGATATGCAAAATCGAAATTAATTCAATAACATTATTTAAATATCACTTTTAAAGTATTCATATAACATTGTTATAAAAATAGTATATTGGAAAAACCAACAATGATCAATTTGTTGAAACCATGTATGCAAACAATCGATGTCATTTACAACAAATACTCATTTAGACAATACATCATTGCTCGAATGGATACATTTCTAAGGCTTAAATTAAGTGAGATATTAAATTAATATACATAGTTATGACATGTATCAAATAGTTTAGCAAGTCAATCATTTAACTATCATTTTTCTCACTCATTTTTTATCTATATAAATATTTAAAATAAACAATTTACTACTCAATAACTTAGTCCAGGAAAAACTCGTCTTGAAGTTGGGTAACTTGCCAGAATTTAAAGGGTTTGTCAAGTTCTATGGCATTAAAAATATTATTTTTTTAAAAAAATAAATATTTCTTTATTATCTCCTAGACACGGTATATTTCCAAGGTCACCAATTTGATAGGCCATGACCAGATTTTTGTATAACTTTGATGTATTTTAGTTCTTTGAAGGTTAGAAAGTGAATTTCCTAAAATACGTTAATAATGAGTTTTTATTTTTAAGTTACAGGGCAAGAAATAAAATATATATTTCTGTCCAGGGTACATGCTTAATGGTCTAGCAAGCGTTTCTCAGCTCCCCTGTTCTTGTGCGTCTCGCTCTCGCTCGGGAGCCCTAGTCGGCGAGGATGGCAATCGACCAGCTTCTCCTGTACCCATTCTCTGCCATTTCGCACAATTAGTACTTATTTCCGGTGGCGGAAACCCTGCATCGATCGCCGTCGGCTGTGGCTGGAGGTTGCGACGATCATTTGGAGCTTCGAGAGCGAGTGGGCGGCGTTTGCGGGGCGAATTCTCTTGTTGCTGGTGGGGAACAAGGCGGAGGAGAGGGCAGAAGATGTATAGCAACTTCAAGGAGCAGGCGATCGAGTACGTGAGGCAGGCGGTGCAAGAGGACAATGCCGGAAACTATGTGAAAGCTTTCCCGCTGTATATGAACGCGCTGGAGTACTTCCGCACCCATCTCAAGTACGAGAAGAACCCTAAAATCAAGGAGGCCATCACCCAAAAGTTCACCGAGTACCTCCGTCGCGCCGAGGAGATCCGCGCCGTCCTTGACGAGGGTGGCCCTGGCCCCACTTCTAACGGCGGCGCCGCCATCGCCACCCGTCCGAAGACCAAGCCAAAGGATGGAGAAGAGGGCGGAGGGGAGGACCCCGAGCAGGCCAAGCTCCGGGCGGGTCTCAACTCGGCCATCATCAGGGAGAAGCCTAACGTCAAGTGGAATGATGTAGCAGGGCTTGAGAGTGCCAAGCAGGCCCTTCAGGAGGCCGTCATTCTCCCCGTCAAGTTCCCGCAATTCTTCACTGGTCCGTATCATTTTCTACTTGTGCATTTTCTTGCTGTTGATTGCTCCTCGCCATCTAACCATGATGTCATCCCCACTCTGCATTCCAGAGTTTTGGCATAGAACATAAGTATTCTCTGTGGAGCTTCCATCGAGCTTTGTCTTCTTATGTCATAGCTCTCTCTATTAATCTTCTATTAGATTAGTTTTTTCAAAATACGTGTTAAAATTTGTGAGAAAATTATGTTTTTTTTTTCTTTCTATGCTGCTTGTCCTCTGCTTCCTTAATCCAAGAAATCACTTTCTGACATCACGTTTGGCATCTGTGAATAAGATTGTCAGAAGTTCACAAACTTGTATTCCCAATTTACCATTCTGTCGATGAGTAATAGTTATCTACAGCTTTATGTGGGAGCGCTTACCTGTGTAAAGGGAACAAATGGTGATGATATGATACTTCCATGTCATTTTTTTGGATAAGGGCCTGTGTGTTATCCTCTTCTGAAACAAATGGTGAACTGATGAAATGCTTATCATCTAAGAAATAGGCATCGGTCCTCGTTCATGAGAACATTTTTTAGGGTTGTGTCCTAAGACTATATTTCATCAGAATTTAATAATCCTGGACTTGTACTCAAGAAAGTAGTCCAACCAAGGAAAGTAAAAAGGCCTCCTGAGTGGGGAGAACCTAACAAAACCTGTAAACCGTGGCCCTGAACAGATACATCCGACAGACTGTGCAGACTACCTCCAAGGACATACAACTAAACGCCTGAATTATGGCCGGTTTGGCATCTACATACAACAAGGTTAGATTATTAGGCTAAATCTTCCAGTAAAAAAATTCAACTGAGCCCTTGATAATTTGGATAATAAGTTGGGATAAGAGCTGAATTGTTTTTGGCCATATGACTGCTGGGCTCCAAAATCACTTTGTCATAGCCATTAGGATTAGGCCAATGCCAACTTCGTAGCAAGCCACCTATTCTACCATCCTCTGTCTTCTCCATGTCTCTAGCTTAAGTATCAAGGGGTGCCATAGTAGATTGATTGGATATGGACATAGAAAGTGCATCTGCACGTGGATAAATTTATTTCCAACTATTGCTCTAGATGGTAGCTTACCATGGGTAATTTCCCATAGCAATAATATGGTGTCAATTCGAAAGCCTCTACAAAACTTTAGACCCTCTGTCGTTGTAATTTTCCGCAGAATCTAAGCAATGATTTTATCCCTTGGGTCCCTTCTCCAGTATCTAGATTCTTAATCTGTAATATTTAAATATTATTTTCTCGAAATGTCAGGTGTTTGATCTGGATATAATTCGGGTGCTCACTTGGGCTGGACGGGTCTGTTTTGGGCTCAAGATCGCATAATATTTTGAGAAGAATAATTTGGGACCTTTGAAGAAACAAATTTCTTGATGTTTTCAAAGGAATTTGCAACTCAAAGGAAGTGATTTTGTTTTTAAGTATGGAACATGAAGATTTTTGGTTTAAATAAAAAGTATTTGGACTGGGCATTTAAACCAGTTTTTGACACTAAGCTACCATTAATTTGGCCATTAATTTGGGGGATTATGGCATAATCTACCATTTGCTTGGTCATTGAATCTGAGTGATTCTAAAAGTTTCTCAGAGTTACCTGCTAAAGGTTATATAACCTAAATATTGCTGCTTTTAATTTTCTATCCCACTTCCATAGGTAAGCGGCGACCCTGGAGAGCATTCCTTTTATATGGTCCACCAGGAACTGGAAAATCATATTTGGCTAAGGCTGTCGCTACTGAAGCTGAATCAACGTTCTTCAGGTACATTTCAACCTTAGGGTGTGCTTCAGCAAGGCAGTTTTAATGTGAATTTTTTTAAAAAAAATCAGTTTTAATCAGTTTGTAAAGCTGTTACTGATTCACATTGCACAAATCTCCTTCGGTTTTTGAGTATCTTCATGATAATTGCACATGGCATAACTTGTCTTTCTTCATGATCATTTCCTTCATCTACTAGTAATTGTACTTTTGATAGCGAGATGAAAATGCATCATAATGTCTCGAAAAAGTAATATTTAACAAAAACATGTCTTCTTGTGTTTATTTATTGCTAAGAATAAATCAGAACATATTTTTAGCAAGAAACAAGATGTAACTGTAGATAAATAAGGCCATTAAATCTATAGTAGAGGGAATTCAAGGAGAATCTTATCTGGAATAACCACAAAACTTGTTTTAAAATTCAGGGAGATTCCAACCAACAAGGTTGGAATCTAAAGCCTACCAAGACATTCATAATTCAGTGAATGTCAATGTTATCCGAAACGATAGTAGAAAGTACAGTCAGATCCCATATGAAACCTTGGCTATTTATCATTGTGTAGAACTTATTGTTGGTAAAGATGATAAAGTGGCATGAGTTGCAACCACTATAACTCGAAGTTCGTAAAGTTCGTAGTTCACTAGTATACCCTTCCTGCAGGCCTTCGTCATATAGATTCACCCTCTTTGTTTTAAAATTAATTCGTAAGATGTCGTTTTTGCTCTAAATAAGAAAAAAAATCATAAGTCAGGGCCCTGTAGGAACGTCTAGCATGTTATATGCTGGCATGGACGCATCAAAATAACGGAACACCCATTCGCACATCCTATGGTGTTGAATAAACGCGGATTTCAAGAGTGTACTTAGTGTAATCTCCTTTTCCTCATGTTTAATTGCAGACTGTATGTTTTCCTCTCATATCCTGCAATTTCTGGTTCTCATATCTAAATTAATAAAAGATGAATCGTGGTTGTCTGTGCAGTATTTCTTCATCGGATCTGGTTTCGAAATGGATGGGAGAGAGTGAGAAACTAGTTGCCAACCTGTTCCAGATGGCCCGTGAAAATGCCCCTTCCATCATTTTTATTGATGAAATAGATTCCTTATGTGGTCAGCGTGGTGAAGGCAATGAAAGTGAAGCTTCTCGACGAATTAAAACAGAACTCCTCGTACAAATGCAGGTTGGCGCAAGAGCATAATATTTTATACGCAAAACAGTGGCTGAGTTGACTTTTCCCTGGCTTTTTTCTCTTTTCCTTGTTTACTGTTCCTGCAACTGCTCTCTCCTTCTTCTCTTCCACTGGTGAGTTGTGTCTCCAGTTATTGGGAAGGTCGTTGGTTCTTCTGAAACCAATTCAACCGGGAACCGCAATTTTATTTTTTTTCAAAGTTATTCCAAAATATTTGGAAGAATTACAGTGCCCTGGTTCAAATCGATTGTTAATGAGTGAAGTCCGTATATTTGATGACAGGATTTAACTCGTCTTATTCCATGTGGAATTATTTGCTCATTCATGTCCAGACCTTTTATATTATGCTTTTTTTTTTAATTTTTTGTGTAGGGCAGAAAATGAAAAAGAAGGAGGGGGGAGCGAAAACGAGGTATATAGAAACCAGCTTATACATGACAATCAGTGGATTCTCTGTAATGCCAGGGGAAGCATTGAGCTTGAGAACTGGTTTCAACTGAGAATCCACTGGGACACCTGTAAGAGCGTAAATGTATATTACATTGCAGCCGATTTCTCTTCACCAGGCATTGCTGAAATGTACTTCTAACGTCTCATAGTGTGAGGAATTGGAGCTGAGAAACTGGTGGGGCGTGAGACTTGTTAAGTGAGATGCTGAATCCCTCTAATACAGATCTCTGTGTCCTCTACCTCGTTAAATTTCAGAAAAAGATCAGAAGTTGGGTTCTTATACATGATTGATTGAAGGACTAGGTTAGTAGTTTTGATGTCAAGTTACCTTGTGTTTACTGATTACAGTGAGATTCAGCTCGGCCTGTGTAGCTCATGCTTCGTTGACGCCTCCAAGGTGTCTGGCTATGCCATTTTCATTATATATAGTGCACTTTAGTATATCAAGTGGAATGCTTTACACAATATTTACTATGTATATATATATATATGAGTTTATAACCCAATTCCCTGTTAAAATCCCTCCATATCCTAGATGCATTTAGATTCCATTGGGTCTGCAGTTACCAATGCAGCTGAATATGAGAAGTGTATATTTTTTTGGCTTGTTTGGGCAGGCTCAGTTTACCATAGAGCTTTCCTCTGAATTTTTTGTTGACTTTATTTCTACTGTTCTCTCACTACTGAGGCTAGTTATTCCTGTTGACTTCAGGGAGTAGGAAACAACGACCAGAAGGTTCTTGTGCTCGCAGCTACAAACACCCCATATTCTCTTGATCAGGTTTTCCCTAAACACATAACCACTGTAGAATTACATTTTTTTTCCTAATTTAGTCTGATTTTGTTCATAGGAAATGTTAATTTCCCCTTACGATGAACTCAACTTATCCACAGGCCATCCGGCGGCGTTTTGACAAGCGGATCTACATTCCCCTCCCTGATTTAAAGGCCAGGCAGCACATGTTCAAGGTTGTCTTCGCCTCAGACCTCGTTCTCCTAGGAGGGCTCTTAAGTTTTTTTCCTTTTATTGGGGAAATTGTCTCAACCCATATAATCTTCAGGTGCATCTCGGTGACACTCCTCATAATCTAACCGAGAGCGACTTTGAGTACTTGGCTCGCCGAACCGACGGCTTCTCCGGCTCCGACATATCCGTCTGCGTAAGCTTCCCCCACCCCCAATTCCCCTCCTGATCCATCCAGCTCTGGCCCATCCTGTAAAGATATGATCTTTTTGCTATTTGTGGGGCAGGTCAAGGACGTGCTCTTTGAGCCAGTGAGGAAAACCCAGGATGCCATGTTCTTCATCAAGAACCCTAGCGACATGTGGGTCCCTTGTGGGCCCAACCACCCTGGGGCCATCCAAACGACGATGCAGGATCTTGCTACCCAGGGCCTGGCCTCCAAGGTAAACCACCTGAAGGAACCCCCCTACCGTGCCTCACCGCCATCACCACCACTGCGGCTGCCGCCACTACCCAATCTGCTGTGACTAATTGGTTCACATCTCTTCTCTTGTGTGAAAAATATTCCTTCTCCAGATCCTTCCCCCGCCGATTGCCAGAACAGATTTCGACAAGGTGCTCGCCAGGCAGAGACCAACAGTGAGCAAGGGCGACCTGGAGGTCCAAGAGAGATTTACCAAGGAATTTGGAGAGGAGGGTTGAGGGGTACTCTCTCTCTCTCTAAGCTTTGGTAATAAGTGGGCTCCACTTGATATCAGTTGGCAGGTATGCAGCATGTTTCTGGCCATCATTTTTTTATGAGTACAGAAGAGGATGCTCTGCTCTTCATGATTTCATTTACTTCCATCTCTCCCTCTGTTGATGTGATTATCTCCATTCCTAGTTGAAGATGTTCCCTCCAGATTTTATCCCTCTTGGGCACTAAGCATCAGTTTTCTCTTTATCATCATCATCATCATCCTCTTCGTCGTAGTCACCATCACACATGATCCATTTAAATTTTTGGCCCATCATCATTATCAGGATAATTTTATGAATTTTGTTCATCGCTAGCTTCAGGTGAATCCATAATTAATTAAACCCGGCAGCTGTATTTAATTTGTTCAGAATTATTTATTTGTAATTGATATTTTACTAAACTTACACCTTTGAGCGTATCAGATTGCAGAGCAGCGAAGCCTCTCAATATAAGATTAAAGGCATTTATTTTCGAAATAATATATTAGATAATAATTCATCTGATGAATTATTAGAAAATGGGGATCTGGCGCAGTTGACGATGAGGTGACCTTGAGGAATGAGTTCCAGAAAATGCCTAATTCTGGACACCATTCTATCATTAAGTGGGATGCTTTAGGATCCCAGGGCTTGCTCAAAATCCTATCCAACTTGGTCAAAATAGAGAAGAACGCACAAAATTTATAGAGAGAGAGAGAGAGAGAGAGAGAAAGCAGCATCAGCAGCAAGTAGACCCAACTTATTGTACTCATCATTTCTAGGCCGTAAAGTGGGATGTTTGGCTCTTGATTGGCATAGTGCACAAATCTTTATGCTTTCATGGGTATTCTCTTGAGAGCACATTCCCTTCTGGTTGTCTCAGCAAGTCAACTAGTATGTTGACCAATTTTCGCAACCCAAAAATTCTACGACGACCCACTGAAGCTCAAAATTTGTAAAAAAATTGAATAAAATCACAATTAGAATGTAAAAACACTCTAGAAAATGGATTAACTTCCGTTCTTAGTATAATACATTCTTAGTATAATGTACAAGTGAAATTAAGGCAATCTTTAAATAAATATCACTTCTTTCAACCTGCATAGATCTCTATATTTTGGCAAGGTACCCAACTTATAGATGCGTTTTTCCTTTAATAAGTAATCGACTAGTAAATTATAATCTTAATTTTTTTATAAAAATAAAAATGATCCTTTAATTATCTCCAAATCAACAAACCACCTTCATGATCTATTTGCTAAACTATGTTGACACACGTCATAATTGTTTACATTAAATTAATAACTCATTAAATTAGATCCTAAAAAATATTCATACATGTAAGTTGCAAATGATGTCAATTGTTCTAATATCCATTTTATTCTAAAAAGGCATTTTTATACCAATATTTTATGGATAATCTAAAAAGAAGCTATACTTGGAGCATGAATGAATTTATTCTATTATTATTTCAAAAAATAAGTGCTGATATGGCACATTTTTTCAGATTTCCGTACAAAATATAATCTTTTAAGGGTCAATGGCTTCTAAAAATTGACACCAAATCACATCTTTTATGGGTCAAATTGACAATTTGAGATGGTCATTAGGACCAAAAATTTAACTAATCTCTTAATGAAATGAGAGGTTTGGACAACCCCCCCTTAAAAAAAAAAACTATAAAGTTATATATAAAATTTATTCACCCATTGGAGCCTCTGACAAATAGATCAAAATGATGATAAAAAAATACGATTTTTAGTATTCAAATGAACCTACGGTTAAAGTTTTCAAAAACACAATCTCTATTCGGTCGGTCGAAGAGGAACGAGCCCCCCCCCCTGGGACGCAGCAGCTAAACCCTTCTTTCCTCCTCCCATGGAGGACGCCGGAACCCTACCAACCCCGCCGGACCGCCCATTCTCGATCTTCTCCAATGGCGGCACCGCCAGGAAAAAGGGCCGGAACAACGCTACTCCGCTGCTGCCGCCGCCGCCGCCTTCGCTTCTCCCTCCGCCGCCGCCGCACGGCGTCTCCGGCGAGGCGTCGACCTTCGCCGACCTCGGCCTCTCCAACTGGGCCGTCGCCACCTGCAAGGAGCTCCAGATGAAGCGTCCCACCCCTGTGCAGCGCCACTGCATCCCCCGCATCCTCGCCGGCGACGACGTGTTGGGCCTGGCCGAGACGGGCAGCGGCAAGACGGCGGCTTTTGCTCTCCCCATCCTCCAGCGGCTCGCCGAGGAGCGGTACGGCGTGTTCGCGCTGGTCGTCACGCCCACCCGCGAGCTGGCCTACCAGCTCGCCATGCAGTTTCGGGCTCTGGGTTCTTCCCTGGAGGTGAAATGCGCCGTCGTCGTTGGAGGGATGGATATGCTCACGCAGGCGAAGACGTTGATGCAGAGGCCGCACATCGTCATCGCCACTCCGGGGAGGATACGGTTTCTCCTCTCGGAGGACTCTGATATTCCGCGCTTGTTCTCGAATACCAAGGTACCCTTGCTTCATTTTCCTCCCCCTTTTTTCATCCATCATTGGCGCCAAGATTTTTTTTTTTTATTGCAAGAAGAAATCTAGGGTGGGCATCTGGGTCAATCCCCATCAGATGAATTTTTTTCTTCTCACGACAGAAAAAAGTAAAAATAATTGAGATTAGGGTGTTGACCTTCAGAAACATCTTCTGTTCTTCTTCTCCTTCAGTTCTTCTAAACCCGTGACGGACCCGTACTCTCTGAACGCCTTGAATTCACCCTACGGCTCAGGCATGATCTCGCTCATTTGAGTGGAATCGGAAGGAGAAGGGAGAGTTCTAATTGACTCGCCCTATGATTCCACCATCCTTTTCAGAGATTTTCCAAGTTTTTTGGACAAATGTCTGGACTATGTTGAATCGGTGCCGCGTTTTTGTAGATGGGTTTAGGCTCTGTTAGTAGATCTGCTATCGAGGTATTCAAGGGTGTACCCATCTGCATGGGAGAGGACCCATCAAATGAAAATCAAGGGTTCAGGATATTTTAGATTCTAGAGAAAAGGTGTGGGCAGACCTCAGAGAAGATCTATGAAATTAATGACTCCTCAGGTGGTCACATACGCTTTATTTATTCAAAATTTTCCTTACTTTAACTGCTGTGTTTGATAGAAAAAATGCCATATAAAAATAGATTAATGCTAGATTTCATGTTTTTCTTCCTTCTTTTTCGTGAAGATTAAAACCTATTTTTAATTTCTTTCTTCAGTCAATAAATTATAAAATTAAACTCTTTTCTTAAAACTCCAAGCATTGATAGAATCATTGCTGTATCATCAGGTGCTACTCTGGCCCAGCATTAAATCTAGCACTCTGTTCCTTGCTGATCATGCATTGAACATTTTATGGGCATTTGATTACTTATCCTTTTTTAAATTATTTCCAATACTTTATTTTAAATTGAAATCCCTTTTTTGATACATTGGCTGAGTGTTGACCTTCTCTGTTAATTTCTCCTGACAAATTTATCCTTTTTGTGTGCATGCCAGTTTCTTGTTCTTGATGAAGCAGATAGAGTTCTGGATGTTGGATTTGAGGAGGAATTAAGGGTGATATTCCAATGTGTGCCCAAGAATCGGCAAACTCTTTTGTTTTCCGCAACCATGACAGAGAACCTGCGAGCTCTACATGAGCTTTCTGCTAATAGGTCATACTTTTATGAAGCATATGAGGGTTTCAAGACAGTTGAGACCCTTAAGCAGCAATATATTTTTCTTCCTGAGCATGTGAAAGACGTCTATCTCTTGCATATCTTGTCAAAGATGGAAGACTTGTCTATCCGTTCAGCAATGATATTTGTTTCTACCTGCAGGTATTAATGTCAATCTTGAACCGAATATTTTCAATGCACCTCATGGTTCACTTTGATTATTGCCATGGTCAAATGCCTAGTTTTATCTGCATCTACCTCCTGCCTCCTCAACTTTCACATTCTTGACTTTTCTCCATTCCTAAGATAGAATCCATGTTTTGTTGTATAATCTCATTGAATGGGGAAAGTATGATAAGCCTAATCACAGGTGGGTTCATCTTGAGAGTTGGATTCATCTGGTTTGATGCGCAAATATGTTTTAAACTAAACGAGGGTGTAACTTATACACATTTTTATAAAAGTTTGGTTTTGGTTAATTATCCCTTAATATGGAGAGGATAGAAAGTATGAGCTGACTTGAAACCCGTTGACCATGCAGATGAGACCATGAGTTGACCAGCATGCTCCCGCTCCCTCTGTTCTAACAGTGGTTTAAACTCACCATTGTCTTCGCCCAATCAGGACTTGTCATCTTTTGGACATACTACTCGAAGAGCTTGGTCAATCTGCAGTGTCCCTACACTCCCACAAGTCTCAGTCTCTCAGGCTCGCTGCACTCAACCGATTCAAGTCGCGCCAAGTTCCTGTCTTGTTGGCGACCGATGTAGCCAGCCGGGGTTTGGACATCCCAACAGTGGATCTGGTGATAAACTATGATATCCCGCGGTATGTTTCTATATATCTAATCATCTGCCTCTCAAGAACTCTGTTTGTGGTGAGAAGAACGTTTTTCATTAAACCATGGGTATGAAATTGTGTCAGCTACCCGCGTGATTATGTTCACCGTGTGGGACGGACGGCAAGGGCTGGCAGAGAAGGGGTTTCACTGAGCTTCATCACTCCGGTATGCTTGCTAAATATGGTTTCTTTTCTGTGAATTATTTTCTATAATTAGTTGATTATTTTGGCATTTGGTGTTGAGAATAACCCAAGAAGGGGAAAAAATAAGAACATAGGAAGAGTAGGAAGGAAGGAAGAAAGAAAGAAAGAAAGAAAGAAAGAAAGAAAGAAGGGGGGGGGGGTCTCTCAGGAGGTCAGCCATGCCTTATTAGCCATGCTCAGCCTAAGTGAAAAACTGCAAATATACCAGCTATTGATAGATATTTTTCTTCAAAAGGGAATATAATTTAAGCCATGACACTTGATGGGTATTTTTCTTTTACTGCTAAAATATGAGTATTTTTTTCTGAATTAAGAATTTGTTAGTTGCTTGCTAGAAGAGGATGGAAAAGAATCACATCTGTGTATTACTTAAAATCCCCTCCAGGTCTTTCCAGTTCTTGAGCACAGTTCTTGACTGACTTTGGCAGCATGGTATATATGTGCATGTTGATTTATAATGTTCTTTTATTTTCTTGTTTTGTTTGTCAGAGTGATGTGGCCCTTATTCATGAAATAGAGGCTACGATAGGGGAAAAGCTTGTTGCTTTTGAATGCAAAGAGAACGAGGTTCTTGAGGACATCACAAAGGTTATATATCTTCACAACACAATTCACTGCATCTTTACTAAAATCAATATCATGCATAGTGATATTTTCCTATTATAGCTGAAAATTTGGATTTTTGTATGCATATTATTTCCTCCAATCTTTTGGGATTGAGAGATCAAATCATGTTCAAAGACCCTCCACCTAGATGCTACTGTTTATTTGAGTAGTTTGTGGAAGTGGGCACCAGGAGAGCGCAGGCTATAGGATCTACATCTAGGTCTAGGGTTTATAAGTTAATGTGGCCATTAAAGCACTGAGATGGGACGATTAAAACTTTAAATGCTTCCATTCTCTGTGAGCGGTCTTCTTCTTCTTGCAGTAAGTCGATGCTTGATGCTTTCTATAACTATCACAGAAAGCCTTTAGATTGACATTTGATGGAGATGATCATCTTCAGGTGTACAAAGCGAGGCGTGTTGCAAGGATGAAGATGGTGGACGATGGCTTTGAAGAGAGAGCCAAGGTGAGGAAATCCCAGAAGCTGAGGGTGTTGGAAGAAAAGGGTCTGCTAAAGAAGAGGAAGCATGAGAAGAAAATGCAAGGATCTTAATAAGATGGGGAATGAACAAGCTGAGATATTTTATTTATTTCATCAAAATCTTGGCTTCCCCCCTTATTGTGTATATATGAGCTCACATTCTGCAGTTTTTCTCATATAAGAGGAGCAATTATCCCATGTGATTTTCTCTCGGATTGCTTTCCACTGGAGGAGAAAAATTCCTATTTTTGTTAGTGAAAAAAACACCCCAGCACATGAATATAACATTCTTCATATGGAAACTTATTCTTCATATGACAATCCAAATAAGAAGCTTGTTGTCTTGTTTTTTAGTAAAACTTAATCCCCTGTTCTTTCTGTTCTTTGGCATCTGATAGGGAGAGTTTATGTCCTTCCACTTTTGTCTCTCTAGCAGGGCTGAAATTATTCGTTAACAAAATAATTTTGTTTTAAAAAAGTGTCATACATTGAAAGTAGAATGCGATGAGAGAGAATTGAGAAAGAGTTTTAAAGAAGTGACCAGTTTCCTAGGGGAAACCTTAAAGTCAAACCTCCGGAAGGTCAAATGCATGAAGAGATAGAGAACACTGAAATCACCAACCAAGCCTTCTCTCAGATGGTAGTCGAAGCGACTGAGGAGACTCACTCTTCCATCACATCTACTTCCACCTCAGCCACCTTCTGCTTCAGCAGAGTGATCTTCGTGGACAGCACTTCTGCAGGAACAGAGCCGAGTTGAGCAGAAGCTCTTTTTCTAAAAAAAGAAAACTTTCCAAATTATAAACATATATGCATTAAAATTGTTACCCGTTTGGCCTTTGATGAAGGAATAGCCCTTGGAGCTGATGTAGGTCCTGGGATTCGGCAATTGGAAGTTCCTCAGGTACTCCACTTGGTCCTTTATTTGCAGAAGCCAAGCAGGGGAAGCAGAATTAATGGAAAGCAAAAAAAAAAAGAAAAAAAGAAAAAAAAAGGACAAAATAAGCTTGCAGAAGATTGTGTCATCTCACCTTGGTAATGACGCAGACATCCACGTTGCTGCCGCTCCCAAGATCATTGAATATGCCCGAACAGATGGCTTCACTGACTAAACTGATTCCTTCGTCCCTCTGAGTAAGAGAAAGTAGAGACATTATGTTTCAAACACGCTGTTCAAACTGACGTTGGTATTAGAATTCTCAGTTGATCTGTGATAGTAATGGCTCTATAAGGCCCATAAGCCTATAATTAAATGGGCCTAGAGTAGTTCTTCCTCCTCTCCTATACGTATGAGATAAATGCCCATGAACAGGGACAGAATCTGAGCATTCACAACAAAATGCGAATGGCAAAAACAGGTCAAGCTCTCAAATTCTTCAGAAAAATTGATACAATATAATATCCACATCATTCGTATCTATACATATACATATATATCCTCAAGGTGTTTGTCACAGAGTGCATATAAACCTTCAAATTGTGAAGCAACAACAGATAAATGCCGAAGAGAATTCATGTAAAAAGGTATTTTAGTAAGTTTCAGATGACATACAGTAAGACCCTCTCTGTATTTTGATTCAAACACCGCCATGGCTGCCAGCGAACCGGATCCCATTGTAGCAAACGGGAGAGTATCAGTTGAGCCATGAGGATAGATCTGCACATGTGGGCGAGCTATCAAATATGCAAGTACATGCAACCGGAAAACCAATCTCTTTATCAACATAAAGAGCACCAGTTGAACTGTGGGGGTAGATGAGTATTATGGGCAAAAGTAGTGGTTTCTCGAAAGAAATAATGAGATTGTTGATACAGTTATCAGATGAAGAAAACATTTATGCAGTCAAATAAGGAGCATATAAACATACTGTGTGCAGATGCGGTCCAGTGACATCAACACCACCGAGAACCAAAGCAGCGCTGACGTAACCTTGGTAGCTGGCCAAAAAAGTTTATAAAAATTGGAGAAGAACATAATTTGAGTTGAAACCACGCTAAAAGACTAAGCAAAAAGCATGAGATGCGATGACAGAAGTATATAAACCTGAACAAGTGTGTCTTCAAAAGAGTAAGTGCAGTAACAACCCTTGATTCACGGCCTGTGGCATATCGGTGCAATTGAAGCTGGGAGCTAACCATGTCTGGGAAGGAAATCATGGATAGTCAATATGTCACCACAGTGAGACAAATGACACCGAGGACAGAAAAAATGATCACCAAGAAAAGTGTAACAAGAGCAAGAGGATATGATTAAAACTTAAATATCTGGATTAAAAAATAAACCGGAAAAAAATAAAATCTGAACCTACCAGTCACGGCTTCTGTGTCTGCAGCAGTTCCTGCACCACAGCAGTATATATTTGGTGCCATGTAATGAATTTTCTCGCAGTTTTTATCAGCTACTATTGGCCCTTCAGTTGCCCTGGTATCTGCTCCCAAAACAATGCCATCCTAATGAAAATTTTAAATAAGAGACAAAAATAGTTAGCCCATTAAAAATCATTGGCACTAACTTGGGAACTCAAAACTGACTAATGATTCTCTTTAACTTTCTGCCACTAAGACTGCTGGCCAACGAATCTCAAACAAGGAAGTCAATTTTTTTTATTCAAGAAAAAAGGACGGGTATTACTGAATGTATCACAAGAGGAAACCGCTCTAATCTGGATCAACAAAGTGCAAGTGTCTCCATGACAAAAACAGTTGGATAGGGTTTCCATTATGGGAGTGAGAAGATCATATCTAACGGACGTTGTCACAGGGTGATGCCACTTATCCTGTAAGAGCTCATTGTGTTCAGAAGCCACGTTATAATAATATAGGCAGCCAAAATTACCCTTTTTATTAACAATAAAAAATAAGTGCTACTGTAAAGCAAGTCAAACATTTTCCAGTTGGCATGTTGGGAATCCGGTCTACAGCTAAATAATATGTGAGAAAGTACAAGTTCATATCATTAAATTACACGATTGAAAAGAAACAGAAAGGTCAATAAATTGAAAGTGTTGCAAAATACTTAGGCGGTATAAATGTGGTGTTACATTAGTGATAGGCAATTACTGAGGGAAAGAAACCCCATAATTCATACGGCTTTCTAGATTACACCATTTCTCAAACTCCCAGATGATAGGAACACGTTAGTTTAACAATCATTCAGGGTTATTGCATAACTTGATCCACACAATGCAAACAAAGAGACATTACTTGATAGGCTGAGCACTAAGAGCTCGGTTCATTAGTAATTAAATGAGATCAAGGATCATGTTCTATTAGATAACATGAAGCATATACAGAAGTGATCAGATAACTTCATAAACACATTCTTCCTCCCAGACTGGGAAGGATTAATGAAAATATTGGGGAAATGCCTAAACAATACATTTTTCTTCAACAATGCAACAGGACCACGTTGAAAGTAGAATAAGACGTGCCAAATAACAAGCATAAGGGTACAACATTTCCAACACTAAGGTTTTATGTTACCAGAAAATGTATGAAGACAACTATCACTATAACTCTATAACCAATTGGGATGACAAACACAATTACATGTCATAACATCCTTGTGCTGCCAGTTCAAACAGAAGGAATCATCCATACCTGAAATACCAAACCCACAATTGTTGTTCCTGTCTTCAGAAATGATGGTGGCTTTAGACCTTTGCCCGCAATCATTTCATTCCTGCGGCACAAATCAAAGCTAAAACCACCCTTTGGTGGAACTTCCATCACCACTCTGCTAATACTACAAAAAAGATAACGAAAATGAGCCCAGTGACAAGAAATCAGACTGTGCAAAAATTGTATTAAAAATAGGATAAAAGAATCATCTAGACATTGTAAATAGTATGTTTACATAAAAAATGAACATTAGAATATAGACAAAATAGCAGCACAATCCGATGCAAGAAAACAGAAACACAGGATACTCTAGTAGCTCCACTTGATCTGTTTATTTAGTATTTGGCTTACGTTTTGCCAATTTATCAGAGAGTTTTGACAACAGAAATATAGTGTTGTCTTTAATCTCACTTTTCTCAGAAGAGGTTATTGTTGAATAATGAAAAGGAGAATGATCTCTCTGTCATGAATTTTTCCATCGACCAAGAGTTTTTATAAATTTAGGAGTGAATGAACATTAGTGAGATTCACATTGAAAGCATTTATATCATTTACTGGGCTTAAACTTACAAAATATAATGTTCTAGCATGATTCTGAACACTTGTTTTAATGATTCCTTCTCTCTAATTTTGAAGGTGTTTTAGTTAGAGCAACTGTATTATTAGATCTATCCATTGGAAATTTAGGTTTGATTTAATTCCACCTATGCCACCAGCCATACCCAATTTAATTACAAGCCTCAAACAAAGTCATACCAGAAAATAACTACCTATAAAATGACTTCTCGTACAGCTGATTTACCGAAATAAAGTGTGCATGCTTGGCAGCTTGTTTATGCCATAAGGAGTTGAAGAAGATCCCTTAATACGTTTCGTCATTCCTTTTACTGCGATTACTCGAATCCCCTGCTCCCATTTGATAAGATCCGGACTAATAGAATGGGCACATGTGGTGGAAATCCTTTGGCCTATCCCTTCTGTTATAGATAGCAAACCAGGATATGATTTCCCCTTTCTCAACAAGAAGTCATATGTCTAAGAGGCCTTTTTCCAGCCCCATTTCCATACCCTTTCCCCGTCTAGGCTATTTTTTATCAGTCAACATAGCTTTCCCGATTCCAAATCATGGTTTGTACACTTCCTCTCTCTTTATCAGTCTAGCATGAAGCCCTACACTGTAGGTAAGTCAAGGCATCATTTAAGATAAGTTTCGTTCATCATTTCTTCACACATTTTACCGTAAATGTACATTGATCTCTTTCTCATCAACCTTATGGCGGTTGCAATAGGTCAATGTGTATTTTTTGCTCCCTCTCAACCGTGGCCTCTGGATAGAGCTGAAGGCATTTATTTGCAGACTGGCCAGCAAACGTGGACACAACGATTTTCCGGTTGTTTATGGGTACCGTCCAGTGGCAAAACCACAGCCAAATCGTTCTCGGAAATTATAGCTTTCCATGCCAGTTCATCTACAGCGCTAGTTCATGCCAGTTTACAAAGAATTGTATCATTAAGCTAGAGAAAACTCGGGCACATTGACGCAGTTTAAGTACCCCTAATTTTAAAATATGGTCTTGTCATCTTTACAGCAGTAAGTTCTCAATGGCGCAGCTATCTTTAAAGAGATGATCGATGTACATGACTATTACACAGTATCTCATTAAGTTCACAGAAATGACATCATGATCTTAGTGCGTTATCCGGCCTGATGTTTTCTTTTCACCAAGATTTTTATTTTTCAACCCATTAGAATTTCTGGACTCCTATACTTCCCTCAGCTTCACCCACAATGAAGACGACGATTTGTCTCCTCTCCACTCTTCCCCCCTACACTCCTGAGTTGACCACGCTTGGACATCTAACAACGCCCACCCTACTTTCGCACTCTATCACGGAGATCACTCCCCTGAGAAAATCCGAAAAGGGAAAACAAGAGGGGACGCAAACTAGAAGGAATAAACAACAGGACTCGTGGTAACGTACCTCCCCTTCTCAGCCGAGCTTCCACAGAGGACTTCCACTTCGGAGGAGGAGACGAATCTCCCGCTGTATCAGAGCTCGCCGGTAACGTTCGATGGGGCTTCCCCGACCGCCGTGATGCTTCCTCGGGAGGATCTCTGCGCGATGCAGAGGCTAGGGCTCAGGGGAAGGCGAAGGCGAAGGCTCGAATAATCTACAGATGTGGGGAGACCGGTTCAGTTCCCGGTTCAAGAAGCCAGTCCGGTTCCGGGTTGAACAGCTTCATCAGATTCCGGTCCACCACTGTGCGAAGACGGGGAGCGCCTGTTTTATTCAGGATTCCCTGAAGTGCTACGTGGCGGGAGGGACCCACTGCCTTCTCACACAGCTGGTGCGGCCTCGAGCCCCCACGTACCATATTTAAGGGTATTATGGTCATATCAAACCAACTCCCCCGCCGGAATCATCGGAGCTGTCACGTGCACGGCAAGGTCTCGTTTTCTCTTTGAACCACGTCAGCAAGTGGGACCCACATAAAAGTAGGACCCGCCATTAAGGCTTGAGGCGAGAAGGGAAAGAGAGGGCCCACGCGCCCGTTAATTTCCGGAAAAGGCAAAAAGAGGGGGAGAAATGCGGGCGGCGAGGAGAGGACTGCGTGATCCCCACCGCGCCGCCGCCGCCGCCTCGGCCACCGCCGGTGGCGCCGCCGTCGCCGGCCGGCGAGCCACGTCCTCCGCCGCCGCCGCCCCACCGCCGCCCAAGGGGAAAGGTAGGCGGGTGAGGAGGAAGAGGGCAGAGAGAGAGGAGGAGGAGGAGAGAGAAAGTGCCCCCTCCTCGAGGAGCAGCAGGCTTCTCGCAGCGCCACGTGGCGAGTTACAAGTGGGCGCCCAGTTCCGGGTTCCCCACAACAGCACACCCTGCCATGTCAGTGTCGTCCTACGCCCCCGGCGAATCCGTATCGTATGGGGGCGCCCCCCCCCCCTCTCTCTCTCTCTCTCTCTCTCTCTCTCTCTATTTAGTCCTCCCTGCCTCCCTGTCTCCCTCTCCTCCCTCTCTCTCCCCACCGCTCTCCCCGGTGCCCTAATTCCCAGGGGCCCCTCTCCCCCTTCGTCGGAGCGCCGGCCGTGCTGCTGGGTAATTGGCAGCCTTGTGCTCAGAGGCCGCCTGAGCCAGTTGAATCAGGTGAGTTGGCCTCTGCTGCTTCTGTTGCTGGTTTCATTCTCACTGGTTTTGTGTGATTGTTGCATCTCTTCTGGGTTTTGCCTGCTCCGGCTCTTGCTTCCCCGGTCCCAGATGTTCTATGTACTGATATGCTGTTTTCTGGCGTTGTTGCGACGGGGTTGGTTTTCGTTTGGTCTTGTAAGTCTGGGATTACTCCTGGGGGTTTGTCGACGTTGCTAGGGTTTGGCGCTTTTTGCGTTTAGATGGCTCTTTCTTTGGCAGTTCAGCCGTTGATTATGCATATGGGGGTCTTTTGCTGCTTGCCAAACGTTTTCTAGTCTCTGCGGGTTCCAGATTCGGAGGTAGAATTTTTCCGAGAAGAACTCATGGAAGGCATTGTACAGGGAAATGATATATTTTTTTGAATTGGGTGAAGTGTGATGTTGCTGGACATATGAATTGATTGTTGAGAGTCGAGGAAACTCTAAACTGATCGGCAGAAGTTAATGCACACATTCCAGTTTAGTTCCCTAGCGACTATCTTAGCCCTACCATTGTTGAACCTTGGTTGGTGCTTGATGGAAAATTAATGCTGCTCTTCCCTTTCTGCAGTACAGTTCCGTGTAAGGATCTGACAGTCGTGGGTACCCCTTGTTTCTTGTATTCTGCTAGCTGCAGCAGAGATGCACCTCTCCATGTACCCTATTTGCGCAGTCTCTTATGGGGGCTTTCTGAATATGTGCCATATTGATTGGTGTATTATGTAAAGTAGAGAAAGAGTGCTACTATTGGAATAGTGAACAGGACAATGCACACTTGTTTGAAGTCACTGTTTATTTCATTTGGCATTTGGTTTTCCAGAACAGATGCTCCATTTGTATAAGTGTATAATATCCTGTTGAAGCTTCGGCTTGAAATTTTATTGCTTCTAAAGCCCGTTGACTGTGAATGAGTGATGAATTCTTTTATTCTGGTCACATCTCATGGTAATCTGTTATGTGTTATATTTCTTCTAGGTAGTGATATGAGGCACACTACCATGAGACGAGCCTGGAATTTCTTTTTGCTTTATTGAATAATTTTAATAAAGGGGTAAATTAGATCGAAAAAATTTATGCTTTCTTTTCGTTTTCTTCTCAAGGGTTTTGCGTTTCACTATTGGAACTATTTGACTGGCATGTTCGATAGATTCTTATTGTATATACGAAGGTAATTTTCTTGAAGTTGCTAAATCCGGCATTACAGATCAAAAAGGTATTCTATGTAGTTGAAACAGAAAATAATGATAATAAACGTGTGACAAGATCCCTTAGGAAATTTCTCCACCAATCAGAGAACATATTAGAGTAGTATGAGGAGGAGCTTAACATAACTTTTTCTCCTTCATACCTTCTCCAAAAACCCATCTTCATATTTTTAGTGGCCCTTCTTGGTTACACTGAGAGATGAAGGGAGAGGGGGGGGGGGATTGGGAGTTTTCTTCGACCAGTTTTGAGCTACCATTCAAATGAAACTTCCTTTTCTTTAAATTTTATTGTGAAATATGTGCACAAGACGTAAAGATATATATATTCAGATGGTGGATTTTCGGAATGCCCTGGGGTCGAACAAGGTTGAATTTAAATAATTTAAGATTAACAATGTGAGAGGTCAAATTATGTTATTTACGACGTCCTGATGAGCTCAAGCTTTCTATACTACTACTTTAGAACAGTCTTCAACGACAGGGACTGGGGAAAGAAACATTAGAGCTTGGGAACATGCTCAATCACAGAGAACTCTGTAAATAAAAAATAAGATTTTATTTCTGATAAAAGAAAAGTCAGCTGAAACTGGGGGCGTGCAGACCTTATATCCCCACGAATGATCAGGACAACGTGGAATATGATGACATGAATGGGCAGTTTTGTGCATGGCGGAAATGGTAATTATAATGCGATGTAAAATGCTCTCCTTTTAGACCACTAAACGCCATAGAGATATAACCAGCTGTATCATATATTTCTTATTCGTCTTAAACTGACTAATCTGATTTGTTTGAGCATCACAAACCCCTATGTCAATTGTTTTCATATGGCCTTACTAGATTTCATAATGAGATGCATCTAGTGAGGTATATATCTCTTTTTATCTGTTGTTTGATAAGATTTACCGTTGATATCATGGAACTGTATGATACCTCCATGTTTTATTCTTGAAGCATTAATGCCTTATTGTTTTAACTTCTTACAGCTCAGAGATCAACATTTTTCCGTATCACCATCATAAAATAGATCAGCATGTGGTGGCCTAAACGTTGATGATCTCTTCCTCTCTCTGTTTTATTATTAATTCATGCCTGCAATTGTATATATTGGGATAAAAGGAGAGCATCTTTTTGTGATATGATTTTTACCCAGATTGTATCGTTCTTCAGTTCATGAAGATGCATTTGCCTTTTGCTTTCGCATAGTTTTTTTTTACTATCAAAAGGCTTTTGCCAACCTTGTAAATGTATTCTACAGTTCCACGAACCATTAGTTATGAATGAAAAGAAGAAGGTGAAAAATGAAGGAAAGAACCTCACCTCATAATAAAATGATAGATGGGAATTGGGTATTGAAGCGCAAAAGAAAGCGACCTTTATGTCGCTCTGATTTATCCAATGTAAAGGAAGGCATTTCTGCCGAGTCATCTGGGAAGGACCCATCTATAAAGCCAAGTGCCAGCATTTCAAGGTCTGGACAGAAGATAAAAGGAAATGATGGGGTAAGTTTGCTCTATTTGTTGTGCTGTTTCTTTCATCTGATAATGGAATATAATTTGCATTTAATATATTCCTTATCTCTCGAGCTCATCATGTATCAGCATTGTGGGTAATTATTTATACACTACATGAAGAAAAATAGAGTGTACCATAGATATCGTACGGTATAGTTTATGCATTCAGTTTGGGAGAGAGATCCTTGGAAAACATTTGTTATATTATCTGGTACCAATGCTAGTTGTCGTATACTTTACTTTTTTCGTTCTTTTGATTCCTGCTTTTTGAAATGGGATTTTTAAACCAATGATAACAGTTATTGCACCAGATTTGACTTTTTTGATTTAAGAAATGAATTCACCGCTCTTTGGGTATACTGCATTCATCAAGCAAAAGAGAACGTGAAGAAAGGCTGCCCCAAAGAAATTTGCTGCATTCTGGAATCTGCTACATTCTGGAATCTGTAGATGAGTTGGCTAAGTAAAATTTGGTGGAATCTACGCTCCAGTAATTTCTAGCACAACTGTCAATATGGATTGATGTTTTATGTTACCAACAACAATGGCAAATAGATTGTGTATACAACAGCCGAGTACGAAGACTCAGAAAATTGACGGAAACAAATAAGAAGCCTTGGGAAATTGGAAATAAAGAGAAAGTCCCCTCTTGATTCAATACATAGGAAGTGCATACCGTTGGGCTGGAAAATTCTGAAGTCGCTTATATTTGATGTATGCAGTCCTGAAGATCTGGTTTCTTCTGTTAGAATGACATTTTTGGGAGGAGATGCCTTTCAGTTTCAATTTTCTGATATTCATGACAATGCGTGGTGCTCATTGATACTGTTGTGAGACCTTTCTAGTACACAGAATATGTTTAGTAAATTGGAACAACTAGACTGTTTAGGATCTTTACGTAATGTTCAGTCTCTGTGAATGTGTGCTATTGGCCTCATATCTTGACCAACTAGTGTGCCATTATCTTATGATTGGATTTCATCTATTTTATTTAGTATCATAATGAAGGGAAATAATGTTAAGTTATCTGACTATTTTTGTCCTCAATGTCCTCATTTGGTTGGCTGGGATGTTCTGAATTCTCGCATGTCATCAATAGATGTGCATAGTCAAAATACATAGACTTATGGCATAAATTCGTTATCTTGTTTCAGATTTTTATTGGTAATCACTGCAGAATCTGCAGTTGACAGCTTCAGGACTTAGGCTTTTAAATGCATGTTTATTTGGTCAGGATTGTCTGTCTTTACAGATGATGAAGGAATTCAAATGGTTGTTGAATTGTTCTTGTTTTATTTTCAATGCCTTGCAGTACTACTATGAGTGTGAAGAATGCAATCTTGGCGGCAACTTGCTTTGTTGCGATAGCTGTCCACGCACATTTCACCTTGAATGTCTTAAGCCACCCCTCAAGGTTTTTCTTCCTTGTTCTTATTTATTGGTGTCATGTTACCTTCTGTTCTGATTTCTGTTTATTTCGAGTAATGAGGCTGAAATTTGATTAAAATATTTTGCATCTTGTAAGCGTGCTCCACCTGGGAAGTGGCATTGTCCAAGTTGTTATGAACAGAAGAATTCAGGGAATCTAGCTAGTCATACTGATTCTGTTTCAAAGAGAGCAAGAACTAAAGTCGCTGTTGGGAAATCAATGTCCGACCTTGGATTATCTGGTTCCGAGAAAGCATCATCAGTCGGAGGAAGCTCCAGTCCTGGGAAATTTAGGGGCACTATCAAAGGGAAATCCATCCTTTCTCATACAACTTCATCAGCAGAGAAAAAATCTCATTACTCTCATGGAGATACTTTACGTAGTACGAAGTTAGGTCGCACATCTGTAAGTGGAAACAGAGATGGAACGCCAATGGTCCTTGAGAAGAAATCCAGGCGGACCTCTGACTCGAAGACTAGTTCTCCCTACAGGGAAATCGAGTCTCCATCTGAAAATTTGGATGCGGATGGAAGTGACAAATCTATTGATACAAAGTCTGACATCTGTAAAAATGGTTCTGTCGGAAATAAACTTATTGCTTCATTCGGTCAATCCATTCAGAAGGCCAGGAAAAAGAGGAAAAAGATAATAAAAGAAGACGAGAAAAACAAACCAATATTTGTGAAGGACAAAGATCCTGTATTGCCTGTACGAAAGCCCTTTGTGAAAGAATCATCTTCGAATGCTGAGATGCCTAGACCTCGTCAAAAGCGAAGTTCAGCAATTCATCGCGTTTCTTTTTTCGTGGAGAATTCTGAGGTGCAGAAAGAACAGGTATTAGGCACCTCTTCATTTTGTTTTAAAAATCCGTCATGTCCTGTCTCTGTGCATACCTTATGGCATAAACTAAGAATAAGCTAAGAATAATGGCGCTATTTCTGGATTCTATTGTTGTCACAGGTTTTTCATTGGCATTGATATGTTTCTTATCAATTAGTAAATTGACCAGTCAAAGATTTTACTTCCAAAGAACATGGCTAAAACGGTTGAGTGGAGAAAACCTAGCGGGGTTGAGTTTTTCCGATAAGTTTTTTGATGTAGAATATTGCATACTTTCTGTCAAGATAGGTAGTAGAAACCTTTTTTTAATTTTTTATTTTGAATTAGGATAGTCCTGGACTAAGCATCGGATTCAGGGATAAGTTGTAGCCACCTCTAAAACCCAGTGGTGTCTCATAAGTCCACATTCAACCGTATATACATAGGCGGTCAATAATCGATCATAACAATAGTTTTGATGGTGATGAAGAGAACTTTTGATCCTCAAGAAACTTATTCATTAACAATTTTACCATTCCCCTGTAACATGATCTCCTCTTTTCTTCTTTTTTATTTTTTCTTTTTAAATTACCCTTTGTGTCCAGAATCTTCAGCTTCATTCTATGATTTTAAGATGAGCTTTTTTTTTTAATTTGATGATTGGCATGAAGATTGTGCTCACCAAGTCATGTCATTATGAATTGACTTGTCGTTCAATTATTTTTAAGATAAATTGTACCCGGTTCAATTTGTTAGGAAAATGATTCTTATCCATTTATGATTTTTACTTTTCAAGTGATGAATATTGCATCCAAAAATAGCGATTTAATGTAGCTTTGCTATGTTAACAAAATTTCACCTCTTTCTATGTCTTTTATGATATGTAGACGGCCTTTTTCGGTAACTTCGGCTACCGTACATAAAATGCTTTCTGGAATACCTTTTTTATGGCACTTGTGATCACAAACTTTCTTAATTGTAAATTACTCTCTGCTTGAGCTAGGTAATTCCTGAAAGAGCATCCAACGCAACAAGTTTGATGACTGACCAGAAAGATGCTGCTGAAAAATCACTCGCATATGACCCTGCCTTTCAAGATGCTCAGCAGGTAAATGAACTAGCGATGGTGAAGTTGCCCATTATCACTATCACAAAAGATCATGTCAAATTAAAGCTCTAACTCGTTTTATGAAGCTTTACAACAAATTAATATCTCTGTGCAAGCCTGCATGGCTCGCTTATACCATTGCAGCGTACATGTGTAATCTATAACCATAGCAGTTCAGTGTAGCCGTCTGATGCAACTACTTGCAACATATTTGACATTAGTATCAGAGTAGCCATTAGCCTTTCTGTCTTATGAATCTTCCATGCATTTAATTGTTCTCCTTCTTTTGCCTAAAAGGTTGACCGCATACTGGGATGTCGGGTTCGAGGAAATGATGCGAGTTCGAGTTTTATTGAGCTGAGTAAATCTTCTTCAAAACCTAAGCGTGTAGAATCACCAATAAATTCAGGGAATGATAGAGGTGGCTTAGTCTCAGATGAGAAAGATGGCAAGGGTATGGTGGATGAAGAATGCTGCAGTACTGCAAGCCAGTTAAGTGTGGTGAAAGATATCAATAATGATCTTTCAACGCTAGAACATATTGATAGACAAAGTCTAGCTGAAAAAAGTGATGAACCTAAGAAGGTGTCAACCGGTTCTATTGATAATAACTCAGAAAAAGACGACGATTCTCCAGAGGAATCTGGTGTTGACGGAAATGATGTGGTAGAACATGCAGAAAAGATTTTAGAAGGTAAGGATGGAAATGCTGAGGTTAATACTCTCGACATGCAGAATAATTTACCGCCACAAGAGCAGAGGCCATTTACTATGACCTCTGAGTCTAAGGACTTAGATGACGTAACTTTGGAGTCCCAGTCGAATGCCATGGCAGAAAATGGTAAATCAAAGGTTAAGCTGGCTGACTCTTTTGCGGTTGTCAAGGATGATCTTACTTATGAATTTTTTGTCAAATGGGTTGGCCAGTCAAACATTCACAACAGTTGGATTCCCGAGTGCCAATTAAAAGTTCTTGCAAAAAGAAAACTGGAGAATTACAAGGCAAAGTATGGAACGGCTGTCATAAATATTTGTCAGGAACAGTGGACTCAGCCTCAGCGTGTCATTGGGGTCCGAGAATCTAAGGATGGTGTAAAAGAGGCATTTATTAAATGGCGGGGACTTCCTTATGATGAATGCACGTGGGAAAGATTAGATGAGCCTGTTATTAAAAAGTTTGTTCAACTAATTACAGAATTTGATCAGTTCGAATCTCGTACTCTGCACAATGTGAAGTTCAATTCTGTAAGGATAAATGGTGATGGTCTAGATGTGATTTCTCTCGTAGAGCAGCCCAAAGAACTTCAAGGAGGTTCATTATTTCCACATCAGTTAGAAGCACTAAATTGGCTGCGCAAGTGTTGGCACAGATCTAAGAATGTAATCCTTGCAGATGAGATGGGATTGGGAAAGACTGTATCTGCTTGTGCATTCATTTCGTCTTTGTACTGTGAGTTTAAAGCTAAACTGCCATGCTTGGTCTTGGTTCCACTCTCAACGATGCCCAATTGGCTTGCCGAATTTTCATTATGGGCTCCTCATCTTAATGTTGTGGAGTATCATGGCTGTGCAAAAGCCAGGTCAATAATCCGTCAGTATGAATGGCATGCTAGTGATTCTGACGGTCACAGAATAACTAGCGCATACAAATTTAATGTCTTGCTGACCACCTACGAGATGGTGCTTGCTGATGCGTCTCATCTTCGCAGTGTATCTTGGGAGGTTCTTGTGGTTGACGAGGGGCACCGTCTGAAGAATTCTGGGAGTAAACTTTTCAGTTTGCTCAATACGTTTTCTTTCCAACACCGAGTATTGTTGACTGGGACACCTCTACAGAACAATATTGGCGAGATGTATAATTTGCTGAACTTTTTGCAGCCAGCATCTTTTCCTTCGCTCTCGGTGTTTGAGGATAAGTTTAATGATCTTACAACTGCAGAAAAAGTTGAGGAACTGAAAAAACTTGTTGCTCCACATATGCTTCGTCGGCTAAAGAAAGATGCAATGCAGAATATCCCTCCCAAGACTGAGCGCATGGCTCCTGTTGAGTTGACGTCTATCCAGGCAGAATATTACCGAGCAATGCTTACAAAGAATTATCAAATCCTGCGTAATGTAGGAAAGGGGGTTGCCCAGCAGTCGATGTTAAACATTGTTATGCAGCTTCGGAAAGTCTGCAATCATCCTTATCTCATTCCAGGGACTGAACCTGATTCTGGGTCAGTGGAGTTTCTCCAGGAAATGCGGATAAAGGCATCAGGAAAGTTGACCTTGCTACATTCTATGCTCAAAATATTGCACAAAGAGGGTCATCGCGTCCTTTTATTTTCTCAAATGACAAAACTTCTTGATATACTTGAAGATTATCTTACCATAGAATATGGACCTAAAACATTTGAAAGAGTGGATGGGTCAGTATCAGTGGCAGATCGTCAAGCAGCGATAGCTCGATTCAATCAGGATAAGTCTCGTTTTGTGTTCTTGTTATCTACGCGCTCTTGTGGTCTGGGAATTAATTTGGCTACTGCTGATACTGTTATAATCTATGATTCTGATTTCAATCCGCATGCCGATATTCAAGCAATGAACCGAGCACACCGTATTGGACAATCAAATCGGCTTCTAGTTTACAGGTTGGTTGTTCGAGCTAGTGTTGAGGAGCGCATTTTGCAACTGGCTAAGAAGAAGTTAATGCTCGATCAACTTTTTGTCAACAAATCAGAAACTCAGAAGGAAGTTGAAGACATTCTTCGGTGGGGAACTGAAGAGCTTTTCAGTGATTCGGATGGGTTAGCAAAGGATCAAAATGAGCCATGCAACTACAAAGTGGAAGCTGTTACAGATGGTGAGCCAAAGAATAGAAGAAGATCTGGTGGTCTGGGGGATGTGTACCAAGATCGGTGTACAGATGTCGGCAACAAGATTGTATGGGATGATAATGCAATATTGAAATTGCTGGATCGTTCTAATCTTCAGGCTGCTGCTTCAGAAAGCACAGATGCGGATTTGGAAAATGATATGCTCGGCTCTGTCAAGGTATTCCTTTTTCCAGATCCTTATGTTATGCCTAAAAGTTACATTCTTGCGACTCCCAACCTCTGTTATTGCACATATTATGGTGTAAATTCTAAGTCACGAATTTTCTATCAGCGCCAACAGAAATTTTCTGTCAGTCCATACGTACTGCTTGATGAAAGTAGAACAATGTCACTAGAATTCCATTCATTAGAATATGTTACAATTATTGATTATCATAGGCACGCATTATATTTTTCACATAGGCTCTGTCCTGTATGTAATCATAATCATGCATTATAGCTCCCTCTCTTCTGTCTTCCACCACGTGAAAAACATATCACATGTTGAGCACTAAAGACTCTTGGATGACGCTTCCAAATCCTATGAATTTATCTGTTTACAATATTTCCGGCCACATCTGCAGCGTTTCGTATGCGTGTGGATACGCTTCTCTTGTTGTTTTCCGGTGTAACTTAAGGATCAGGTGGCATCTACTAGCTATGGCTCGTAGATGGAGGTATTGATGGAGGTTGGTGCACGATTTCATCATCAGGGAAAAAAATTTGACTAAAAGGGACTGGGCGCAAAGTTTCCATTCGATAAGATTGAAGTTTTGTTGAATGTGAGCGAATAATTCTTGGAATGAAAGGTAAGACGCGGTACATGCCTCAAAATATTTTAAAATTTTTAAATGGGATGGATTACTTGTTCAGATGCTGAGGGAAAAACAGATATATACTGACAGCGGTATTAGAAAAACTCCTGCAATTGAAAGAAAACTGCTACGTTCATCTCTTTAACCCTTACATCCCCACAAGACGCCCAAAACTTTGAATAAAGCTGTGCTTCGGGGAAAACATCAATTATAGGATGACCAAATTAGATGGTCTTTATTAGTCAATTTAGATATCCCCTCGTTCTACTTTATGTGCTTAGAATCACGTCTGATATTAGTAACGTAAAAGAAAATAGCACATTTTTCAATAGAAGATGCCAGATATACCATTAATATGGGATCCAATGGGAAGGAGAATTGTTTACTGGGTAAGTTTGATATTTGTGTAAACGAGGGTCTCCATTGTCATAATTTTGAATCATCTTTCTGCACAGCTATATTTTCATCGGGAATCGATTCTCTATCCGGACACATCCAGAGGTGGAGTTGTGAAAGTGATGGCTATCAGTGTTTTGTAGCTGATTGGATAACACTAAATGACCACATTCTTGCTTGACAAGCAGAAATGTTATGGCTAATCTGAACAGTTTTGCTCTGTGTGAGAAAGGTAGCTGGATCATCTTACTGCCTTTTCATGCCTAGACTGCTGAAATACCAGTGACGAATCCATTAAGAATTTCTGTTGTTATCCTTAAAATAAAGACAGGGTTTTCTATTAGGAGTTGTTTTCTACTATTATGGGGTGTTTTTCTTGGCTTGGGGTGCACGAATTCATGTACTTCCTGTGACACATGTCTTGCTAATTATTGCCTGTGATAGGGTTGCTGCTATCATGTTAGACTACCTTTTCAAGTTTTGTTGTTGTGGAGGAAATTGGAAACGACCTCCTAGTTTAGTAAAAATGAAGACTGCTTGAATATCTAAGGTATTCAAAGGGATGTGAAATGCTAGAACCAGAAATTGAATATAATATATCACAACGAAAGTTTACGCAGAAGTTACGAATAAACGATGTACAGTTCATGATAGCTGAAGTATGCAAGTACTGGTCTGACTTATTCCTGACGAACAGAATTTCTGAAATTATAGGCATCTTTTTACATGCTATAGGACAAACCTTCTGGATGAATAGAACAACATTCACATCTTGAAGCTTCCTGATATATCTTCTCAGAGGGGTTTTTAAATTCTTGTCCTTCTACCCATACATCAAAGGCGTGTTCCACTCTTTAGCTCTACAGTTCTTATTTCTCCATTTATCTGCCCTGAAAGGTTGTCTATCTGAAAAATTCTTCAATGCCCTTGCGATTTCTCGTACTGTGAATTATTTTTTTCCTCAGAATTAGAATGAGAACTTATGAGGTCACATTTTCTCATCTAGTTCTTTCTGGGCCTTGCTATGTGACATTTTTTTACCTACCTTTGTTCTTTCAAGTTTTACAAAATCTGATTATTTTAGTAATGAAAGTTAGCAGGTGTACTTCAGTTTTTATAGTTCATACCTAAGTCGTATTTCAGTCTTAAGTTTTCAAAATTTGTAGTAAATTTCTTTCCTTTATCTTTTTATTTGGCTTTATTAATAGGTGTTGTTATTATTGGGGTAAGTTCCTTTCTAGCGGTCTACAATGTCTGTTGTTGAACGGTTTTAACTGGATGCGGAGAAAATGGAGCTCAAAATTTAGTTGTCTTTTTTGTCAAACAACTTTGGCAGTCTTCAACTCAACTTGAATATCACATATGCTCCGTTGTTCTTTTAGTCTTTTCCTGTTTTATTTGTTTCACGTTATATTACCCTTGACCACTATCTTATCTATCAGTCGTTAGAATGGAATGATGATCTGACTGAAGAGCAAGGGGGGCCTGAAACAGTCGCACATGTAGCGGGTAATGACAGTGTGCAGATTTTTGATGCAAAGGAAGATAATACAGTTTCCAATACAGAAGAAAATGAATGGGACCGGCTTTTGCGCGTTAGGTAATTCTTAGTTTTCTCCGGCATCAATTCTTGCAATCAGTTTTTTTTTGCATCAGTTCTGGATAAGTGCCCATATCAATTCTATAGTATTTTTTGCATAATTATCGTTTTTTTATATATTTTATTTGGTGATATGCTTCACTTCGTCCACTCCTACCTCAGACATGCAAATGCAGAAGCACAATAGCATATCACTTGTATGATTTAATATGGGCATTTATTCATGTTCTTTCATTTTTCTTAATTTAGTATTTTTAATTTTATCCGGTAATATTATAAATCATATGTTGGACACTCGCATGCATGTAATTTCTTCTATTTGTTCCAACATGTACTGAAAGGAGTTTTCCATTCATCTGAAAAGGACCACTATCCGCCTCATAGATCATTAATTTTCTTTTTTTCAAGTTGTAGTTTTTTTGTCGAATTTTATTTTTGAAAATTTTCTTTGTGTGAGTTTGGGATTCAATGTAGTGGTAGCTTCGTTATTAAGAAAAAAAAAAACAAGCTATTGGAAATATTTGTCAGTGTGACCATTAGAAGTAGATATTGGCAAACCAAATATGAATGTCTCTTAGCTTTGTCACTTTTACTGAAATGATGTAGAAATATGCATAAATTAAGTGGTACGGACTTCATTTTGCCTGAAAAATATTGTACTATGAAAAGTGGGTTCCTCACATTTCGGATGTAAGCCATGCCTGTTTCTTTCGTAGTATTATTTTAATTAAGACAAACTATTATGTTGAAAGATCACATCATTAGCAGTTCTACAATCTATTTGTATTTTTTTTTCTATTTTTTTCTTTCCACTAATGTTTTTCCTTTCCAATCTATTGATATCCATGACGCAGGTGGGAGAGGTACCAAAATGAGGAGGAAGCATCCCTTGGTCGCGGCAAGCGCTTGAGAAAAGCTGTATCCTATAAGGAATCTTTTGCTCAAATTACAAGTGAAGCATTGAGTGAGGTAAATTTTCAGTTCTCATTTAAGTTTGGTTCTGTAATATTCCTTTTTTGTGCTTCTACTCCTTATGGATGTACAGGTTTTGATTTTCCTACGTTTTCTCTACGGTCTGTTAACCTGATCTTTCCCTGGAAATGGACTCAGATCAATTTCTCTACGGAACTAATGCATGGAAATAACCGATAATGGAGGGGGGTTATCAGGATGATACTATAAGGAACATAAATTAAACAATGAGCATAAGTTTGGAATGGTTTCCTGCAACCTGTGAGTCATTTTGTTGTCAGAAAAGGGATTCAAAATGTGTTCAACTCAGGTTGGAGATGTAACTGGCGCATTGTTTTAGCACAACTCCAGCCAGGCTGGCAGGAAGTATCTCAAGGGCTTATTGTCTGGAACTCTATATTTTTGCTTGAAACGAATGGTCCTTTCTTACACTATGTTTACACCCCTTTCTCCCATGCGGAGTCACAGGCAGCGCCCCAGAAAAAAGCACGGACGAGCCACATGCAGGGAAACATGTTATAAGACGATGTGCTCTGAATAACACTGCTCCGTAGAAACTTATAAGACGAGGAGCTTAACACTTTAACACCCCAATGCCTTATAGAACAGGGAGAAGGAATGTTTTAGTAAATTTTGTTCAGTGAATCATACGGCTAAATACATGTTATAAGACTATTTGGGAAACATGCGAATGCAGTCGTTCACCATTGTAATCTGTTAAATGTAGATACGTTATATGTGAACGTGTATTGGATTGTAGCCTTCATGTGATTGAGCATAGTTCTTAAAAATACTTGGCAGTTCTGAACTACATGTGATCATACTCTGTGTTTCCTAAGTAAAATATGGAAATGCACTCGCAAATTGATTATTGCCGGTCATAATACAACTGCTTGGCTGTCAGATGAATGGTCTGAGAACTGCAAATCTTCTGTTGGTCTCTCAGTACTTTCGTCAAACATTACTGCTTCAGGCTCATAACGTGGAGTCTGTGGCATACATTTTATCCTCTCACCCTTTGAGCTAATCAGATATACCCAGGTCCAGTATTCCCTCGAAATTATGGAAGAGAACATCATTTGAACTGGATCACCGGTACATCCTCACTCCCTTCTGTCACTGAGCTCTCATCTTCTCTTAGGTCTCTCCAGGCAATTATACCTCATGCCCATCAACTCTGTTGGGGGAGTCCCAAGCCTGATCTCAACCCACAGAAGCAAGGAATGCATGTGTTTCATTCTGTCAGTCTCCATCTGAGTCTACTTTTGCTGGGAATATATCTAAAGCCTTTTCATGGCTTGGACTGAATGTTTTCAACCGTGTCTGCAAATCTCTCAGTGAGCAAATGGAGGTTCACTGCTATCTGGAAACAATTGGTGTAAATATTTTATAGGATTCCCACCTGTGTGGGAATCCTCATCCCCAGTCTTTCTCACTGGACGAGAGACAACATCAGTAAACTGCATAAGTTGACTTATCCAACTTACTCTTATAAAAATAACGGGTGCATATGATGATGGCATCAGCCCAATAAATTAAGAAGGGGAATTCTACTTGTCAAAATTTCACTCAATGGGCGCCCTTTACCTTGGAGAGTGAACGACAGTCTTTTATACGGATCTTTTAGTATATAATTAATTTAACTGTGTTACAGTTGGTTGATTTACTGGAACATTGGTCACTAGATAGGCGTATGTGCAATACTCGGTGTGGTTGACTATGTGAACATCTCGTTTGTTATTTATTTCTTGACAGAGTGGAAATGAAGAAGACGAGCCAGTTCCCGAATACACGCCTGCTGGCCGGGCCTTCAAGGCAAAATTGTATGTCTACTAGATCTTCAGTTTCTTCATGTACTTGGTTTAGATTACCACTGACCGGCCTCTTCAATGACAGTGCAAAGCTCCGAGCAAGACAGAAGGAGCGGCTCGCCCTGAGGCGTACTGCAGAGGTTCCATGTTCGACTGAGACCCTCAGTGGAGTTGATGTGCCGCCGCAATTAGTCCCACCTCCCAATGAAGGGGATGCTACCCTAATCGCCAGCAGGCCTGGGGAAGCTGTCGTGGACCAGATACCGTCCTGTGATTTGGGAGAAAACAAAACAGCTCAGCCATCTGAAGCTCTTCATGGTAGGAATTCTGTGAAGTTGGGCAAAACCCTGAAGCATGGGCACAGAAGATTTCACAGCAGTCATGTGGATCCTTCTGCGAAGCCTCTTGAGATGTTTGCCCCAGAAAATTATTCTTCAAGCTCCAATTTCCCTAATGCGGTCACTAACAATGATCACTTGCCTGTCCTGGGATTATGTGCTCCAAATGCGCATAAACTAGAGTCAATGTCTCAGAACTTCCACACTTTTCTCAGCATACCCGTGCCCAATTTTGAAGAAAGAAGATCAAGCATGGGTCCCCCTGAATTTCCATTTCCATCTCTCAAAGATCGACCGATTCCCGTGGACACCTCTATGTTGCCAGACATGTTTCCAGACACTATCAATCGCCATCTGAAGAGTATTGCCTCTGGAAGCTACTTCCCCTTCAACCCTGTACTCTCCTCTAAACACTCCCTCGTTTTTATGGCAAAACCGCTTGTTCTATGCATCTAATAATGAGATTTTTTTTTTTTTTCTGCAATGCCCTCCTCTGGCTTCTCAGGGAAAAGCTTCTGCAGAACACAAGGGCGAAGCAGGCTCTTCTGTCTCTTCATTTCAAGAAAAAATCATGCTTTCTGGCTTATCGCTTCAGGATGAAATGCTCCCCAAGTTCCCATTTCCTCATCTGCTCGGATCCAAGTCACTCTCAGACATACTGCCAAGCCTGTCCTTGGACATGAAAGCAGAGAACCTGGCTACGCCATTGCAAGATCCCCCCAGCCTTCCGGCCGTGCCAAGTTTCAGTCAGCATCTGGGTGAGAACCCACGACAGAAGCAAGTAGGAGACCTGCCTCCTACACTGGCTCTCGGGCAGATGCTGCCGCCCCTCTCCTCATTGCCGGAGAACCACAGAAAAGTGCTGGACAATATCATGATGAGGACGGGATCTGCAAGTGGCAAGGTTTCCAAGAAGAGGCTGAAGGTGGAGTCGTGGACGGAAGATGAGCTTGATGCCCTCTGGATTGGTGTCCGCCGGCACGGGCGGGGCAACTGGGAGACCATGCTGAGGGACCCAAAGCTGAAATTCTCCAAGCACAGACTGCCCGAAGACTTATCGTCAAGGTGGGCAGAGGAGCAGGTCAAGATTTTGGATGGGCCCTCCCACCCCACGTCGAAATCTTCTAGCTCTGCATTTCCGTCCATCTCCGATGGGATGATGACGCGGGCGCTGCTGGGGAGCAGATTCGCAGGCACTGGTGCAGAGCCGCCCAAATTCCACTCCCACTTGACAGACATTCGGCTGGGCTGCGGCGATCTAATAGCTAACCTGCCCAGCAGTGAGCATGCGGAGAATCTCGGGCCGTCGGGTTCCAAGAACTCTTCTTTTCCGCCATGGCCCCCAGAGAAGATCATGTCCAAGTTTCCTGCTGATTTTGCTGCCGGCCCATCTGACAGACTCAGCAGCGCGGGTCTGCCTTTCTCTGGTAGTAGCCTGAGCTCTCTGGGCTTGAAGGGCTCAGGTAGCTCCGATCCACGGCAAAGCGAAGAGGGTCGGAGTTCGAGTAGACACTGGAGGCTGCCGAATCCGCTGGACAGTGCTCTGAACATGCTGCAGGAGATCAGGGGTGGTGAAGAATCCAACCCAGGAGGAGGGTCCTCTTCTGAACCTGATAAAAACCCAGGCAAGTCAAATGATGGTGCTGCTGCTGGCGGCTCGAAGATGAACAGACTCCCACATTGGCTCAGGGAGGCTGTCAGTTTCCCTCCAATGAAGCCTCCTTCTGGGCCGGAGCTGCCTCCAACAGTTTTGGCGATCTCCCATTCTGTCCGCGTGCTCTATGGAAGTGAGAAGCCGGCCATCCCACCGTTCACAGCCCCGGGTCCTCTGCCCTCTGTACCCAAGGATCCAAGGAAGCATCTCAAGAAGAAAAGGAGGCTGCAGAAGCTCCAACAGTCATCCACGAAGTTGACATCTTTTCCTAAAATCTCTGATGGTGCTGTGCCAAGGACAGGCCTGGAACCCCGTCTTCGCCCAGTAGCTTTGGCGGCAGCTGCTCTGCGGGACGAGCCAAACTCCAGCGTCCCATCTCTGAACCTGAATCTGATGAGCTTGCCATCTCCTCTGCCGCCGCCACTTCCAGTGATTGGGAAACAAGGTATCGTACCTGAAAGAGAACAGTTACGGTCGCCTGAAGCAGATCACCAGGTAGCTTCATCTTCATCTGCACCGCCGCATGGGGTTGACATTTCGCCAGCTGCCACAAACCCGGGTGATGAAATTCCTGGCCCGGATTTGAGAACATCTGAGAATGATGAGTTGCAGGGAAAGGACTCAGCCATAGATTTGGAGGGTCTCCATGAGAGAAGCAAGGCCAAGGAGAGTTGTTCCTTGCAGGGCAGATGGGGAAAGCTGAAGGGGGGTCCCCACATTGAGCAATCAGAGAGTGGGGATTCGAGCAAGGTGGGGACAGAGCCGGCAGATTGAAACGGAGTATGTCTCCTCCACACAGAACATTGTGTCGAAAGACCATGAAAATGAGGATAAATTGTAAACCCCCTGCCTCTCTTCACAAATTTGTCACCCTGGTGTGCCATTTTTGTAGGCATCGCCACTGTAATACGGGTATCCTTCCCTCCTTGTAAAGTTTATATAACAGAAACGTTCTTGCTTGATTGAAATCTTCCTCCCCTCCCCTCCCCCTCTCTCTAGCCCTTGTACAGCAACCAATCTGTGACCTCTTCCCTCTTCACCAGCATTTCTGATGCACTAAAACAGGCTGATCTTGGCCAAGATGTTGCTGGTCACATGGGCTTTATTCTCGGGAAATCTGTGAGGAACCCCGGAGACCTGCCATCTCGAAGAGGCGACCAGCAGAGACTCTTGCGAGAGCTCTCTGTGTTCTACCTTGTATCCCCTTTCCCTAAGTTCCTCACTCTCTTCGGAATCCGAAGGCCCTCACTCTGTATTTAGGGTTCGTGAATCAGAGAAGTTCCTGCACCCTGTCTCTTCCCTTCCTTTCGGTGCCCATCCTTAGCTCGAGGTCTGTCCGACCCAAACTGGGGCATCTATCAGCGTCCTCCCATCCAGTTGAGTTCCGTGGATCCTATTTTATGGCCAACCTTCGCCTTAAACGCCCAAGTTGGGTTTCTAGGAGACGATGTACGAGTAATCCTCTTTTGAGCCACATTTCCCTGATTTGGTAAGTAAGAGAGTTTCTGAAGTTCTGTCGTTCTTAAGGTCTTGTGCGGAGGCTTCTTTCTTCTTTTGCTTCATTTTCTCGTTGCCCATGATCTGTGACGGTTCGGGTTTTCAGATTCCCAACACATCTGGCTCCTTCCTGCAAGCCGAGGAAGGAGACATCACCATAGTCAACCCTTCACTCGACTGTTCTCACTATCTTCTTTTTCTTATCAGGAGCAAAGCCGTGATTTTCGGCCGTGAACAAGGGTATCTACTTCAACTTTAGGAAAGCTTAGCCGAGAGCTGAAGCCCACAAATAGACTTGTAGCCGAACGACAAGGTCTCCATAGCTGCCTGGGTTTGACCTGCCTCATGCCACCGTTTCCGCATAAGTCAACCCATAAAGTCGCCGACCGACCATGCACCATATAGACTCTAGATCCTCCTTAGTAGTAGTAGGAAGGGGAGGTCCTGTGGTAGGTGATCGACAGAGAGAATGGCAGAAGTCGTGACCTCCTTCCTGCCGATGCCTCTCGTGGTGGCTTTATGTACGCACCTCTCTCTCTCTCTCGCTCTCATCAAAACCCCAGAGATCCTCAAAAGAGTTTAATGCCATACCAAAAATGAGGTCTTTCTCAGAGGGCAAAAAAACCGTTGCAAGACCCTCAACGTGGAAGACAAACAAGGCTAAGAACCGCAGCCTGTCTTTGTATATCCCGAAACCTCAGACGTATACTGTATCAGGCAGGGACTGTTATCCGAAGCCTGTTACCCTCTTGATGGCACTCGAACTAAGTAATTGTCCAGCTTACGATTGTTTCCAGCCAATCGATGCTATGAGGAAAAGTTATCCAAATCCGGGCGTAATCCGCTTGCATTAGCAGGCGATCCAAAAAGGGGGATGACGATCGATATGCCGTCTATCCGACCGCGGCACGTTGCCAACGATTCGGTAATCCGACATCTCAGAACCTTACAGCTTACGGCCGTCGGATAAGAAGGATTTCACAGCCGCCGGATTTACGCGTGTTGCCATTCTGCCCATCCATGCACTGCGCATAAAACCCCGGGTGCTTCTCCAGAACAGGCCAGGTTTCTGGGTAGACAATGGAGGCCAAGAAGCCAGCACTCCTCTCCTCCTTCTTATTATTGCTTCTCGTTGTGGGTACATGTGAGCGCCCTCTCTCTCTCTCTTTCTCCCTATGTGTAGTGAAGAAGGAGCTCTTTCTTTCTCGCTCTCTCTTTCCATGGCTAACGAGCTGGCTGTTCTACGCAGGGGAGATGCAGCAGACGGAGGCGAGAATATGCGAGTCTCCTAGCAACGGTTTGCGAGGGCTGTGCAACAATAACAGGGCCTGTGCGAAGAGCTGCAGGGCGGATGGCTATTCGCGCGGGAAGTGCGTGGGATTGCTCCGCAGGTGCATGTGCCAGCGCCATTGCTGATGGGCGAGGCCAGGAGGAGCCTCGTTGTCCTCTTGCGGAGTCTATGTATCACTGGAATAAGCCTACTATGATGTCTTCATCTTGCGCTGAATTTACACCATTTGAGAAATAAATGGAACAAAACGGTATGATAATTGTGCTCAGAAATTTAGAATTTAGAGTGGGGAGAAGGCTTGGACAGGGGGTGGATACTTTGGAAGCTAAACGAAGTGAAGGTAATAAAGTGATCGCTCAGAAGTCAATCTGGACGACTTTACGTATCAGTTTTCCATGGGTGGTAATGAATCGTGGTTCTCGGGTATTTAAACGGGGTTGGTTCAATACATATGAACCGGTTGAATGTATAAATCGTGCGGATATGATGGGCTAGATCTCTCTATCACAGCGTTGGTGGGTTTTGAACCTGTTTCCCTCTTACTCCTGTCCTGGTCTCTCCACCCTTCCTGTCTCCTGCTGTCTTTGGTCCAGTCCCTCTGTAACCTCGCTGCCGTCCCTTCTCCCACTCTCCGCTGTGTTCCGACCATTCAATCCAGGCATTGAACCATCCCCGCTTCCCCACCCTTGGACTTCCTAGACCACTACTTTCTCCTTGGTTCGGGAAGTCTGAGAGAATTCGCCCTACATTTGGTGAACTCGCTTTTAGTGACTGGCATTTTTGTGAGAACTGTCCTTGTCAAGGGTGAGTAACAGGGCTCAAGCATAGATTTCTAATAGGGGCGACTTTCCTTCATGTAAGTCGTCCTTGCAGGAAGGGTTCTTTCTTACAGCCACTTACTTAAAGGATGATTATAGTGCTCTATTGCATAATGCATTTCTTTCATTCCCGTGGCCCAAGAGGAGTGTAAGATGAAGTAGAAAATGAAAAACGAGGTTGAGGTGATGTTTTTTGAACTTCATCCTTTATGACATTATTTTTACTGTTTAAATTTGCATATATTCATATTTTTTTTGAAAATAATTATGTTCTATATATCTTATTTTGATTTTACTATGTCATTAAGGAAAATGTCAATTTTAAGTTCGGGGGTGATGGTATGATTTAATTGTTGTGTAATAAGTCACATAAATTTAAAATTTATAAAATTAGATAATATTTATTTTTAAAATTTTAAATATTTTAGAATAAATTAATTAATTATAATTCAATAAAAGGTTCCAAGAAGAGTGTAAAATTTACAAGTTTTTCACAAGGATATAAAATAATATATGGTAATATTTCATGATTGTTTTTAAAGCAGATGATTTTTATAAATTTTAGATTAAATGATGAAGATAAAATATATTTAAAAATTTACAAAAAAAATTAGGTACATATAGTAAGATTACATCAGCATCTTGATGAATGTGATTTGGGTTAAAATAGAATTCTACGTAATGATTGTTACGTCAACAATTATAGATGATTTAATTAGTCAAATTAAGATATGTAAAAAGAAGACTAATCATAATTGAATGTAGAAGATTTTTGGAACTTGAAATCACATAAAATCTCACTAAATTAAAAAAATATTAAGTTTAAAGTATGAAAGATAGAGTTCTAACTTTGTGATAGTAATCATGAGAAATCTATATATTGAAAAATTATTATACAATATCTAAATCTTTAAAGGTTCTCTTTAGATATGGATATTTGATAAGTCTTCATTATCATGAGTTAATAATTAATAAATAATATAGTTTTAGCCTTAAATAATGATAAATAGACTTATATTTGTGTTAAATTATGAAAAGTAGTTTTCATTTGATTAATGTAAATGTTTGACTAATTATATAATTTTATATATATTTATATAATTTTTATAGTCTTATTTTTGAGATAAATAAAGAAAAATAAATTAAAATAAAAATATATAAAAAGAGAGGGACCGGCTGACCAACTGGGCCCATAAGTAGGTTGAAAGTACAGTCAGGGAAAGCTGCGAGCAAGGGCTCAAGTGACTATGGACCAATGGGGACGTGTACACCACTCCCCTTCCATGTCATTAGTGGTTAGTCGATTGTAGGATAAAGAGTGGTCATACAAACGAGAGAAAGGGACTCATTACTTGGAAATGTGATATTAGTATATATTCATCCAAAACTTCAGTGTACAACCGATGCGGGACTAAACCCGCATCACACCTTTTTGAAATGATTTTATTTATTTTAATACCTAAAATACTTCTTAGTTATAATAACAATATACTCATTATGACATCACTTTATAAAGGTATTAGAGTATTTATTTCAATCTTTCTTATGCAGGCGAGCGATCGGCATGAGTTCGAATCTTATTAGAGCCAAAACTCATATTTTTATTTGATTAAATTGTGAATTTTTTAGAGATCGTTGGTGAAGGATTAAGTCATTAGAATCGCTTGATCATCAATGAAAATCTCATCGATGTGATTCACGAAATATTATTACTAAAATTACTGAATGATTCACGATAAAAGGATCTCGAATCTATTGAATAAAGCATCTCTAATTGATCGACGAACAAGCTGTTGTTGGAAAGAAGACAATCCATCGGGAGATGAGTCGCCACCTCTTAAGAACATAATAGATTCAATGACGAGCCTCTTCTTACTATGCGCACCTGATGATGAAGTTCTTTGACATGAACCTCACTTTCAGCTTTTCTTCATCGGGTGACAACCTTTGAAAAGTTGCAAAATTATTATTTTTCCACTTTCCTAGGTGATAATAGCTAGAGATGATTCGACGACTCGTTTAATTGATCTCTAGACTTTGTAAGAAGACTAAAGATTATCTGTCGCCCTTGTTTAAGAAGAGCTTTCGAGGTCATAGACACTACTACACAATGATCTTTTTGAACGCTCAAGATTTTGATGTATTATTGATGTATTGTCGGTGTGATATTAGAACTCTATTTTCCTACTTTCAACTTAATTTTTACCTCATTTAATGATAATTTATGTGATTTAAATCTAATAAACTATTTTTCATTGAATGACGATTCTTCTAACTTTTATAGATCTTAATTTGATTAATTAAATCATCTATAATTACTTATGTAAGAATCATCAGATGAAATTCTATTTCTTATTCATCGAGTGTTGACATCATCTTGATGTCCACACCTTTATTTCCCTTATTTTTCTTTTTTCTTAATCAAAAATTCATAAAAAATCATATTTTTTGAGACAAATTCTAAAAAATTACTCAATATTATATTACATCCTTCTGATCACCTAAGAAAATTTTCACTATTTTAAATTTTTTTATTAAATTATAATTGATATATTTATTCAACAATGCTTCTAAATATATGAAAATATTAGTATTTTCTAGTTTTATAAATTTTAAATTTACGTGATTTACTATACAACAACTAAGTCACACCAATAATATAGGCAATCTCTATATCATTTTATAGAGTCTATAGATTGATGAGATAGGTTGAAATCTTCACTGACTATTGTTATTGGGCAAAAGTAAAAATATGATGACTTGTGGATCTCTAGTGACTGTCACATAATAGAGATAAACTGAATGAAGATGGGGTGCATCTTAGAGAGTTTTATCTTCTTGTTCATGAAATAAGATGAGACTCTTTATTACATTTGGTATACTCTCAAGAGGTGATGAATCATCTCCTAGTAGATTGTCTTCTTCTTAACAACAATTCATTTGTTAATCAATCAGAAATGATTTCTTAATAGATTAGACCTCGATCCTATGTCATCTGGGGTACATGAAATCACTATTTCTTCTTCGATTCTAAGGACTGCTCTAGCTAATTCCTCTAAACATTCTTTCCCATCTGCACTAGAATTTAATTCAATTTGATATTATAGATCCATGTCTTTTCATCATTAAATATACAATATAAATATCTCTAAGTTTCTATTAGAGGGAGAAATATTTATCTTACAAGGGACTCAAATTAAGGAAAGATCATGTGCCTATTCTTGGTCCAATGGTCAGTCTTCACCTTGTAACAACTAGTTTTTTGATCATTACATGACACCTTGCCTCTATATTCAAAATTTTAAAGAAAAATTAAAATCTTCCAAAAATCCTAATAAATAAAACACAGGATGTTTTCTTAGAGAAATCTTAAACCAATGTTTTTTTATTTGTATAATTGCATCCTCTAAACAATCATGAAAATCCTTCAAAACCTCTTACATTTTGCAATGTGTAAATTTGCAAATCCTTATCCTTCACAAATGCACCTAGCAACCTAATTTTCCTTAAAGTAGAAAGTTTATTGTTCAAGGGTTTTCTAAGACTGCAAACCATTACTCTTGAATTAAAATGAATGGCAAAAGTTGTTGGAGTTCTTTCTAAACTCGTATCAGTTTCTTACTTTCTATAGTGGTATTCTCTTTAGTACCTATTACCAATGAGTTTAGTTGACTCCGCCATCATGCATGTGCATCCGCTTGGTGTTTTTGGTCTCACATGCAGATCTAAGAAGAATGCATGCTTCTCAAAAATTCTGTGTGGATGATATAGAACACTACCCTTTATAGATATTAAATATTTTATAAAATTCATGATTAGAGACCATCACCAGGTGAAATGCATCCTATCGTTTCAAAGATTGAGGAACCCTTCTCCTCAATAGAGACACTAGACTTGTTCTAACTTGGGATATTTTAATGTGGAATAAGGTAGAGGTATTGCTATTAAATTGGAAGGAGACATATAAATCTATATAATAATTTAAACCTTACCATGAAGACATCCATCATATTTCTTATGAAGAAAATAATAAGGTAAATGAGAACCATACTTTTTATAATTCTCAAGTTTAAGGCAGGTCCATAGTTGGTTAGTTTGTAGACTTCAACATTTCAAAAAACATATACTTAAAAATATCAGATTTTTATTCAAACCCCTACTCCATAAATAGCTGCATAATTATTGATTTCTGTATCATGTAGTAACATTTTTTTTGGAATCATCTACATTCAACATCCCTGGACCAGCACTCAATTGGATGCTCACCCATACCTATTGCATATTAAATGATGTTTAATTCAAGCTTGTTTTAAATGTCTAGATTGAAACTAAGTATAGATGATAGATTGACACAATTCATACCATCAAGATCAGGTTCCCTCAGATGAATTCAGCTAAGTTGTGGAACCCCTATTTGAACCAAATTGTTGGCTTCGCTCGAGTCATGTACCCAAAATAGTTTGAATATGGTGTTATTTATTTTCCACATGTGTAGGTGGGTAAATTTTAGTTATCATGTGATTAATTATAATTTTCCTCATTATTATAATCCATACTAATTTGTTAAAATTCTTTCAAATGAATTCAGCAAAGTTGCGGAGCCTTATTTGTGCCAAATTGCTGGCTTGGCTTGAGTCTTGTACCCAAAATAGTTTGAATATGATGCGATTTATTTTCCACATGGTAGGTGAGTAAATGTCGATTATCATGTTATTAATTATAATTTTCCTCATTATTATAATCAATACTAATTTATTAAAACTCTTTCAATTGAAAGGAAAAAAATGTTTTAAAAAAAAATTCAATAAATTCCCATACCTTCTCATTTTTAACTCTTTTGTTAAGCTCTTAATCTACTGCACATTCTTCTACTCTTCCACGATCTAATCTAATTGATCATAAATGCCCATTAAATCTGGCTTGCCGTCCATGAGCCACGTGTTCTCACATCCACCGTTTAAAGCTGAGCTCCATAAACTCCCAGTGTTCTCTCCTAAACCACCATCTTAGTAGCTCTCTCCTGTTGGCGGTGACTTTTCTTGCTGTGTACCATCAAGCTGGGTCCCACTGTAGCGGAGAGATTTTTCCTTGGGCCCCACCCACTTTTCGGCCCAAGCGTCCTATTAATTTATGTAGAAACCCATCCCAAGGTATTTCATATTGTTTATACCCTTCTAGGCCTTTTCGCTAGCTCGCCCGGGCTTGGGCCCAATTGGGCCGGGCCAATTCCACCTGCGTGGAAAAATTACGAATGCATAGATTAAATAATGAATACAATTATTAATTTTTCATCGGAATATATTTTAGCATCTTCCCCACCCAGAGAGAGAGAGAGAGAAGCGTAGACCACCGACGGTAGTGCCCCCCAATGGGCCCCACATAGGAAGAAACCTATTTTATGGTAAGAATTGGTGGCGTGGCCTCTGTGGGGCCCACCATAAAACGAACCGCCAGCGACCGAATCGACTGTCCAAAGTTGACTTTACACTATCGTACGCCGCCCGCCCCATTAACGGCAGTTAACTCATGGAATGCGGCATTTAATAATGTCACCAGAACTTTATTAATAGGCCTATATCCACCCCCCACCCCCCCCACTTTATAACAGATCTTACCCCAGATTATAGTAGTCAACGAGGTCGAACTCGAACCATGACGTTGACCCTCCGGCTTCAAAACTTGTGTAGTGGGGGGCAGATTGGCAGGTGAGGGGGCCCACATGGACCCTATGAGTCTATTGCCCTAATATGGTCCCCATCGACCTAGTCCTAGCAAATCTTTCCCCACGTAGGTTTCAGGGGCCTCAAATTAATATAATGGTAAATAAGGAATGAAAGGGGGGGAAGCCGGTAACTCGATGTGGGCCCCGCCGAGGGCTGACTAGGTCGAGGTCCAACCTGTGTTTGACTCCTGGTGATAATAATCCTGATTGGCGGTTGCCAATCCAACCCTGCCCTTTTGACTTATGGAGGGGAGGGCAAATTCACGGAGGGACTCAAATGACCTCAAGTCAAGGGGTCAACCCGGTTCTACCGTTCGGATGTCCGCGGGTGCAGCTTTAGATCGGGTGCTCCGCGGTGGCTGTCTCTGACGTGATGACTCACTCACCTGTCGGTTGGCGCATTCTCCCGTGCCCAGCGGACGCGTCGGCCACGATCTGTCTCGAGCCAATGGGATCGCGGCACGTAGTGGAGTGAGAAGGATTTCTCTTGCGTAACATTCGGGGCTGCTCCTCCTGCGCCCCTTTTTCGCTGGGTCTTCGAGTCCCCGCTTCCCTCTCTACAATATTCTCTCTTTTCCTCTTCCTCTTCCTCTCCTCTCTCTACTCTATTCTATCTTCTTTCTCTCTCTTCCTCTCTCTCTCTCTCTCTACTCTACCACACCAGTCTCTGCTGTCTGCCTGTCTGTCTGTTGTCTGTCTGGTTGTCTGTCTTTCTCTCTCTCTCTCTCTCGCTCTCGCTAGAGACTGGTGTGGTCTCAGAGGGAGGGGGAAGGTAAAAGAGCAGAGGGGGATGCCTATAAATTGGTGGAGAAGGTAAAAGGGGAGGGATAGTGGAGTGAAGAAAGGGCCGTGGAGGAAGTAGACGACGGAGATGGGGGCGGTGGGATCCGAGGAGGTGGTGACGGAGCGAGGATTGATTCTGGTCGAGCGGAAGACACCGGCTGCTGTCGTCCTTGCCGGAGGCTCGTCGTCGTCGGGGGGAGGTTCCCCGCCGCCGCTGCCGCTGCCGCCGTCCACCGCCAGGGGATCTCGGCCTCCGCAGGCGCTGGTGGAGCGGCTCAAGGACTACGGTCAGGAGGACGCCTTCGCCTACTGGGATGAGCTCTCCCTTGAGGAGCGTGATCTCCTCATCAAGGACATCCAGGTCTCTCTCCGACATCACTCTCCCTCGTTTTGCCTCGCTTCGTTCCGGTATTAACTTGTTGTGTGCTACAACTCTGGCGGAAAAGGGAGTTGTGCCTGAGAGTTGCGTGTCTTCTGCGATCACGTTCGTTTCCCAATTTAAATTTGTGCTCCGCACGAGAATTGTATTGGGTTATGCCGATTTGTATGCGTACATGTCGATTTTCATGCATGAGGGCAGGTGGAGAATGGATAATTCAGTTCGAACGTAGGAAAGATCTAATCCCATGGTTTTTTCTTTCTGCTTGGTTTTCGCTCTCAGTTTGATACAATGATAGATCCTTTTATATATTACCCTGAGCTGATATCTAAAGTAAATCGTGGAGTTGAGGCTTTTCTTATGTGGAGTTTTACCGTGATGCAATTTACCTTTTGCATAAATTCTTAATGAAGTTATGAGAAGGCGCTCCATGGATTAAATTCAAGCATTTGGATCGAACATATTATTGTTTTCTGAGGCTGTAGCGAGAATTTTAGTCACAGACGTATAATATGACTGTCAGGAGTAGTCTTGTAGATAGATCCACATTTGTGGTTGTACCTTGATGTAATAGGCGAATAGTTTTTTGTGATCACAGGAGAAACGTAGAAGTTTGTTGTAAATATTTTATCTGAAACTGCACGATATAAAATCCAATCTACATGCATTAATTTTTTTACACAAATGGAATGCATTTTCTTCTGTATTTCCTCTGAAGAGGTGTGGTGCATTAGGTTATCTGACGGATAGAAACATGGACAGGAAGGTTTCATTGACCCTGGGGTGTGAAAGTTGGTGCAATAATAGACAAAGAATTGCTTTAACCGAGTCCCATTGTAGTGGACGTGCTTCTGTTTCTTTGTTAGAATATTGCATAATATCTTTTTTCTATTTTCAATCGCTTGTGATTCGAGTCAAAAAGTTTTCTTTTTTATTGCTGATGGTATCACACTTCATTTGTTGAAGAACATAAGTAATGTATGAGTGAAAGGGAACAGTTATTTCGTTTCTCGAAAGCCTTCAGGTAGATATTCCTTCAAACTTTTGACAGTTGTGTTTTGTTACTTGTTAATTTTTTCAGGGTTTAGACCTTTCACGGGTTGATAGGATTGTTCGATGTTCTCTCAAATCACATGGTAATATAACCATCTCTGCTGCTTTAATAGGAAAGGGGAATAAAATGCTTAATCTTTCCTTCATCTTCATAGTTAATTATGCATTCTATGAAGATACCATCCAATCTGTATCACGGTGATAGTTTGTGGCCATTCTAGATCTCTATTATTACCATTCTCTTAGAAAGTTGCCTCATTTAACTTCCTTAATACTGTTTAGTTTTTTTAGAAACACGGAATGTCCACACGGTCTGAAAGTTCAGTAGTTGTCACGTCTGTGTTTGAATATGGTGAAACTGAATAGATGTGTTCGCAACAATAGTTACTGATCTTGTTTTATAAAGAAATATTGTTAGTATCAATCCCCGAACACCCTACCAATCTCCCCCCAAAAGAACTGAAAGAAGAAAAATGAACTATTATACTCATTCCCTCAGTGAGAGGGGTTTGATACCAGTAGGTAGTGAAACTTGGTCTAGCAATATGGCAATCCCTTGCGGCTGAGAAAGAGAAGTCAGAGAGCACCATGGTTTTTTAGCGAGTCCCAATGCATGTGAAACTTTGCTTTTAATTGTCTTCTTCTTATGTTTGGCTATCCGGCGTTTTTTATTTCCTGGAGTGCATATGACTGGAAATGATTAAATAAGGCACATAGAGAGATCTCTAACATGTTATTGGCAGTGAAAAGTCCCAGAACGGACATACTTGAATGAGAAATTAAACCTTGAATCAAAGGAAACTAGTGCCTTATTGTATGATGTCTGCGATCTGATTCGGACCATTTAAACCTTTAATCAAATTGGACTGTGTTTGAGAGGGAGATTTTGGAGGCTGTAAATGCAATGAATAATATTTTAAATACATAACTTTTTTTAAAAAGATCTTTTCTGCTCATCTATGCCCATGCCAAATTAATTTATTGTAGAAACTATCTTGGTTGGTTTACTGATTGGCTCATTATACTCTTATTTTGAAAGGTTAATGGAACTTTCAAATAAAATGAAATCGGGTTATTATTATTATTAAAGAAAAATCTTGGTACAAATATGTGCTTCAAGGAGCTAAATCTGGAGGATGTTCCGCCCAAAAGAGAAGTGACTACTGTTTTAGATCATGCTTATACTGTCTTACATTTTATCTCTTCTCAAATATTTGTAGGGCTCCCACTACCAACTGTTGAGCCAGTACCAGAAGCTAGTGTCTCCACTCTTGAAGAGAGAACACTTGAAGAGAGAGAGAGGTGGTGGAAAGCCGGACTCAAGGCTATTTCAGAAGGGAAGTTGGCTGTGTTGCTTCTTGCTGGTGGGCAGGTATTTTCGAAATTGCTTATACGTTTTTTTCTAACATTTTTCAATCATTATCATGCTTTATTTTTAAGTTGATGAGTAGATGCAAGGATGCAAGTAGGTATCTTGTGTTTATTTCGTTATGTTATCGTATGACTATTCACCTCATATCTTAGTGGAGTACTCTGAACAAGTAAATTTCTACTGTGAAGTAATACTTTATCCTAGATGCTTTTTTTATTTTAAATAATGTGCATTACAATTTCCTCATTGCCCTCTATTTTTTCTTTGCAAAGCAGCTCACAACTAGGTTGTTTTGCCGTTTTATGCTTCTTAGTTTTAGAAGTGAAGATGGGATTGAGAAGGAAGAGGAGAGAAGATTTGTGCATTTTAGAAAGATCCCTTTGAAGAGGGGTGTGTGGTCTAGAATTTTGTTTTTCTCTCACAGCCACATCCCTGCATCGGTCACATAGTATCCAATTAGACTCACGCTTGCATTTGAGGGAATTTCAGCCCGTGTTTTTGTAGTTTGCGTGGACCAGTCTGATTGTGATCTGGATCTTATATGTGTGAGCCCTTGATGATATGGCAGGTCAACTGGGATGGTTCATTGGGTTTGATATCCAATATTCTGAATTATTGTCTGCTGAACATCATACTTCAGCTCTTGTTTTTGAAGCCAATGGTCTCAACAAAGACTAGTAATTTAAAGCAACATCACGTCGTTGGGACACAATTGTTGCAAGAAAACATCGTTTTTCCATTGCACTATATTTTGTATCTATCTTGGAAGCAGTCTAATCATTCCTGTCCAGTTTCTTCACACATGCATTGATTAATGTGTTTCTCTTACATCTGTGGTAACTTATCTAAGAAGGTCCACTTTTCCCCTTAATGGTAGCCTTTGAAAAAAATTCTGTAGTTTGTGTTCTGATTCATGTTTTTTACTTAAACTGGGTTTCGTCAAGGCATGTATTTAAGGAGTTCCATGCTGATTTCTCTTTCTAGTTCTTGTTATAATACTTCTCCTTACACAACTCGTGACTATTTTTCTTCCTCTGGTGGAGCGAATCGAGATTTGAAGCACAGATTTCTTTGTCTAAGATAAATATTGTAGCTTATTTTATGTGGGGAAAAATCTTTTAACTGTTTGTTTTTTTTAGCTAATTCCATACGATTTCAATCTTAATGCTTCACCATTTCTAATCGCAGAGTTCTTAAATGTAATAATGACATTCTGTTGTATTGAATATCATATGTAGGGTACTCGGCTTGGTAGTTCAGATCCCAAAGGATGTTTCAGTAAGTGCTCGTTGCCTTGTTGTTTTATTTTACGTATCACTAATGCGATTCATAGTTTGAATGCCGTTTTTCTTCGTATCGTTTGCTAATGATTAGCTTCTTCAATTTCGTGATTTTTTCTGATTCAATTTCGTGGTGTCAACTTCGTGCCTTCTTTCTATGAGATTATAGTGATCCTTCCATTCTTGCAGTGGCGGATAATTTGCCTCCTATCATGACATTTTCCATCTAAATGGAGAAATCTAACATAAACACGAGAGTAAACTAAAAAAGATTGATGTAAACTTCATTGGCATTTTCATGAGAAAGAAGCCCATCACTTCTTCTCAGACGGAGCAGTGGGAGAGCTTAAAAATAGTAATTGAGAGTCTATTTCAGAAAATGCCTCTGTTGGATCTTTACCGAACTTTTCTCCATCCTTTCAATTAATTTGAAAGCGAATCAGAAGTACCTGTCCCTCCGTGGATATGCTTTCTGCTTTTTAATTTGGTCAGTTCAGTGGGTTCTTCTTCTCATGGTTTCGACGAGAATTTCGTCATGCTTACTTGCTCTTGTTGAAGCTCCATGCTGTTTTGATAAACGATCCCTTAAAAAAATCTCCTTATATATATATAATCCACGTCACTATGCCACTTTGATTGTATCAAAAGCTGACTGATGTTGTGTGGATGATAATATCATATGCAACGACCATTAAACGAATCGCATGAGAAACATTAATGAAAATAATCTTATGTGAAGTTTCCATTGGATGGACAACATTTCTCAGCCTACACGACTTTGGGGGGTGGAAGCTTGGTCACTTGATATACAGATGCTGAAGCGGTTTCTGTTTTCATGTTCTAGATATCGGACTCCCATCTGGGAAGTCTCTCTTTCAACTTCAAGCAGAGCGAATTTTGTGTGTCCAGAGACTTGCATCCCAATCAGTGGAGGGTAGGACTTAAATTCTTTGTGAGAGTTTTGTAAACCTTTTCTGATTTAATGCGAGACCTAAAGTTCTTCGATGAACAGGTGCTGCTGGTTTCGTCCCGATCCACTGGTATATAATGACAAGTCCATTTACTGATGATGCTACCCGTAAATTTTTTGAAAGCCATAAATACTTTGGCATGGAAACTGACCAAGTAATGTCCTTCCTTCTTCGATAATTATTGGTGCTCTACTTATTCCTTCAGGTGAATCAATGGCACTTAACTCCATTTTATGGCTGCAGGTCACTTTTTTTCAACAGGGCACCCTTCCCTGTGTTTCGAAAGATGGTCGGTTTATCATGGAGGCACCCTGCAAGGTGATATTCTTTACTGAACGTAACAGATACATTTCATGTTCATCCCAAGAAATCAAGTCATCCCTCGTAATTGTTTGAAGATCTCCTGGATCATGCACATTTATGGGATCGGAAAGAGTGCCAAGAAAATCTATCTTTCTCTCCTCTGATTCTCATTTATTCAATAATTATCAGGTTGCCAAAGCTCCAGATGGAAACGGAGGAGTCTATTCTGGTTGGTTTCGCATCACATTTTTTTGATTTATCTTGGTATTCGACTATGAATCGTGGACTACTCGTTTACAAAATTTTCTGGGATAATTATATTTATATAATTTTTTTATTTTTTTTTCAGCTCTGAAATCTGTTAAGCTGCTGGAGGACATGGCTGCCAGAGGAGTTAAATATGTAGATTGTTATGGAGTCGATAATGCTTTGGTAGGATATGGCATTAATCAAACATTTTTCCATGCAATGCACTTCCCATTATTAACCTCTTTGAACAGGTTCGAGTTGCAGACCCTACCTTTTTGGGATATTTCATCGAGAAAGGTGTCCCCGCCGCAGCAAAAGTTGTCCGCAAGGTGGCTATCAGAATCATTTTTTATTTCTGCAAGTAATAATACTTTATATACCCGTTTAAATTATTTCGATATCTTCAACTTTTTTCTAAATAAAACCATAATTCATGAACTTTTCTGGCGAAAATTTCATCGAAAATGAGAAATTTCCCGGGCTGATGCACAGCGGTTCTTCTGTAGATTGAGTTCATTTCTAGCATTGTATTGACCTTTGGCACTTACACATAATTACGTCTTAAGATCTTTAATTTAGTTAAATGTATGATACATGAATTTCGAAACCCGTTTGGTAAATTACATGCCCGTCATCACCAACAAGGTTTTTCCCCTTTTTTAGTGAGAGAAGGCTACTTATTCTCTCTCTTTTTTTTTTCTAACTTCTCGAGACTGGGACTGAATATTCCTGCCAATATCTGTGCGCCATCTCGAATTCTGTCAAACCCATTTCGAAGTGGCTGGCTGGATCCATTGACCGCAGCCCACTATTGCCCAAACTGGATTTCTGCTTGCTCCAGCTATTTAGAATCAGTTTCTTAGTGTAGGAGTTCTTTACATTTTTATACGGAATCCTCAAGTTTGGTAAGAGGGTCAACCCAAGAATTTGCCTAATGTGGTATTGTTCATCCAGTGTGGATCACGATCTTTGACTCGGTTATTCTCTCCACAGGTGGAAATAGATACCGTTGACTAGAACAGCTGTTGATCGGTTGGTCAGAGGTTGCCCATTTCTTCGGGATACTGATTAGAGATTGTTTCTAATTTGTCTTTGTACAATTTTTCTAACATCTTTGGAAAATAAGCACAGAGTAAATCTCCATTAAGCAGTTAAAATAAATTATTTTCCCTAAATGCCCCTGTGGAGCTACCCCAGAAACCGATGTTTTTTTCATCCAATATTTTCCTGAATAATTTATTTTGCGGTCCTTTTCTTATATTCACTTGCGGGGTTCAGGGATATCCACAAGAGAAGGTGGGCGTCTTTGTGCGACGTGGCAGGGGTGGGCCCCTCTCTGTTCTCGAATACAGTGAGATGGATTCTTCAATGGCCTGTGAAATCAATCAGACCACCGGGCGCCTTCGCTACTGTTGGAGCAATGTATGTCTTTTTCGAACCCTTTCTTGTGATCACCGTCTAAATTAGTAAGAATGATTTTATTCAGATATTTTCTGAGATCCTCTCGGAACCACTGCGCAGGTGTGCCTGCATATGTTCACCCTGGACTTTCTCAATCAAGTAGCGAATGGCCTCGAGAAGGATAGCATGTGAGACCACACCGCTCGTTGGCTTCTATATTTTTGCAAAATTAATATATATATATATATATATTTATTTATTTATTTTCGGATTTAATTCGCTGGTTAATTGAGCTCCCAAGATCTGGGTTGCAGCTACCACCTTGCCGAGAAGAAGATCCACTCGGTTCTCGGATTCACAACGGGCTTCAAGCTGGAGCAATTCGTCTTCGACGCATTCACATACGCTCCTTCCACCGCCCTGTTCGAGGTCGGTCTTTCTCTCTCTCTCACTCTCGCCATTGCATCCTTTGACTTTACCCAGATCGGAAAAACCCATCAGCTGCCTCGGTCGGTCAACTCTCATGAATTTTTTGTCAAAATGCGTGATTGACTGAGCAAAAAATCATGGGCTGGGGGGTCTGGTGATCAGATCATGAGGGAAGAGGAGTTTGCCCCGGTGAAGAACGCTAACGGGGCCAACTACGATACCCCCGACAGTGCGAGGTTGCTGCTCCTCCGCCTGCACACTCGCTGGGTCGTCGCCGCCGGGGGCTTCCTCACACACTCCGTGCCCTTATACGCAACCGGTAATCCATCCTTCTCCATGATTTTACCTTAACGGCAGAAAAATATTTCCAGCTTTCCATTCCGGAGGAATCTTTTCGACCGAAACCCGCTATTTATTTCTATTTTTCTACCGGTCAAGAAAGTCAAACTCCACCGACACCATGTTTGCACCGGTAAAAATTAAAAAAAGGGTTTTTTTCCAAAAAAAAAGGGGGATTCCGGTGAAGTGATTGATTTCATCGCCACAGATTTTGTGGGTAATTTATGGAGATCCGGGGCCTTTTTTAATTCATAATTATTAGAATTATTTACTTGTGTGTGTATATATATATATATATATATATATGTGTGTGTGTGTGTGTGAATTTAGGAGTATGTCTGTGTGTGCATATTAATTATGAGTCTCAAAGCTCAGGTGTGGAGATCTCTCCCTTGTGTTCCTACACTGGAGAGAACCTCGAAGCCGTTTGCCGCGGGAGGACGTTCCATGCGCCTTGCGAGATCTCATTCTAGGCTCTACCCGCCTCTTTGTATTGCCTGCCTCTCACCAGACCCCCCCCCCTCACTTGGTACTATGCCTATCATCAAACTCTCTCTCTCTCTCTCTCTCTCTCTCTCTCTCTCTCTGTCTATCTGTGTATCCCTAGGAGAAGGGGCTATAAAAGCCAAGGCTTGCTGGTTGACTCAAAAGCAAGCTCAGATTCCACGGTGAGTATCTCTCCTCTGATCATCTCTCCAAAAAGTTAGGAGATGCTGTTCAAAGTAAATCCATCCATCTCATCGGAGTAGCAGATGTTCTTGGGCTTTTAGGTTAGATCTTAAAAGGGGGCAAGAACCTTCAAGCCTAGATATAACCTACCCTATACAAATTAATTGAAATAAACTTTGTTGCTTGAAAGAAATATAAATGATATTAATACATACAGACGAAATAGCACGAAGAAGTGATGTTTCTCTTGAGAGATTTCTTTGGTGGGGGAACAAATGGGAAAAGAGCCGTGTAAAATGTCAAGGTCTCTTTCGTTGACTTTGATGCTGGATGGAAATCTTCTTCTTTAAGTAGAAAAAATGAGAGGTCAAAATGAAACAAGTGAGAACCTTCTTCTCTCAACAAGTCAAACTACCCCACGTCACCATCACCTCTCACAACTCTCCCATGCCCCTGCGCTTTAAGCAGAGGAAGAGGAAGAGAGAGAGAGAGAGAGAGAGAGAAGAGAGAGAAACGGATGGAGATGTGTTATAAAGTATGCAAGCCCATTACAATGGATGAGGCTCCCTTATAGCTCCCCTCCTCTCTGGTCATTGTAATAGCCCAAGTTGTTGGATTGAGGGCTCATCCCACAAACCATGTGACGCCAGCACTGGAATGACCTACGAGCTCATTTCTTCATAATTATAATCCTTGACCTCGTTGCATATCCTTAATAGGCATATACAACATAAATTTATTTATTATTGTAGTAAAATACCAAAAGGGTAATTTTATCTCTCACAAAAAAAAAAATTGCTTATCTCTCTACATGGGTCTAAAATTCCATGTTCTTCTAACTTGGTCTCCTTCTAGAGCGAGAAAGAGAAGAGGGTTATCTTGATGTGGCACACAATTGTCTTCATCCCCTGCCATCAACCCCCTGCAGGAGGATGGTGATGAATCGGCATCCATCGAAGCCTGTCAGAAGAGAAGAGAGAGAATCATCAATTTGAGGAGGCCCTGTAATAAATTCATCTACTTAATGTACCCAATCTTTTGCACCAATCAGCATAACATGATATATTTTATGTATATCTCTTATGATGATGATAAATCCTGTGCAAGTGCACTCATTTCCTGCACAACTGGAAGACAAAATGATGCAATACTAGGAAAAAAATGGAGAAATATTAACTTTTTCACATGAACACAAAATACCCATTTGAGTTATGGTTTCAATAATCGAAAATATATGTTAAATTTCCAAGCACCCTCATACTTCAGGAAGAAAAAAATAAATAAAAATTTGCACCAAAATATGGTTCTATGAGAACTAATTGCTATAATATAGTAATTACTAGCTCATGATCTAGAGCATCACTTGCCTGTTTCATCATTTGCTCACTCACTCATTTAGATACATTGGGCAAATAGAATTCTCAATCATCATGGAGAGTTGACATTCTCCTCCCAACACCTATAACTAGACAATTTCTCTAGGCGATGATGGTTCTTACTCTGTGATTTCTAGGGCCATTATTCGAGGATTAAAGAACAGATCATGAAATTTGCTCTCTTGGAGGACTAATTCTTTGGTTTTTAGACAGATAATACTAGTCCAAAAAAGACCGTTTTTGAGTCCTCAACGCAGGGGAAAGAGGGAGGGAGAGAGAAACAGAGAACAAAAATTCATGAAATTAGTCTGATCAAAGCTAATAGGTCCAGAAGTTCTACATGTTCTGGCAGTAAACATTAAATGGGTCAGATGGCGGACGAGAAGGGAAAGCTCAAGAATGCCGACAGAGTAAAATCTCTGATTTCAGGTGCCTTAATTATCCATACAAGAGCACAGTAACTCGGAGATGAATCGTCGAAGAGTGGAGGGAGAGAGATTACTTGGGTCCTTGGTGACGAGCATGGCGGTGCCGCCGAAGTCGCAGGTCCCCCCGGCGGCCCGCGTCCTCTGCCAGTAGCTGTTGAAGGCGTAGGAGGCGTGGGAGATGACCGAATCCGGCTGGAAGCATGACCCGCTGGGGAGGATGGAGTCGCAGTCTGCCCCTGATCCGCAGGCGTAGTTCATCGCCTCTTGGATTATCGGCTCCGGCACCGAAGGCTTTGCCACGCACCACAGCGCGTTCGGCGCCGCCGTGAAGGGCGGCGGCGGTACCGACGGCGGCGGGTACACCACCGGCGGCAGGAAAACTATCGGCCTGGGAACGTACTCCGGCGGACTGGGTTCATTCTCCGGCGGGTTTGGTGCATACTCAGGCGGGCTCGAAGCATATCCCGGCGGGTTGGGTGTATAGTCCGGGGGGCTAGGGACGAACCCCGGTAGGGTTGGTGCTGTATACTCCGGCGGGCTAGGAGCATATTCCGGCGGGTTGGGTGCATAGTCCGGCGGGTTAGGGACGAATCCCGGCGGGCTTGGTGCAATATACTCTGGTGGACTCGGAGCATATCCCGGGGGGCTGGGTGCATAGTCCGGCGGGGTATAAGCATAATCCGGCGGGTTAGGAACGAACTCCGGTGGGCTGGGAAGGATTGCGAACGGGGATGGCACGGAGAAAGGCGGGCTCGGTAGATTTGGTGTTCCGAGGTAGTTCGGCGGGCTAGGGAAGTCAAATGGAGGAAAATATACCGGCGGGGGCGGGTAAGGCGGGCTCGGTAGATTTGGTGTTCCGAGGTAGTTCGGCGGGCTGGGGAAGTCAAATGGAGGAAAAGATACCGGCGGGGGCGGGTAAATGCAGTAGAGGGGATCTCCCTGTGCGGATGGAGACACAGGGGGGGAGCCCATGATGTCCTCGTAAGGTGGCATTGAGAGAGGTGAGCCTCTGTAGTAGGGATCAGAAGAGGAGAAGATCGTCAAGCGCTTTAATGGCGGCCGCGTCTTCCTCGTGGGCCTGAGAACTCTCGCGCTCGTCGCATCTAGTGTGATGGAACTTATGTCAGAGACCATTACAGGATAAGGTACTGACATTTAATGTCATCTTGGGGAAGCGTTGGGCGTTAAATGCCACTCACCGGAGAAGGAGAGGGAACAGGTTGCGGCGGCGAAGTAGAGGATGAAGAGTAAGGCATAGCCCGCAGGGCATCTGCTGAGCCCCATTGGACTCGCCGGTTGCCGGCGACGAGCGAGAGAGAGTTTATAGCCTCCGAGAACAGCCCCCGGAGGGTCGGAGATGGAGTGAAGTCTGGAGGAGTTAGGAGAAGGTCAGAAAAGAGAGGGACAGTGACACCTTTAAAGGAGGCAATTCTTTCATTGCTCTTCTCTTCCCCTCCGCTTTGCCCACTATTCAGGGAAGATTGCAAGGAACTGATATCTCTCTCCTCTCTCTCTCTCTCTCTCTCTGTCTTTCTATGTGTATATGGATATGTATATTAGGCTATGAGTTGCAGTAGTCTGTTTAGCGAGGAGGCGATTAGGCTTTTGGAGTCTCTTTTCTTCTTGTGGAAGTTATACGCATGGGTCATTGCTTGGTCCGAGGGAGAGAACCTACGCTTTCCCTGTATCCTCTCATCCGTTGCTTGTGTCCTACTCAAGGAAATCTCTCTCTCTCTCTCTCTCTCTAACAAAGATCGGAGCTGTCGACGGAGGATGGGAGGTGGGCAAGTCCCAGCTGAACCTTTGAACCTTGGACGCGATCCAGATGGGTAACTTTCTATTATAAGATCCTCACGACGAACTGGAGATGCTTCAGGATCAACACGACGAAGGCCCTGCCGAGCTTGTACGCATCTCCAAAGAGGAAGACGAGCCAGTTCGCAGCCATAAGAGGGCTCCACGCGAGTTGACTCGGCTCCTGCGTGAAGGCCTACGTGCTGCCTAGCACCGGGTCGGGATCGAATCAGCGACGGCGGTGACCAGAGACGACGGCGACGAGGGCGTTCGAGTACAAACGATAATCCACCATAGATTTGATTTTCTTGAAGAACAGTGATAATCTTAATTATGTTGACGGCTGCGGATATAGATTTCCGAGAAACTGAAATCCAGGTTCCTAGCAAGCGTATGACCAATATAATCAGCATTGTTATCAAAGTAGGGCATAGATTCTTCAACTCTAAACAATATAAAGATGAATTTTATTAAAAAAAATATTTTCTTTATCACCCATCTCTTAGACTTCGATCTTCACAAATTGGCCGCATCCATTTCAATCCATCTTATAGACGATAACTTATTTACCACGTAAAATCTGTATCCACTGTACATTTAAATTTTAATAATGAAATCTAGCTGAGTTCCGCATCTGAGTTTGATGTTATTTTCCCAACGAAAACTCATTTTTTTTCCTCACAAGAACCCATCATGATTACTGCATCCTCACAAAATTCTGAGGACATTGCTGAATATGAAAGTCTTACAGAGGCGTTGTGCTTTGGAATGATAGAAGATCAAGCAGAGTTCAAAGCTGCAAGGAAAGAGCATACAGTTCATAGATCAAACAGATGAAACCAACTCAAGGCTCCAGGAGAAGGGCAGAGGCAATGAACATTGCAGGGGTATCCTTCTCACAGGTTATTCCGATGCTGGAAATTCCATAGCGCCGATAGGTAAATAGACAGCTAGACAGATAGATAGATAGATAGCGAGAGAGAGAGAGAGAGAGAGAGAGAGAGAGGAAGCAGAAGCTCTACCTCTCTGTGGTTCTCCTGGTTCTCCGCTCACCCTACTCGATCCCATATCTCTTCTTGAGGATTAGCATGAAGTCGTAGACCTTGAGAGGGTCTGGGAGGGCCTTGGAGACGCTCTCCCTTTCCTGGCACCTCTTCACCCAGGCCATCAGCTTGGGCAGCTCGGCCTCCATGTTGAGGCTTCCAGACACGTCGTAAGTGTGGAACCAGGAAGCGAAGCACACAAGGGCAATGTCTACGAACCCAAAGGTTTCGCCGCCGAAATACGGCTTCTCTCCGAGCTCTCCCTCCAGCAGTTTCAGGGATTCCATGAACTCCTTCTTCGCCTCGGCCTGCGCCTCTCCTTTGGTCATCCACAGGTTGGCCCCGGCATCAGTTATCTGCGAAGCATGAAGGTTACATCGATTGAGCTCCTGTTTCCACGAGCTGGATGCTCGTCGATGTATAGAAGGACAGTTAGGCTTGGACTGTACGAAATGTTGGAGAACCGTTTTCCTGAACACGAGTGTATTCAGCAAGCATTTGGGACTGGAAGAAACGTCGCATATCAGCAGGTAAATGGAGAATGGGAGATTGTTGGGAGCGAGCTTCGACACCGAAAATGAGATTTTTGCTCAGATTCACGAAGATGTAGGCAGACAATGGGGAGAACTTAGGAGAAGGACGAATGAAAGAGACCCATCTGATTTCCGGCGGGGGGAGGAAGAGCGGAGAAGAAAAGGTAGATCCTTCAGGAGGAAGGCCTCACTACTCCTCGGAACCCAGCGCGGTGAGAATCTGAGGAAGATCATGAAGGGGACGCCAGCCCCAGCTTGGCCGATTTCGAGAGAGCGAGAAAGAGAGGGAGAACACAGAGAGAACAAGAGAGAGAGAGAGAGAGAGAGAGAGAGAGAGAGAGAGAGAGCGAGAAAGAGAGGGAGAGCGAGAAAGAGAGGGAGAGCGAGAAAGAAGAAGGGGGAGGAGACGTACCTTCTTGTCGATTAAGTCGGCCCAGAAGCGAGCCCGGGAGCGGGCCAAAGGGTCGGCAGGGAGGAAACACGACGCACCGTCTGCCCCCGGCCAGGTCTCGTCGATGTACTGGAGGATGATGAGAGACTCGCAGATGGAGCGACCATCGTGGACGAGGACGGGAACCTTCTTGTGGATGGGATTGAGGCGCAGGAGGGTGGCGCTCTTGTTTCCCAGATCCTGCCCCCAGTACTCGTACTCCAACCCCTTCTCCTCCAGGGCGATCATAACGCGAATCCCGAACATGCTGGCCCATGAACTGAGCAGCACCAACCCCTTCTCCGGCAAATCCGACCCCATCGCTCCGCCCCCCGCCTTCCTCCGCTACGCTACGCTCTGCTCTCCTCCGCCAAGGGGAAACAAACAGGAGCTCTTGAATTAGGGGCTAGTCGGCTAGTCTGTCTCGCTGTGGTAAGTACCACCTGAGACAACTGGATGCGGCCATTTCCAAAAGGATAACGTTGGTCACCAGACGCAACTTGATTCCGTCTAGGCAGGAAGTCATTTTGGGAAATTATGTCTGGATATTTTATCAATACCAAGCACTGGTGAATGCAAAGAAGACGGAGGAGCCTACGACCGCATCATTAGCGCACCGGCCAAGCCCATTAATTGCGGATTCCTTCTTGAGAGGATATAAATAATCTCATGTAGCCCTAAGAATGAATAATCAGAGAGAAGAGATTAGTCGAGGTTTATCTCTTTGGCTCCGCAAGGAGAGGCCGAGAGGGTCAATTGTCCATCGCCACCGCCGTCCGCTGCCGACGTCCGCTGCTACCGTCCAATTCCATCCTCCACCCCACTGCTCCCGCCGCTGTCTGCTTTCACCATTCGCAGCCGCTGCCCCTCTCCCCGCCTTTGCCTCCGCCATCCGCTGCGACCCACCGCTGCCCTGTTGTCGCTGCTGCCAGTCCGTTCTACCTTCCTTTCCTCCGCCCGGCACGCCCCCTTTTCACCTTTTCCTCGCCAGTCGCACACTCCAGTTCGAGCCCGTCCGCCAATCACCAAGTCAACAGTCAACGACGGCAACGGTCAATGTTCAACGTAAGGTCAACTTTTCACGTTGTGGGTTTCAACTTCAACCGGGAGGAGGATCTGGCAACAAGAGCGCCACCCCTTTCAACAAGAAGATCTTGTGGATGGGGTTGAGGCGAAGGAGGGTCCAACCCCTTCTCCCCCAGAGAGAGATGAGTCCCGAACATGCTGGCCCATGAGCTGAGCACCACCACTCCCTTCTCTGGCACGTCGCCCCATCCGTCGCCCCATCCGTCGCCTTCCTCCACTCCGCTACGCTCTGCTCTCCTCCGCCCCGTTGGAAAACAAACAGGAGCTCTTCATTATCGACCAGGCGGGCAGTCCTCCACTGTAGTTTCAGCCACTCTCACCGGGACCTGCTCTCTTTCGACTATCTTTCTCGTGTGTAATAAAACACTAGCTTCTCTCTCTCTCTCTCTCTCTCTCTCTCTCTCTCTGTGGCTAGGTGCTGCATCTTCTGATAGTGACCTTATCTAAAAAATGGGGTTTGGTGGGCCCATTTCCAAATGGATAACGCTGGTCATCAGATGCAACTTGATCCCTCTACGCAGAAAGTCATTTTGGAAAATTATGTACTGATATTTTATCAATAACGAGCATAAATACCATCTGGCAGCCTTCTATCGTCTATCTTCTTCAATACGCTTTCTGTTATGACCCTTGAAGAGGACTACAAGTGCGCTAGAGTGTTTTAATTCAAATCTATGTAGATTATCCTCTAAACCATAGCGGGTTGAAGGTTTATGGTCCACTTTATGTTTTAAAGATGCCTTAAAACATCATGATTGGTGCCTTATGTGATGGAATTTAGTTCTGTCACTTCAGAAATTCTGTTTGTAATGAGACCCTTTGATCATATTGCTCTCCCAAAATTAATGCAGAAAAATATAAAAATGGAAGATATGAATCTTTCTATAACCTCTCACTTATGAACTATCTAACTTGTCATGGACCATAAACCTTGGGCATAAGACTCTTCTACTTGTCATGCAGTCACTCTACTCTCTATCTTCACTTGTAATGATGATGAACCTATAAATTTTATACTAGTTCACTTTTCTTTAGGCTACATCTAATACTAGAGGATATCCCTATTAGATTTTCACTATTTATTTTTGAAAATATAATTAACTTTACAAGCTCAGGTCTTCCAAGTAGTTCTATTTGATATTTTCAAAGATCTCACCCATCACATGTAGGTCTTAACTCATAACACCACATGTTTAAGTCAATGTATATTTTTTTTCAAAAAATAATACCATCCATAAGTGGATTCTAATTCTCAGTACCTCGTGCCTTAACTTTACGTTCTTTCCACTCACCACTCAAGTTACCTTAGGACCTAATAGAGAGAGATAATATTTAGTACAATTGAATAATTCGTAGATTGTCACAAACGATTAAGTAAGATGAAGTTTTAAATCTTTTTTTGAGATGCACAATCACTTTGCTGTAGAGAATTGAGTGAATCTTTTTCTTGAGCTTATCTGAGTGATGTGGATGAAAAATTCTTCATTCAATATTAATCTTAGTCTTTCTTCAACTTGTCCTTATACACCATTATATCTCTATCATTGCAACATCTAAAAATAGTCATATTCATTTCAAAACTTCTCATTGCTCCACCAACACTCTAGTGTCCTTCAATTATTTTACATTTCTAAACTTTCTACTTTATTAATTATTATTTGTGATATATTGTTTAGAAATTTATAATTGATTGAAAAAATATTTTTTCTTTCAAACTTTTTCTCATAAAATAATATTTGGTTTGTCTTTAGTCTATGTGTTCTATTGATGAGTTACTATCTAAAATCAACATTCCTCACCTTTGGTCATGCTTTAACTTAAATATTTCAATACGTAATGTCCTTAATGTTTTGTCTAAAGATTTTCAATTGATCAACTAACATATTTGTCTTTACAGTCAAGTTAGAGTAATGTCATCAAGCTTCTCATTTTATCTACAAACTCTAATGATGTGTTATCCTCTGAAGTGTATGAAACTTACTTTTAATCATTCTCTACTTCAAAACAGATATGTTTTTCACAAACAATCTTCAAAGATTCTTTCTAGAGATTCATGACACTTTGATGGATGATCTTACTTTTAAGATTAAATTGAAGTTGGTTATTTTTCTTTGTCATTTTCTCTATGTAAACTTTTGATGTGTCACTATATAAGTCACGTGGTGAAGAATTCTCTACTCCTTTTTTTAGTAGTACGAACAATCTAACTCAATTATCATATAGTACTTGAGTTTGAGATTTACTTCGATCACTAATCATATATTTTTACTTTAAATATTTGATCAACTTTTCACTTTGTCACTAAAATATTCATGAGTTCAAACTTTGCTCATTTTAATTTGAATATTTCAGCTATCATTTTATCACTTTCTTGTAGTTTGTTTCTTAAGTTTGAATCCCTCATGTCTATCATTATGTATATTGATTTTCTAAGTATTTTTCACACTAATGCTTCTATCTTTATAATGTTCAAGTGTTGCACTCAAATCTCACAAGTAATTTTACTTCTCACAAATGTATATGAGACTTGGTCACACATCTTGACACAAGTTAGTCTACACTTATATTTTGAGATGATTTTACTATATTTATTTCAATTTAGAAATATATCTCAAGGGCTTGACTCCTTGAATTAATTATTAGTCATAAGATTGTAAAAATTATTATCAATGTATGTAATTTAAATATTTGTCAATGATATTTAACTTATGATGTAAAAAAACATAATGATTCAATACATTACATAATAATTTATTCAAAAGTAACTTATAAATAAATTTTCCACTATATGTATCAAAACCAAGGCCATCTACACCTTATGGGAAGTAAGAGGAGTCTGTTGGACACGACCCACTTTATGGGCACATGGTCCATTCGTTTTTAGCCCAAAGGGTCATGTTTTAGCATGTGGCCCATCTCTTAACAAGTAGCAGTTTCCCGTAGGACAGTCCACCCATATTTTATTCCCTTTTATCTTCACACTATTTTGAGTCAATTAAGTAATTGGAAATAACAAGATGAACAAGTAAAAAGAAGAGACCAAGGCCACCTGCTCAAGCACCAAAAGGGTGGAGACCCAATTATTGTTAAGCAACAAAGAGAAGGAGAAAACATGGTCAAGTCTTGCTATTTGATTGCACTTACTTTCGCTATTGATTATAGACTATGTAAGCTATAACAAAATTGAAAGAGAAAAGAAACGTTGATAGTAGACAAGGATTTATATCATGTATTATTCTGTCCACTAGAAGATTACATTAACATCATGTTCTTTCCTAGATCTAATGGGAGAATTGATTACCAAGAACCCAGTGTTATGATCTCTGTATCTCTCATTAATCTCTTATTTTTATCACTTGGGTCAGTCTAGAGATCAAAAATTATATAACTCTACTATCAGATGTTACAATCTTAGTATACATCGATCTTAATACCTTTTCTCTCTTCAATCAAAGGGTTTTTAATATATCTTAATGTTCTATATCATTCTAGTCACTGTTTGCATGTAGTGACATGAAGCATCGTTGAATTGTTCATATACTACATTTCTTTCTCCTTTAGACTCAGTTCTCCTATGTGAAGGCACAGTGATGACAGAGACGATGGCAGTGATAATGAGGAACATAATATTATGCCAAGTTCCCCTCACTAGTGCCACCTCCAGCTACCGCCGCCAAACGACAGCAGCAACTAGATATGACGGCAACAAGGGGGTCTGATTAGGGACGATAATCCAGCTTAGTTCTGATTTCCTTCAATTGCAATGCTAATTTTAATTACTTTGATGGCTGAGGAAATAGATTTTCGAGTAAGGAACTGAGATGGGGGCTCCTCTCAAGTGTATGCCCAATACGATCAGCATTGTTATCAAAGTAGGGAAGTAAGAGGAACACCTTGCAGAAACCAAATGCCCCAAGAAACTCAATAATCCATTCATATAATCACCATATTTGGTACCCTTTTAAGATGGTTCTCATATGAACCACACAACCATGAATTAGAAGTAATACTTGGCTCCTTAGAACCTGCAACTCGGTGTCAAATGTTTCCTTCTTCCACATAAATTCGTCAAATGTAAGAAATTTAAGAATGAATTTAATTAAAACAAATCATTTCTTCTTACCGCATGCCTTAATTTTCGATCTTCACAAATTTGCCGCATCCATTTCAATCCATCTTATAGACGAAATCTTATTTTCCACACAAAATTTGTATCCACTGGACATTTAAATTTGATGGCAAGATCTAGCTGAATTCCATATGTGAGTTTAATTCTATTTTCCCGACAAAAAAACACATTTTTCGCTCGAAAGAACCCATCATGGTTCATGCACAACCAACAAATTATGGAGACATTTCTGAACATGAAAGTCTTATTGATGCATTATTGGATTATAGAAGATCAAACAGAGTTCGCATCTGCAAGAAAGGAGCATACAGTCCATAGATCAAACAGATGAAACCAACTCAAGGCTCCAGGAGAAGGGCCAGAGGCAACTAACATTGCAAGGGTATCCTTCTCACAGGTTATTCCGATGCTGGAAATTCCATAGCGCCGATAGGTAGATAGACAGCTAGACAGATAGATAGATAGATAGCGAGAGAGAGAGACAGAGAGAGGAAGCAGAAGCTCTACCTCTCTGTGGTTCTCCTGGTTCTCCACTCCTACTCGATCCCATATCTCTTCTTGAGGGAGAGCAAGAAGTCGTAGATCTTGAGAGGGTCTGGAAGGGCCTTGGAGACGCTCTCCCTTTCCTTGCACCTCTTCACCCAGGCCATCAGCTTGGGCAGCTCAGCCTCCATGTTGAGGCCTCCAGTCACGTCGTAGGTGTGAAACCAGCAAGCGTAGGACACAAGGGCGATGTCTACGAACCCAAAGGTTTCGCCCCCGAAGTAGGGCTTCTCTCCGAGCTCTCCCTCCAGCAGCTTCATGGATTCTATGAACTCCTTCTTCGCCTCGGCGTGCTCCTCTCCCTTCATCTTCCACAGCCTGGTCCCGGCATCATATACCTGCGAAGCATGAAGGTTCCGCAGATTGAGCTCCTGTTTCCGAAAGCTAGATGCTCGTCGAAGTATAGAAGGGCAGTTAGGCTTGGAGAGTACGAGGTGAATCGGTTTCCTGAATACCATAGTTGGTCCCTGAAGCATTTAGGACTGGAAGAAGCGTTGCATATCAGCAGGTAAAAGGTGAAGGGGAGATTCTTGGGAGCGAGCTTCGTATGTGACTGTTTCAGCCCACATCACCGGAAACGAGATTTTCCATAGATTTACGAAGAGCAGAGGACCCTGATTTCCGGCGGGAAGAGTAATAGCGGAGAAGAAAAGGCAGATTTTTCAGGTGGAAGGCCTCACTGCTCCTCGGAACCCAGCCCGACGAGAATCTGAGGAAGATCAAGAAGCGGATGCCAGCCAGCCCCAGCTTGGTCGATATCGATAGGGAGAGAAGAGAGGGAGAACACAGAGAGAACGAGCGAGAGATAGACACAGAGAGAGAAGAGAGAGAGAGACAGAGAGACAGAGAGAGAAGAAAGCGAGAGGAAACTCACCTTCTTGTCGATGAAATCAGCCCAGAAGCGAGCCTGGGAACGGGCGAAAGGGTCGGCGGGGAGGAAACACGGCGCACCGTCTGCCCCCGGCCAGGTCTCGTCGATGTACTGGAGGATGATGAGGGACTCGCAGATGGGGCGACCGTCGTGGACGAGGACGGGAACCTTCTTGTGGATGGGATTGAGGCGCAGGAGGGTGGCGCTCTTGTTTCCCAGATGCTCCTCCCGGTACTCGTACTCCAACCCCTTCTCCTCCAGGGCGATCACACCGCGAATCCCGAACATGCTGGGCCATGAACTGAGCAGCACCAACCCCTTCTCCGGCAAATCCGACCCCATTGCTCCGCCCCCCGCCTTCCTCCGCTACGCTACGCTCTGCTCTCCTCCGCCGTGGGGAACCTCTTTGATTATCGTCTAGGCGGCAAGTCGTCTACTGTAGTTTTCAGCCGTTCTCCTTTGGGTGGTAAGACAACAGCCTCCTCTCTCTCTCTCTCTCTCTCTCTCTGTGGCTAGATAACACCTCAGACAACCGGACAATCTCGTGCGGCTGTTCTCTTCCAGCCCCATTGAATTCTGTGACAGTGACACTCCGAAAAGTCAGGCTCGGTGTGCGCATTTCCAAAAGGATAAAGATGGTCACCAAACGCAACTTGACCCCTCCACATCTCAACTCTCTAGTAACTCATTAATACAAGAGTAAAGAATTGGCTACAATTTGTGATTATATATCGGGATATTTTATGAGAAGCCAAGCATAAATGCCATCTGAAGCCTTCTGTCAGCAATCTTCTTCATTTTCCTTTGTGATGACCCTTGAAGTGGAGTACAAGTACCCTAGAGAGTTCCAATATGAATCTATGCATATTATCCTGTAAACCATAGTGGGTTGCTGTAATCTGGTCCATTTAAATTTTTTAAAGATCCACTATGATTTACACCTTATCTGATGGAAATTAGATCTCTCACTTCCAATCCCTTTGATAACTTGCGCAAAAACCTTAACTAGATTGTGTGTTCTTCTATAAGAAGGGAGATAAATTGTCTCACTCTTGAAAAATTAATGTGTAAAGAGAAAAAATCATAGGAAGGGATGGACAACAAGCTCTATGTTTTTTTTTGGGCCAATGCAAGGCATCTCATTCTTGAAGTATCTCCTTAGGTGTTGTGCTAAGTTTCCTCCAACCCATCAAAATTGAATTTCATAAGGTATTGACTAAGCTTTTTTTACCGCACAACAAGTAAATGATATAGTGGAATGAATATGCTTACAAAAGCTTTGATAGAATTGAGAATTTGTGAATATTGGAGGGTTTGCTTGAATCTTGAGTGGACGGCTTGGAGCACCTCACGAGCTGACAAAATGGGGTTTAAAATTTCTGATTTATGAGAGCATAGAAGCATTAAACATCTTCCATTTGAAGGCATTTTGCCAGCTTGAAATAGTCAACTCTCTATATAGAAATGCTCCTCCTTCAAGAACTGCCTTTGGATATATTTCTAATTGTTATTATTTGATGCAAAGTAATCAAGCACTACCCCCACAAAATGCAATTATTGAATCTTGAGCTCTAAGTTTTTATAGTGCTTGCATTTTCAGTCTTTGGGTTGAAAATCAAAGTCATAAGTTTTAAACCAGGTATATCTTACTTTTAATTTCTATTTTTGTTTCATGTGCCAACAGATGTTACACTGTTTGGTTTCATACTTTTCCACACATATCAGATTATTTCCTTAATCCTTTATTTTAAAGTTAGTGTTGGCTAAAAATTGCTTTCTTAAGATCAATGTAGTTCATATAACATTTGATAATTTGTAATTATCAAAATCAGTGGTCTAAACAAGTGTCATATAATAAATTATTTTTATTCATATTTCCTATCAAATATACTTCTTAGTTGGATATGCATATGCATTGCATAGCACGGTCAGGTACAAACATCATGTGTGGTTCATGTGGAGGCATACAACATCACGAGTGCATCACACCTTAGTATCATGTGGCAGATGTAGAGCAAAGGAGTCTCATGTGTAGGCATGCATGACTCAAGCTGGTGGTGCCACCAGGTCAAAGTAGGGCTTTGAGGAACTTTCACATAAGTTAGTTGAGAATAAAATAGTTGAGAATTTTTAATTGTAAGATAAAACATTGAATTAAAAATATCGATTCAAATAAAATTGTATTTATTAATATTTTATAATCAAGTCCAATCTCTATATGATATTTTGGGTGCCCACTAGTTCCTCACCAAGAATTCACCTATTTTCTAAATTGAATTTTGCAAGACTTGATCATAAATATGCGTACATAACTTACTTTAAATGTTAATTATTTATTTTTACTATAACTAATGAAGGTATAGGTGATATTCTCTTCAAAATTGTTATCAATACTACTAAAATATTCTCATAGAAAACACAATGAGAAAATGTTGAAAAATGGATGTAGATGGATCATGAAAAATAATTATTTTCAATTGTAACTAAGATCTCTTTTTATGAAAAATAAATATTTGAATAGATAAAATAAACTCTAACTACCATTCAAAATTTTCCATCATTGATATTCAAAGAAATAACCTCAAATTTTGAGAGAAGTAAAGCTTCAAACTATTATTCACATTATTATTTTTTATCTCTTACAATATTGTGGTTGAAATCTCAATAGGTCATGCTAGTTCTATGGATCAAGAGACATGGTCATTTTTATTAATAAAGTAACTTGTGAGAAGTTATGCTTACATTCGTTGAAATACAAAGGCTATAACTAAATGAAACCAATTTAAAAATATATAGCAAAATTGTAAAATTTACGACCTAGATTGGATTAAGTATTGGAGGAAAGTCTATGATTAGTGCATTTAAGTGCTAATCACAAAATTGGCTAAATGATGTGCTAAGAAGGAGGTGAATTGGTTATTTTTAATTTCGACACTTTTCTTCTGTTTTTATTAATATTCTTAAAACTATCTTAACGAGGTTGATCCACTTTCTAATTACTACATTTGGAACTCAAAATATCCTAGATTTATTAAAAAAAACCTAAATTAGAAGTATCTATGACTTTCTACAACAAATCATAGTGGTCATCAATCATATAATTCATTTTCTATTGATTACAAGCATGGAGTGCACTAGACTCCAGTCTATGGTCATGACAATACCTATGATAGTCATCATTTAATAAAGTTAGACTAGCCACTCCATGTACATACACACATTCATTATATGCAACTCTACTCTTCATAACTCCATTATTCAGACCAGTCCTAAGAACATAAATCTACATAGATTTCTAATAAGGGAAATCTCTTAGGAGTTCAATTTTTTTTCATGTCTGAGTCTTGATGATCCTTCCAAGAACAGCCGATTTCAATACCTTATTAGGGTAATCTTTCTAAAAAAAATGTAAAATTTCGATCACGACGAATATGTATAATTTCCTCTGGACAGTATCAGTCTCATGGTTGGCGTTAGAGGATTCCAAGATCATACAGATTATTTTTAAGGTTCTAAGGCATAATCTACCTGAAATTAATGGCTATTTATTTATCGGATTTGGTATCGAGTCTGAGGTAGCTTTGGGTGACCTAAACGCAGAAAGGTACCCCTTTTTTCTCGAGCCCTTGTCGCGTTGTCGTCGTTCTCCTCGCCGGAGGAGAAGGCGGCGGAGATGCTCCCCTACGTCTCTCGCCATCCCCTCACAGGCTCCCTCCTCCGCTCGCTCCGCCACCACCTAAAACCCGCCCAAAACACTAACGCCCCCATAGCCGGGTCCTTACAGGGCGGCGGCCTTTTCCGTCGTTCATTCTCCGGCCCATCATCTTCCTCCTCCGGAGGCGGCGGCGGCGCCGAGGGATGGGCGGCGGAGGAGGTTGTGGAGTACCTGAACGAGGGCGGCGAGGTGATCTGCTCCGGCAAGGGTTTCATCCGCCCCGTCAATCCAGGGAAGGACTCGCACTTCCTCGTTGGTGACCGCCCCACGCCGCTCTCCGACGGTGCCGCCGTCGCCAAGATCCTCGAGGTCGTCCGGCGATGGCGATGGGGCCCCGACATGGAGTCCAACCTCAGTCGTCTCCAGTTCGTCCCCTCGCCTCTGCAACTCTCCCGCGCTATCTCCCACCTCCTCCGATCGTCTCCTTCTTCTTCTTCTTCCTCCTCCGGCGACGCAGAGGCGGCGCTTGGGCTCCTCCGGTGGGCGCGCCGGCAGCCTTGGTACGCCCCCGACGATGGCTCTTACTCCCTGCTCCTCGACCGCCTCAACTCCTCCGGCGACTTCGATGGCGTGCAAGCGCTCTTCGACGACCTCATGGCGGAGAGCGGCGGCGGCGCCGCCTCCTTCTCCGGCGCCGGTAACAGGGCCATCCAGTACCTGGCCCGAGCGGGCCGCCTGGAGGTCTCCTTCCACTGCTTCAAGAACCTGCTCGCCGGCGGCGCTGCCGTCGAGACCCAGACCTTCAACGCCCTCATTACCCTCTTCCTCTCCAAGGGGCTCCCCTACAAGGCTTTCGAGATCTACGAATCCATGGGGGAATCCTCCGCCGCCCTCGATGGCGCAACCTACAACCTCCTGGTTCCTGCTCTAGCCCGCTCCGGCCGCCTCGACGCCGCCCTCAAGCTCTACCACGAGATGAAGACCGGCGGCGGCGCCGGTCTCCGGCCGAGCTTGCAGACCTTCAGCTCCCTGGTGGATTCTCTGGGCAAGTCCGGGAGGCTGGAGCTCGCCCTGCAAGTGTACTGCGACATGCAGGCCGACGGTCACCGCCCCTCTGCCGCCACCTTCGGCTCCATGATCGAGTCCTTCGTGAAGGCCGGGAAGCTGGACGCCGCAGTGAAGCTCTGGGAGGAGATGAAGACGACGGGCTTTCGCCCTAATTTCGCCCTCTTCACCGCCATGGTGGAGGCCCATGCAAGGTCCGGCCGGCTTGGTGGTGCCGCTGCCCTCTTCGCTGAGATGGAAAAGGCGGGCTTTTTGCCGACGCCGGCGACCTACGCGTCCCTCATCGAGACCCATGCCGCCGCCGGCGAGGTCGACGCCGCCATGAAGCTCTATACCTCCATGGCCGGTGCAGGGATGAGACCTGGTCTGAGCACCTACAGCGCCCTACTGTCGTTACTGTCGAGCAAGAAGCTTCCGGACATGGCCGGGAAGATCCTGCTGGAGATGAAGGCAGCAGGTTTTCCGGCGGATGTTGCCGCCAGCGATGTGCTCATGGGGTTCATCAGAGGCGGCACCACCGAGCTCGCCCTCCAGTGGCTGCAATTCATGGGCTCTGCTGGCGTCAGGACCAACAATTTCATCGTCCGGCAGTTGTTCGAGTCCTGCATGCGGGCAGCACTGTACGGTGCTGCCCGCCCCCTGCTTGAAGCCTATGTTGGCGGCGCCGCCAAGGTTGACCTCATCCTCTACACCTCCATCCTTGCCCACCTGGTACGCTGCAAGGAAGAAGGCGACGAGCGCCGCCTGATGGGCATCCTCGCCACCACCGGCCACCCTGCGCACCACTTCCTCTGTGAACTCTTCTCTGGCCCCGAGCGGCGGGGGAAGCCGGTGCTCGCCCTGGTCAGAGAATTCTTCCATGGATTGGACATGGAGCTTGAGGAAGGCGCTGCCAGGTACTTCGTCAACGTGTTGCTGAATTACCTGGTTCTGATGGGGCAGATGAACAGGGCCCGATGTGTGTGGAAGGTGGCTTATGAGAGCAAGCTCTTCCCCAAGGCCATTGTCTTTGACCAACACATCGCCTGGTCATTGGATGTACGGAGTCTTTCTGTTGGGGCAGCACTGGCGGCGACAGCGCACACACTGCACCGCTTCCGGAAGAGGATGCTCTACTACGGGGTGGTGCCGAGGAGGATCAAGCTGGTGACAGGGCCGTCGTTGAGGATGGCGGTGGCAGCGACACTGGCGGCACTGGAGTCGCCATTTGAGGTAGGCCGGGTGGTGCTCAGGGCTCCCGGGGAGTTGGTGCTTGACTGGTTCAAGAGGCCCATCGTGCAGCAATTCTTGGTCAACGAGATCCCCTCCAAGGCCGATGTCCTCCTGCACCGCCTGGATGTGCTCTTCCCCAGTTCTTCGCCAGAGATCAGGTCAACCCTCTCCCCTCCAAAGAAGAGGCCCTCCTCCTCCTCCTCTATGAAAAACTCATCATTCTGAACATACGTGTATTTTATACGATCAATCGAATTGGCCTGGCCTGGCCTGGCCTGGCCGCCACCTTCATATTTTGTGCTGAATCCTCAGCTGACCCTCATGGACGGTCAGTTCCACATTCATAGTCTGATGGGGGGGCGGGGTTTGACAATGTTGCTGGGAGGTCCTCCTTCATGTGGGTTGACTTTCACAGTCTTATGTTCCTGGGTAGCCAACCTTCCTTCACGTTGGTTGACTTTTGTTGCTGTAAGGTTGATTCTTCATGAGGGAGGATCACCTCCACTTTCAGTCTGATGTTCTTGCAATGTCCTTCCCTCATGTGGGTTGACTTCTATGGCTGCGAGGTTTGGATCTTCATGTGGGTTCTTGTACTGGTGGTGAGTGCAGATGGCTTGGAGAGTGGAGTATGACAGGTGGTCCTCCAAGGAGGTCAGCTCTCCACGTTCACAGTCTGATGTTGCTGCGAGTTCCTCCCTTCATGTGGGTTGACCTTTGTTGCTGTCATCTGGGATCTTATAGTGGTGCTATGAGCGAATGGTTGCTGCGAATGGTTCAGAGCGTGGAGTATAACATCACATCGCTAAGGGATTCTTTGGTGTGGGTTGACTTTGTTGCTGGAACAAGAATTTCATATGGGTTCTCGGACTGCTAGCCATGGTCTGCTGTTCTTGTGACGTCCTCCCTTAATGTGGGTTGACTTTTGCTGCTGTGATGTTAGTTCTTCATGCGGGTTTTGTACTGGTGGTTTGAGCATATGGCTCGGAGTGTGGAGTATCACAGGTGGCCCTCCAAGGAGGGTCTGCTCCACTTTCACAGTCTGATGTTCCTGTGAGGTCCTCATTCATGTGGGTTGACTTTTTTGCTGTGAGCTTGGTTCTTCATGTGGGTTCTTGTACCGGTTGAACGAGCGGATGGCTCAGAGCGTGGAGTATAATATCATGTTGTCGAGGAATCTTTTGTGTGGGTTGACTTTGCATCTGGACCAAGATTTCCATGTAGGTTCTTCCGCTGCTGGCTAGGGTGGATGCTGCAGTGTGGAGCATATTATCATATTGCTGCGAGATTCTTTGTGCAGGTTGACTTTGATGCTGTGAGATTCTTTCCTGATGTTCAGAGCAGATTCCTCAGAGCGTGGAGTATGAAATCATGTTGCTGCAGGAGTCTTTGTGTGGGTTGACTTTGCTGGTTTAAGATTCTTTGCGCCGGGTACCTTGTCTGATGATCAGAGCAGATTCCTCAGAACATGGATTCTAATATCATGTTGCTCTGAGATTCTTTGTGCGGTTGACTTCGCTGCAAGATCCTTTTATATATAAGGGTTCTTTGACTGATGACCAGGGTAGAATCCTCGGAGAATGGATCACATCATGTCGGTTTCCTCAATTGCGAGATCCTCCTGGTGGGTTGACTTCAAAGCTGCAAAATTAATTTGGGTTTCACAATTGACAGTCAAAGTATATTGTTCTTGCGCGATTCTTCTTGTTGTTGACTTTGTTGCTACCAGTTACTTCGTGTGGTTGACTTCGTTTCTTCATAGCGCTGGGATAAACGGCTGATGACCAGGGAAGAAGCTCGATGGAATCATGAAGCACTTGAAAAATTCTCTAATACCTCGATCTCGACAGTCTGAGACTACCCATTTTCTACAGCCCGGCTAATGAGGTGATAGAGAAGAGAGAGAGAGAGAGAGAACAACCGAAGATCTTACCATAAATACATAGGAATCCACGCATTATTCGGATCTAATATGCAAAGAATATATAAATACATATAGATTATGCGTGTGTGTGTGTAGATGATGAAACTAATCAAGCAGCAAACTCAAGAGTGAAAGGATGAACGAAGAAGAAGATAGGAGCTACGACTGAACCGCTGGGAGGAAGAAGAAGCTCCAGCCAGAGAGGGAGAGTTCACGGGGGCGGGGGCGGAAAGATTTATGAGCTACGACTGAGCAGGCGGCGCCGCCAAGTCCTATCTATATACAGCGGTGCGCCGTCGTCGACCCAGCAGCTACGAGCAGGCGGCGAGGCCCGTCTCCGGCTCGCCGGCGACGAGGAGCTTGCCGTGATCGAGGGTCTCTTTGACGGCCCGGTAGAACTCGACCCAGGAACAGCGGTGGGCGGCGGCGCCGTCGCCCGGTTGGTGCCCGCCGGAGAGGAGGGAGAAACTGGCGCCGGCGACGGGGGGACACGGGGAGACGGCGACCAGGTCGAGGACGGCGGCGGCAGAGCTCCGCGGCGCCACCATCTTGGGGAAGTTAAAGGCGAGATTGTCCACCCGGTGGTCGTAGATCTTCCCCCGGCGATCGAGCTTGTACCTGGAGGTTCCCTGAAACTCCCCCCTGGTCTCCCATGGAACACGGGGAACTCCCCGGAGATTCCACCGGACGAGGATGACATCGTCGGAGAGCTGCCAGATCCTTAGGACGTCCATGGCGATGTCGCGGAAGAGCATCCGGCCATGGAAGCGCAGAGCCCAGAAGATCAGCCGGTAATTGTCTATGCCATGGAAGGCGTTGAGCGGGTCGGAGAAGGTGATGTCGGCCCTGCCAGGGAGGAGGAAGATGAGGAAGATGGTGAGGTCCTGGAGGTCGCCGGAACTCTAGAGCGCGACTCGTCCGAACCCTAACGCACCTGTAGATGTCGTAATTGAGGTCCCGGGAGAAGACGGCGGGGAGGTCCTCGCGGAGGGTGCGCACCGCCGTGCCCAGGTTGAGGTAAAACTCGTCCCTCTCGCCGCCGCCGCCGCCGCCGCCGCCGGTGCTGCTTCTGAGGAGGACCAGCTCGCCGGCGGTTCCGCCGTCGGCAGGCTCCTTTAGCCTCTGCCATGTGTCTCCCACCTTGAGCTGCAAATCGACCAAAGATTCCACCTTTATCGTGTCTCCGGCGAGGGGAAGCTCGACCCTCGTCGCCGCCGGCGAGGACGAGGCCGACGGCCGTCTTCCGGAGCCGTGGATGAGACGGGGCGGCGTGGAAGCGGGGAAGAGAGAAGCCATCGCCCTCTGCTCTTCCTCTCTCTCTCTCTCTCTCTCTCTCTCTCTCTCTCTCTCTCTAGTTTTCTTCTTTTCCTCTGATTGGGGGTTCCGGCTGGGTCGTCGTCCTCTTCCATGGCCCTGCTCGGTTTGGGTGGCCGTGAATGCGGCTACGAGTCCCCCACTTGTCCCCGGGATTCCGGAATTTCGGATCGGCCGAACGGAATATCATTTCTTGTGAACATTAAGATATGATTCACAGGTCAAATATGGAGTAAGGTTTGAAATAATTGTGTACATAAATACAAGGAAAATATAAAGGTTCAGCTCCTATTGTTCAACATCTCTATTCGAATATAAAAAAATATTACATCCTTCAAGCAATATACAGCTTAGTTGACTGTAAAATAAAGCCATAACTTGCAGAGTAATGGTCATATTATAGAGTTAAAGCTAAAATTAAATTATATGGCACAGTTATTGAGAATATTTAAAGAGGTAAACTGGTCATTTTATCTTGTATATTATTACAATTATTATCATTATTGCTATTGTTTTTATTCTATAGATCCTAGAGAAATTTGGGCAGCTGCTTTCATAAGTTTTGATTTAGTTCCAAGAGAACCCTGGTAATAAGAATTCATCTTTCATTTTTATTCACATGTATATCTTATATTTATGCCTCTAATATTTCTTTAGTAGATTTTTAGGTCATCTAGTGTTCGAAACTTCATCCTAGTTGACTAATAAGAAGAATTAGGAGTGAATCGATAAGCCTAAGAAATTTTGTTCTAGTTTAGATCTTTGCTTCCAAGAGGAGTTAAGTTAATATTTGACTTCTTTAATAGGACAACAAAGACAACTAATTTTTCTAACTCTTCTCTTTTAAGAACTATGCCTTTAGGTTTTGCAAAACCCACAAGAGCACATTCAACATCAACTCATCAACTCTATTTTCTTCTAGAGATGAGATGAACACATTGTCAGATATAAGACTCCACATAGATCAAGAAGGGATGGGGGATTTGAATTAGTTGGTTATAATTTTGTTTGATCTTCTCCTCTTTTAACTACTCACTTCTTATTTCCTAATTCTTCAAACAATCAATGAAGAACACACTAGACTTTATTTGGGTTTGGTCTCCTTGACCAAATCTATTTTTCAAAAACACCTTGTATTTGATTTCTATAAGTACTTAACATTTTAACACTGATTACAAGTGCTCAATTTCTTCTTTCACTCTAAACTTCTTTGGATTCACAATTTTAAAATGCTCAACTATTGATAACAAGGATAAGCTATACTGAGTGATAACATGTGCTTACCATAAGTTTAACCATAAATGAATATTAAATTTTTTTCATCATGTAGTCATTCCATAAAGAATGGATGCAAATGATTTTTTTTATTTCAATAAAAAAGTTGATTAAATGTTCTTGGTTTTTTTTATCCGCTCCTCACACAGAAGCTCTTTGAATGTTGAAAGATTCTTGTAGTTTCCCAATTGAGAAGAAATAATTTCTTAATTGAATTTCAATTCCAACTTTTCATCTCCTCAATTTTGACTTCAACTTTTAATTTTAGTCAAATTTCTTTTCATTTGATGTTTTAAAATGTTAATAAAAAGGCACAAGAACATAGGCAGTATAGAGGTATTCAAATGGATGGCAAACACATGATATATATATATATATATATAATTTTAATAGAATCTTTCTTTGGCTTTTTACCTCTTCAATATTATGTTTCTAAACTTAGAAAATGTAACAGAAATCTCTAATATGGTCTTACCTTTAAGTCTTACATGGCTTTAAGCTACCAATAACAAAGCATTTAGATATCAGGTTTATATTTTTAGGAAAGAACGGTCTAATAGGTTCAAAGCTGAATTCAATAAATTTATTGGTAATCCATTCATTGAAATACTATAATTATTTTTAATATAGACGAAACCAAAATCATCACATGCAAAACATGTGTGAAATACTAACTCTATAGCTTCGTTTCAATACTTTAGTCCATTCATTTTTGATTTATTAATCTCTTAATTATTACATTAAATTCATGTCGAGAATAATGGATTTCAATGTGCAGAATGATTTCAAGTACCAATTCAACTTATATTTTCATTATAAAATTCTAAAAAATGTGATATTCTGTTCATATAATCATCCTAGCACTTTAAACTACAATATATGAATATTTTTATATTCTAAAATAATTTTCCAGTCTATGGGTATAATCTGTAATTTGATTGGAAATGTATCCACCAAATGAAATATTGATTTTAACAGATTCTTAAAACTTTTCATGAATCTCAACTGATTAGTAACCAAATGTCATCTTTTTATTCTCATCTAGACACTTTTACATGAAAAGAATGTTTTCAAAGATCTCATAATCATTACTTCAAATATATGTCTGAATTGATCCTCAAGGCATGTTTAATCAAAAGTAATAATTTTATGTTTTGGTTAAGGATATGTGGGTTGATCACCACCAAAACATTTTTAAAAAGCTAGCCCATTGAGTCCAACACACACTACATGTCTAGTATGAACTCAATATGTTTTGAGTTAATAGCTTTTATTACTCACTCAATTTTACCAAGGGCTCACTATTAGGAATATTAACCAAGTAGTAGTAAACTACACAAGGGTAAATAAGGAGTTGAAAGCTTGAATTTTGAATCAACTCTTCTTATATGTTATAGAATGGGAGAGAAATTTATTCAATGAACTTACGCAATAAAAAAAAAGTGAAAATTCATTGAAAAATTATAAGAGAACGCCTAAGTTAATCTTTGGACATGCATACGATTTCCTAATTTTAGAGCTCAAAATAGTCATCACGGCCCATTTGTGGCCTTTACAATAACTACCCTGAAAACACTCTACAAGTAGTTTACGATTTTTATTTTTTTTCCGTATTTCCAAGCCATTTCAAACTTGATTTTTGTCATAATTTCGTACTTTTCAATAGTTTCAAAATTATTTTTATTAGAATCTAATCAAGGTCACAATCTTGTGTTATTTTGTTGTCAAAATATTCACATTTGCTCAACATAAGGTATAGGTAACAACACCATCATGATCTAAGTTATTTCAATCATTTTTTGGGGAAACTCTTGCTAATTAGTGTCTTCATATTTTTCACAGTTTAGTTGTTGCAAGAGACATAAAAAACATGCCAACTTGGTTTCATGAGAATGAAGTTATAACCTTTCTAATAATCTTTGATGTTTTGCATGAGTTTTAGGTGAATAAATGATTATTTTGGAATATGAAATTGTATGAAAAGAACAAAGTGAGGCATGAACTGATCTTCCAAAGTTATTAGGTAAAAGAACTAGAAAGTAAGGTATTCATTGTATAGAGATATAAACTAGAAAATTAGATGTTGACTTAGAAGTGGAGGTGTTGATGTCAGTATCGATGGTTACAGCTTAATGCAGAAGTTTCAACACTTGTAAGCAAAAGAAAATCATCTAGGTTTAATCACTATAACCCAAGTGACAATGCATACAACCAAAAGTCAATGCAGATGAGCATGGTATTGACACCGAAGAAGTTTCAATGTCTATTTGAACTAGAAAATAAGCTTTTATGTGTTGAATGGAGGGGATTCTACAATCAATATACCCCCAAAACAGGACTTGATAAAGCTTCAACGGTTTCAAACTTGAAAGTTGTAGGATCTTGAAACCCTTTCAAGCTGAGAAAGTTCACTAATGCTCTCACCCACGTTCAAATGGTCTTTCCAATTTGTCTGTACAACATAATCTAGGTAGAAGCTTCATAAGTCTCTATATTTAATTTATCATTGTTCAGTAATCTTGCTATGGAGAAAGACATACCACTTGTAGAAAGGTTTAGCTAGTACCGTGGGAGAGTTAACATGTGATAACTGATATGGAAAAATATCGGATGAGAAGCTTGGAAAGTAGCGTGGAATTGGAATGGAAAGAATTATATTATAATCTTTGTTTCTTGCTGGGAAGAATCTTCAACTTTGGGTGAACAAACAAAGTTCCCTCTTTGAACAGATAGTAATGATAAACTTTTAGACTATATCGTTGAATATTTAGTCATACTAGAATTAAAGTTGGAAATGATGAAAATCATTATGACTTTGCTAATGACTTTGAAATTTCAGTTGCATTTAAGGCATGCATGAAAGGAGACGAACAAAATGACCTTTGTGAATCCATTTTTTTCTTCTTAAACATCAACTTGATCCAAAAATACCAAGCTTGATGCATGTATATGTAATATTTTAACTTTCTTATGAGTCTAAATTAATTTATTCGAACTCATAGTTTTTTTCTGATTTTGTAATTTAACAACATGATGACCATTTATAAAATATTATTTTGGAAAAGTGAGGCATGTGCATCATACAACATTCATTTTCATCGACTTGGAATTTATTCATCCATAGGAGATGGATGGTTGCTAGGAATTACTGAAGAACCCTATTTTTGGAGATCCAATATCAGCCTAACACTCTGTTGAGGCTATGCATTCTCTTTTTTACACTGAATAAGTTTAGGTAATAATTTTTTGTGGAGAATGAAAGTTATCGTTTGTCTTAAATTCGCTCTTATGTCGCTACCAACATTTATCAGAAATTTTCATCATACTTGAAAATATATGTTACTATGCACCTCTCTTTATGAGTTTCACCTAAACAAATGATTGGAAAATTCCTTCTTAAGTCCCTTTATTATCTTGATGGAAACCATAATACGCTTGCACATACAGTTAGTAAGTCATCGAAGATGAGTATAAATATTGAAGATGGGATTAAAATCATCCTCTGAAACCTTACAAACTTTAAAAGGGATTATATTTGCGCAGCTTCTGATCGTGCCACATCAGATTCATTCTCTGAGTCTAGCCAGATGGTTTCCAGATGAGGAGCAGGATTTGTTCAACCTGTTTTCTACTAGCAGATTCACCTACTTAGCTTACCAAACTATGAGACTTCAGAAACCTCATCCAATTCAGCTAATATTTTCCAAATAAACATCACTCATAGTGAGGTAGGGGACGCAATTGACAGTACTATGTTTCAACAGGTGGTGGCGAAGCTCCAAGATATCCAAGAATTTTGTGCATTCACCGCCATGTTTTCTGTAATGATCTCGTTTTAATTACAGTTACTCTCATATTTCCCCTATGAAAGCCGTCTTATTTTCTTGGATGACGTTTTTAGACAGGACCTCGGAGAAGACCATCCGCCGACTTAGGTACTATCCAAAATGATGGATTTCTTCCAGAACGGGGAATGAATGCTGGAAAGGCGAGCGGTAGATCTTCTGACAGAAAATATGAAGACAAAGGACTCCTATGTTGTGCGGAGAACGACTGAGAGTGGGAGGGACGGCCACGTACCACAAGAAATTCTACCCATTTATTGAGCTGATTGAGGCTTCTTAGAGCCTCTAACGTGGAGATAGAGAAGTACCAGTCCGGAGTTCATAACATGGGAAGATTCACAGTAAACAGAAGTCGCGTAGGAAATTGGAGAAAGTCCGAAATGATTCTCGTAATAGGAATATATTTACAAAGCGAAATCTGCCTCTCCTTCTGAGAGACCAGAAGAGAGAAGAAGCCTAATCCCTCTCCGTCTCTCTCTTTCTCTCGTTCTTCCCTGACTGATCATCATCATCATCATCATCATCATCATCATCATCTTGAGGGGAAGACGTCCCTGGTTATACCACTGGAGGAACCCTCGCCTTCCAACATGTACCCTTCCTGAGGGTTAATGAAGACATCGCCATTTCCGATAGCTCCGGTTCGTCCCCCTCCAGGGGAGAAGAATTGACTCTCTTGATTCTGGTTAAACTGCTGGTACTGGTGCAGCTGAACCCCGTAAGAGAACGCGGGAGGCCGCTGATTGTAGATCCGGGGCCCCCCGCCGGGCCCGAAGCTCAGCGTCGTCGGCCCCACGCTGGAGACACCGGCAGCCGTCGTCTCCAAGAACGCTTGATTCCCCGCTGTGGGGGCGCCGGTGAATTGCTGCACCATGGCACGGAAATTGGTTGTGTCCGTGTTAAGGAGTGTGGTGGGCGTCTTCCTCGACGCCCTCGACCGCTTCCTCCCTGTCTTTACGATCCTTCCCTCGATGGAAGGTTGGGTGGTGGCGCCGCCGCCGCTACCAGTTGGTGGCGGCGCCGCCGCCGGTGCCGGTGCCGGTGCCCGGGAGGTCGTCATAGTCGCCTCCGGCAATGGAGAAGGGTGGTACTGGTAGTACCCCATCCAGTTTCCGTCGCCTCCATTGACCTCGCTCATGATCATGGACCGCTCCGTGAGGGCCTGTCGTCCTCTTTCTCTCGAAAATCCTCCTCTCTCTCTCTCTCTCGCTCTCTGTCTTAATGTTGGGGTAGGCTGACTTGTAGAGAATGGGTAAGGAAGCATCGCTGAAGGCTCGGTCCGTGTTGATATAGGCCTCGGACAGCAACCCGGGGCCTACAAAGTTTTGACTAGGTAAAAGAGCGGTGGAAGATGATGACCGCCGGGAGTCGCCATATTTATCTTGGAAGATTTTCTTTTCCTTCCTGGAAGCATCCTAGAGAATACTCAGCTTTTCATCAGGTCCATGAAAGTTGTCGTATTAGGATACACAGAACCCATCAGATGAGAATAGTCTCCAGTGGCCTACGGTTCTCCGAGAGTTTCGCCGGAGGACGGCAACTCCACCGCCGGCGAGCCAGCCGCTGGAGACTATGGCCGAGCGGCGCTGCCTAACCTGCCGTCCTATCGATGCGCTCAACGTGGCGGAGGCGTCGTTTTCGCTTGTGAAGCGGGTTTAGACGAGGATGAATGATGCGGCGGCATAGATTTGACTCCCACCCACCGTTGTTCCCATACCACCCTGGAAACCTTTCTAGCAGACATTTAGAAAAAAAATATACAACCGGTTTTAGCACTTCCATCCGAGAAAATTCATGGGTCAGCGTGGAATCACTCCTCCTCTGGTGCAAACTATTTTTGCCGGGTTAGGCGATATCATTTTTGTTCGATTTTTATTTGAGAAATTCGATCGTGGGCGACGCTCGCATTTCAATTGCACTGACTAAGATTCTAAGCTGCTCTTATTCTCTCCCCCTAACAACGAGCTGAAGTTGGTGCATCCTCATTTCAAGTCGAACGACGACTGCGTCACCTTATTGACTTCCATGTCATCCATCAACGAACCTTCAGGTGGAACGATGGAGCAAAGTGTGACGTAGAAAATCGCGTCATGATCCATCAATGAAGAATATCACGTGCAAAACACGAACCTCACTAGACCGTGATTCATAGATTATTCGTCATATCGTCGCATTATCGGATCCCATTCACATGAGCTATGTATGCATCACGATCTAACTATAGTTCGTTAATACGATACTCTCTTAATCTTAACGAGATGAAGAGTAAGAATATCCCGATTAGTGCGCAGCCTGCAGAAAGCCCGAGCAATAGAAACGATAAAAAGCCATTTATCCCGGCACTTTTGAGGCAGAACTACCATTTTGATACAAGGATCATCAATCAACTGGGGAAAAGGAGAAGTCGCTCCAGCTTTGTTGGGTTCCATAAAAACCTTCCTAAGTCAATCAATATATCCACTTCGGGCGTGAAAAACAGACAATTCAAAGTGGTGACAAGTTCCAAAACAGGTAGTCGAGAAAACTCCTCTCTGCATCATCCAACGAGAAAGGATGCATCATGAGATGGCCATTCAGGATGCCATATTTAAGCCAGACAGCAACGTGGTTTGTTCGGTTTTGCGGAGAGAAGCCCTCGTGCTCGGTCCGGTTGGTGGTTAACCTCACTCTGAGGTCTTCTAATGCCGGATCAGATAACCTCAATTCTGTGCATGGACGGGGTTGGATAACCTCTGCCCAACGGCGCCATCAAATCGGAGTCTTCGAACCTTGAAGAAGCAGACGCGACATGCGCGGAGAGAGCGTGCGGATAGGCCGCCACCACAGCTGACGTGAGTCGATTAATCGGGTCGCACTCGAGGACGCCGCCGAACGATTAAAAGCTTCCCACGTGACGATTACTGTTCATCCCATGATCTCCGTTGATGACTTCCTGGTGCCCGATTGTCATCTCCGGTGAGGTTCGCTTCAGCAACCCCTCAAATGATAAATTATGAATCTTTGACGTAGTGGTTGCCTCTCTCTCTCTCTCTCTCTCTCTCTCTCTCTCTCTCTGTAAAAATCTTGGCCCTCTTCGACAAGAATAAGCAATTGGGCAAGTTTGACAAAGCTACGTCAAAAATGAACGAGAGCAACCGATCAGCAGAAAATCTTGCCTCGGAACCACCGTCCATGATGGGACGGAGACTACTTGCGATTAAAAGTCGAAGGGGAATCCAGTAGTTAAGAGAAGAGCTTGCATGGGCCGTCCATGGTCAACATCTGACTATTCTCCTCGACAGCGAAAGCTTACCCCTGTGCTATGAGCCGTAATTGGTTAGATTATGGACGTTGGTTCCCCGAATTCTCCTTCAAACTTCTGGTTTTCTTCCTCGTCTCTTCCGACCGCACCGGAGGAATTCCTCTCATCGCTTTTGTCAACAGCTACCGTTGGTCTCCTCAGGAGTGTCTTCCTAGTCTTAGATGAACCCTCTACTGCGTGTACTTCTCCTTCCTGGACTTTGGGATCTGATTTAGTCATATGTTGGCTTCATTCTTCTGGCCCACGAAACCCACGCGTTCAAACTTGGAAAGATCGGGGATCCAGCTCTCCCATATTGAGCTAAATATGGATAAATCCCGTAGCCTTTAATGGTCATAATCCAGATCTTCCGTCGATTACCGTATATGGGTTATTATTTATTAAGCTAGTGACGATCGTCGTTCTGATCCACTGCTTTCTGTCATGGTCGTCGAACAACGGACTGACCGCGTAATTTATCGCCTCATCCACACGTGCATCGAGCTTCCAAACGAGGAGTGCCCTTTCAGAAATCCGATCCGTCATCTGAAAGCTTTTCTTCCCCGGCAAGATTCTGATTTCTGAACAATGTTAAAAAGAAAAAAGACCACCAGGGCTCGAAAATTCTGCACTGTGGAGTGTAAGAGGTGCTCACCCATGATCGAGTCCAAAGGGTAACTTACCCACGCACCGAATTCTTTCAGGTTTTACTGATTCTGGCGAATTACCGAGCCATATTTGGCGCTGGCATGGAGCTTCTGCACCACTTAATATGCCATATATGGTGGTATCGCGGTTTTAATGGTGGCCCACTCAGACCCATCACTAATCTTTGGAAGCCATTCAGACGTTGATGAACTGCGGAGCAACCTGTGTTTAGAAAATAAATACAAAGTGCTACAAAGCCTTCTGAAGGGGAAGGTGTCGCCTGGCGTTGTAGGCCATGGGAGGCTAGAAAAGCCTCTGTTGAAGAGATGAGCCAGTCGAATAACAAACTTAACTCCAGCGTTCCTTCATCACACGAACAAAGAACACATTAACTTCTTTGGGAGCTCCACGAAATCTGAGGAAGCTGCGCCCTGAGATTGGTCCGGGGATGACGAAAAATTGGAGAAAACACTGCCAGAATAAGAGATGGTGGGCACTAGATGAACTGCGGGCACAAAAAGTAATCTTCTGAACGTCCGTTCCTGGAAATATGGTGCACAAGATGAAAAAAAGAAAGCCATTCGGCAAGGAGATGAACTCATCGGATTCTTGATTCGTGTGGAATGATGAGAAACGGGTGGGGGATGTCGGAGGAAGGGACGAATCATGCTGGGTATGCTTAAGAAAAATGGAAGGAATCGTCTCCACTGCGTTGCACCCAACGGAGATGAATCAAACGGAGAAAGATCCTGTCTTCGATCAAGCTCTCCTCCTCAATTTACACCAGAGACCGTTCTTCGTGTGAATCGTCGCCCCGGTGACAAGTTCCACTGCGTCGGGCGACCCCCTCAACTCCACATCGAACTTCTGTAGCAGCAAAGCCAGGGCTACGGTGGATTCCATGAGGGCGAACTGGTCCCCAACACACTTGCGTGGTCCCCCGCCAAAAGGCAGAAATGCAAAATCTGAGATTATCTGCAAGAAAAATTCTCCAGGCATCAGCAAGAACACGAGAACTGCCCATAATAATATCCTGGTTGGGGAGAGAGAAAATAAGATTAAAAAAAGGACCTCATTTGGATATAAAGCTCCTGGGCTTCGCTCTGGGTCAAAACCTGCCCAGCCTTCGGTATCACTGTCCTTCTGGACTAGGAATCTCTCTGGCTCAAATTCATTAGGCCGGTCCCAAAAGTATGGAGACCTGTGTAAGTTGTATACCTAGAGAAACATATGCCCAGGCAAATCATTTCAGCTAAGTAAGAATCAGAAACCTGGGGGATCAATACGGAGAGGGACACATCTTCTGATAAGAATTGGAGGAAAGAACATAGTCATATCTAGTAAAAATTTGCACCAAGAGGAGGGCAGAATACTAAGAGTAGAAGCCATTATGTTTCTCAATTTAGGCTCCTCCCGGTCTCCTACTAGAGATTTGATGAATTTAATGAAAATAAGTGGAGGGAGATTATAGGAGATTCAGCTTCACATATAAGTGCCATACTTAAAAGAAAAATTTACAATTGCCTGACTAAAACAGGAAGTAAAACTCTTCCCAAGTTGGTGAGACTGATGTCAACGGCCTAATAGTATGGCTTCATAAGAAGTCATTAAAGAATTTAGCAACTGCATATTTATCGATTCTCGAGTAATTTCCTCGAGCTGCCAGGATCCATTCAGCTTATTTTCTGAAAATTTAATTTTCCGACTATTCATCTTTGTGGTTTCGTTTAACCCATCAACTTATCCTCTGTGAGCATCTGGAATACATTATGTTTGCAAATAATTACACTTGAAATATAAATTCCTTCCTTTTATTTCCAAGAGAATAATTCAAACACCAAGCTAATATAATTTTTTTTATCAAAAAACAATTATGAAAAAGGAAAAATCATTCAGTAGATATGATTAAGAAAGCAAGGAACCATCAAAGAATGTTACTTCAAAATATAAAATAATATAAAGAACTTATGGATAGGAGAAATTAGAAATAAAATATTTTACTCACTGAAATAAATAAATCTGTTCCCGCAGGGATTTCATATCCATTTCCATCACCGTTGTATCCTCCTAGAAATCAGTACGATGAACATTCAGAAATTAAATCATAGGTGATATCAATCAAATTATCATCTGAAGGAATTAAACCTAATAAAATATGAAATGAAGCATCTCAGTTTCTTTTCTAGAGTCATGAGATGTACACTATGTGATAAGGATGAATGAATGGATCATCCTACTAGAGGTTCCCAGCTGCAGAGGGAAACTCCAGTGACAGTTAAACATTGTTCATGCTCCTTCCTGAACTCTATTTTTGGAATAAGATCTGACCCGCTAGAAGCAACCAACAAAAATAAAGGAATATATATATATAAAAATATTCCATAGGTTTTACTTGAACAAGGTCTATTAAAAAGATTTTCTGAAACTGCCTATACGAGATAAGAATCATCCCGTCTCCACATAGATCTCTCTCTCCAAATCATATACAATCACATACCACACACCTTCTAATCTTCTGGAGGAAATAAAAGGACACTTTCTGGAAGATCACTGCTAATGGTAAGCTTTTTGGATCTTAGGAAGTTTCACCCAAGAATAAAGGCTTGATTTGGATAGTCTATATGTTTTTATAATCAATTTAATGCCCTTCGATATAGAACTCATCCTTTTTGCCTTCTTACATGATTCCTCCATGAACTCTGTTTGTGCTTCACCGTCGGTCTGAAGAAATGCAACTTGTATGTTCATCAGCAATGTTTGACATATAAACGACGTTATAAGGTTTAAATTGTCATTTAAAAGGAAACTGTAAATTTATATTTTAAAGCTATGACAAGGGAGATATAGCCTCCAATCCATTACTGTTAACAAAACTAAAATATTTTCACACTAGGGTTTGGTTTCTGCAGGAACTCCCATACACAGGGCCTCGAAACATTTCTATCTCCTCTTTCAGAAAGCTTGAAAATCAGGAAACTAGGACAAAATCAGATCTTGAAGATCCTTGGCTTAAAAACCTTTGTTCTTAACCAAATATGGTAAGCATGCAGTCCCCTAAAACTAGATCTGTAACGAATCTAGTCACTGAAACAGCACTTCCCCTCATATCAAAAGGAATATTACAATCATGCACACTATAAAAACTGAAATGCTTTCTTCATGTTAGATGTGGATATACCTGGTAATTTGTCAGATTTCAGACTGCGTCTTATAAGCAGAGGAGGTTGCGGGTACAATCGGAGAGACTCCACTACAATAAGCCTCATGTACCTGCAAAGATGGATAATAGTTATACTTTCCCCAACCAAATATTATTTCAGAGCATATGTAAAATCTAAATACATACAATCAATTACTTGTCATTCACAGGGCTCTTCTATCCTAATTTCCAATATAAACACGTAATTCAGAAACGATGAAAGTGAAACAAAATCAAAGAAATAGACACATATTAAAATATAGATGTCAGGCATATAGTTTCCTACTCTAGATGCGAAGCAAGAGCATCTTAGGCTTGCAAGAGGTTCCCTCTAGTTGCCAAACAAGAGTATGTTGTCGATAAAGTGGACAGTAGAGATTTTTCACTTTGTGAGGACAAAGAATCATGAATCCCGGTCTGGTTGAGTAGCAGTTAAGAGTTACTAATCCTCCACCCACCTATTTTTCATGTTGCTTCACCAAATTCAATTAATATCCTTAAAAAAAAAATGAATGTAAATTGATTTCCAGACATGAACTTTGACTTACCATGGATCCCATAAGAAATGAAAAAAAGAGAGATAATTTAGACAGAAATTATGCGAAATAGCAGCATATTGATAAAAGTAAAAACTTTATACGGGTCAATCAATTTTCTGCAGCTCGAAGTGGGCCCTTTCAAGGATTCCACATGGGTTGACCGTAGAATATTTTCATTGCTCCACCATGCCCTCCAGCATCCCTACTACGCAGTACTTGATTTTTGTAGCTTGTACATTTCCCAAAGGTTTATGAATAGGACGAATATAGAAATAATACATGGTTCATAACTTTCAGAGGCAAAAGAATCATCCATGAATTCGAACCCGATTTCTACATAAGTCAAATTTGCATTAGCGAAGGTTTTCGCGTAGCACATATTATAACTTGTTGCTATCCGTTTAGGGTCTATACTAAAATTTTAGTAATCATCAGATCAAGATGATGTAAAATAAGGTTTGATCAGATAGCCACGGAGGAATAAACATGCAATGTTCATGCGACATAGAATTACATCAGGTGAAAAATAAAAGATCCTTCGAGAATCTCCTATGTCTTGTCCCATAATCCGGAAAACTGGGCACAGGCTCCAATCTGGTCAGATATAATAGAAGCTTCCCTCTAACTTAATGGCAACTTTAGGTGGAGTCTACATCTGCTGAGAGGGCAGGGGATTTTTCAAATTGCATAGACTTCTCAAACATGTTCATGAGCACTAATGACACAGATTTCTCCAGCATGGTCACAATGAATCCAATGGTATCATAGAATTCATCTACGTTATACATAGGCTAATGCTCATTCATTGGTGAAAACACAATGAATCCTTATCAGCAACAGACAGAGACAAGAAACATGTGTTCTAGGCAAGAAAAACAGCTATACCTGGAAGATCCTGGAATGAAGGATACTTAACCCCATATTAAATAAGACAAGATGACAATTCACTATCATTTTCTTATAACATAAGACTACAAGTGAAGCCAAAGGAGTATGATAGCTAAGGAAATTTCAGTGAATGCATGAGTATATTCTCCCTCAAATCTAGAATCCCCGATAAAAGAAGCACACAAACCCATCATACTGCAGGGTAACTAGCAACCCATAGCATGAAAAGTTGCGGCTAGCTCACAGAAATAAAAGGTATTTTTTTATTATTCCACTTTAGAAAAAGCAGCAGTTCAAGCAACCCGATAGTAGTATGCTGTTCACTTTACTAACAGTAGAACACCAACCTCTAACAAGGAAAAGAAAAGTTGGCAGTAGTGACAAGTATAGCGAAACATCTTACGTCAATAGTATTTCAAGAATTTTGGGAGTAGGAAAATAGGATGTTCCGATAGTAATACGTCTTCAACAGCACAATGTGATAGAGTATAAGTTCAATGACCTACTCTAGTTTTTTGATGCTCTCATACGTTGCTTTTCCTTGGCCAAGTATAGAATCCACCTCCAGCTGAGCTTTCCTCATTTTGGAAGGGTTCTGTGCTTCAGAGAATTGATGTTAAAAATGGAAAAAGGCAAATATCTTTCATCCAGCAGGAGTTTCGTTCAAGTCCTGGAAATTTCTCCACATAATAATTTCTAAGAAGCATAAAAATATAGAATAAAGTATTTCCTTTCGTACTTGGGCAAGTAGGAAAACAGCCCATGTAAGAACAGCTGCAGTGGTTTCATGTCCTGCGATGAGCATGGTCATGAGATCATCTCTAAGCTGTTCACACAAACAAAGCTGAATTACATATTGAGTGTCTCAAGGTACCCAAATACCTACAGGGCGTTAAAGTTTGAGAATGTACACATAATCTTGGGTATAAGTATTAACCTGGCGATCATCAACATCAGCTCCTCGCATATCAACAAGAAACCGCAGTAAGCTAGCATCCTATGTAAGCACAAGTGACAAACCTAATTGGTGAGGGGTTTAACAAGATATAACTTATAAGCAGCTCTATTAATTGTTCAAATTTTATAATATACTAATAGTCCATCATAAACGCTAGCCCCACCTTCAATGATGAGTAGTCTCTTTGCTGAAGTTTTTCAACATCAGTTTCCTGGAAAAAAACAAAGCTTTTTCAGCATATTAGCACGGCTCTTATCCACACAAAGTATGAGTCAAACATGATAAATGCAACTAATTTCGTCAAATAAACAGAGTTGGTCTGCCATGTTGTTGGATTTCTCTGGATTAAATAGAGTAATATGGATCAACTTTTCAAGTAACATAAACTCGAACGTCTCGTCGAGTTCAAGAAAAAATGAAGCCCAAGAAATTAAAATGTTTCTATAATTATCGTTGGGAATACAAGGTTAGAAGAAAAAGAAAGTTAAATCCTAAAACTGATAATGTCTTCCATAATTCCTTCCGAAATTAACTGAAGAATATTTTAACACAAGTCTGACTGTTCATTCACGAAACCCCAGAAATTAAGAAAACAAACATCAATGAATTTTCTATAATTTTTTTCCGAATAGAAACACTTACGTTTCGTTTTATGAACGTTAATGTTTTCAGCCATACCCTTCGTTGAGTTTGATCATCATTCCAATTTTCCATTTTGTTGAAGAAAATATCGAAGTCGTATGATATAAAATATTAAAGTAATTATGTGAAATTAAGAGACATACGTTCATCAAGAGTTAATAAATATAATATAAATCATAGGAATGTAACATCCAAGAGATTTGTAATGTGAGCAAGTTAAAAAAGAATTTCTGAACCATCAGACAGGTGATTGAAGCTAATAACTGCCACTGAATCCCTGTGGACTATCTTAAACCATAAAATCAATTATAACCAGATTTTTGGTTCACCTCTCTTGTTTCTCTTGCATTTCGGATAAGTTCATCAAGACAATCATTGATAACTTTGAGATCACCATAGAACTTCCGCTGCCTTGGGACTATCCATCTTGCCAGTGGAAGATTCCAATAGGGAATATAGAAAGTTGATCGGTGCTCAGCTTCAAAAAGAGTTCCATAAACAGCCTGTCAAAAATTTAAGAGAGCTAAGTAAAACTTCACAACTTTTGACGTTACTATCCAGAGTCTCGTCTTATTAATAATAATCATAATATTGAAAAAAACATACGAACTACATTGAAATAAATAAATCATATAATTTTCCAGATCCATGATTGTTAAAGTTTTATTCATCTAGATACAGGAATGGCCAAAGAATGCCAAAATGCCGTATGGTACCAGATGACATTCTAGAAGTTGTTACTATGAGAAAAAAGTTATTGAAATCAATGACCATTTCCCTGCATTGTAAAATGCCAATGTTGGTAATAAGATACTTTGACAACCTATATGCAACCGCATTAATAGAAAATCTTTTCTTTTATTTACAGAATCTCTCAATCTCCTACTATTATAGAAGTCATAATGTAAAAAGTATTCATCTGTTATTTTCAACTTGTTCTGAAGCAGTTACTTTCCTTTTACAACGCACTAATAAAGATTATCTACTACACATTGTAAACTCATCTGTTACAATAGAGCTCTCTGAGAGGCCTGCTTGTGAGTTAGCGAGTGGTTATTCATCACAAATGAATTCACATTTCCATCTGATGATTCCCATTGAAAACGTCCCCTCAGCACCCAGATGCAGCATTTATGCACCCAGTTAGATCTCATTCTCTTCCATTTTTATCTTTTGAATTTACCATATTCCATTCAATGATTTATTAACTAATTTTTGCATAATCACAAAATTAAACATCTTTTCGGAGAGAAGATGAGCTCGAATTGTTTAATAATCGCATAATATATGTAGAAATCGGAAAAGTAAGGATTATGTTGCATTTCAGGGCTAAATTGGAGATTGAGCATGACCATATCAAGAACTGTCCAGGAGGTTAGGAGAGAGAAAAAAAACTGATCAAACATAAAAAATTTAAATGGCCATAAGAGAAATAAGTTTTGGGGTCAAAACCTTAATCACAGGGGATTCTTTTGTGACAGAACCGAAGTCATAGTTGAACACACCCAACCCAATAATATCAAGTGCCAGACTTGAGAACTCTGCCTCAAGATCCAATTCAATTTCCTCTCCTTTGCTGGCATCATTATCTAGAAGCGACTCAATTTTCGATATGGTTCTCTCTGAACAGTTTGTGAAAACTTTAACCATGGCTTCGAGGAACAAAGAATGAAATCCCGGAGCAATGACTACAAGGATAAAGAAAAAAAATTATTATCAGACTAACGCCAATCGCCAGGAAGATGAAAACTGACTGAAGTGTACACAATACAAACCTCTTCTTCTCTGCTTCCAGGTGTCTAGATCTGCTGGAATTAGCCCTTTCCCCATTATAGGTTCTAGGATGTCAGCAAGCACTCCCTGGGAAAAATATACAGCCAAGAATGTATCAATTCTCTTTACGATTTTGCCATGACGAGGTTAGGGAAAAGGTATCAAGGCTTCCAGCTTGCAAAGTTAAAAAATTCCCCAGGTCCAAGAAAAGAAAAACCAGACTTGTCATCAAGGAATCAAACTGCAAATTGTTTCGGAGAGGACTTTGCGATACAATATACCAGGGAAGGGCATAGGGTAGCTCTTTCAGAGATTAGATTTCTTCAAAAGATTGTTACTCAATGAAAAACATAAACTTTTTTCCGAACTTTAAAAGTAAGGAAAAATAGCAATATACAGGGTCAGGGTCCTACAACCGAGTCAACCAGAGTAATTCTCATCATACCCCAGTTGACCAAATCAAGCCAATGGTCAGTAGATTCACCTAAAAAAGAAAGTGGGATATAACTGCAGGAATGCAAGATTCAGCCAACGCATATATATACCCTCGACTGAATCCACCAGTCAGAGCATGCCAGTGATCCTTCGTATGAAAGTTTAATTTGAAAGATTAAAAGACATGAAAAATAGTTTCTTAAATAAAAAATTGATATAGCATCGTTTAAATTTATGACGTAGTAAGATGCTTTATACCAAACCTAGATAATTATGTCAACAGCAACAGATAAATACCATAGTGATTTACTATCCCTCCTAATGAATGATTCGGTGCTTTTCATTTGATTTTACAAAGAAAGAAGGGGGGAAAATCCATCATCACATGTTCATGCAGTGAGAATCATGATCATTCCTTTTGTCTAAACACTAATTATATGAACCCAGTTCCAGAACCAATGACCATTTAATACATTTATTTCACTATTTGGTGTTTCTTTTTAATTTAGGGACAGAATTGATTGCTACATAGTCTTCCGTAACATTTTCTTGCCTGAAACTAGCACCAGTCGGCCACCACCCAACTGACATCAGTTGTGAGCAGTGGACTCAGCTATACTGGCCTTACCCAAACTCATCCAATGGAATATGTGGCATTCGATTTCTCTAGATAGATTCCCAACGAGCAGTGAAGCTGTCTAGAGCAATTCCCATCTTCCTTGTCGATGTCTCCAAACAAAGCCAGAAGTAGATGATCTGAAAAGTGGATCAACATTATTTTCCATCTCAACAAAGGCCTGCACGTCATTTCGAGTTGTTCCTACCTGTTAGTTCATCTAATCATACAATTTATTATCATCGAAAATCAAAGTGTGGCGCAAGTATTAAGAAGGGAGAAAACTAAATTTAGTTGATTGCGTTAGAATTCTGGTACTTTTTTTTCAAATTTTTAAGGGAACTGGACTCATTTTCACTCAATGAGTTCTGAGGAGGAATTCATTATGAACCCCAAGAAATGGGTATTTTTCTTAGGATATGTAATATATTTCCAAGATATAGAAGCCAACCACAAAAAGGGGCCTGCTTCTCGGCTTCTCAGTCTGCATAACCTTTCAAGCTTTCAACAACATTAAGAGCCAAAGCTCCATTGTGCCTCTACAATCATGAGCTTGGTGATGAATTTTTCTATAAGCCACTGTGCAATGAAACATATTTTTACCGTGCACAAATATGGTAAAATATCCAGCTTAATATCCAGCGCTCTTGAAGAACACCATACTGTTAATACTTGCAAATATTGAAAAAGTAGGGCTTTCTCCCCATATTTATCAAGAGGATTACAATCTCCCGATGTAAAGACAACAGAAATTCATTTGCCCAAGAGTGACGTTTAGAAGGCATTCCAACATCATCAAATTAAATTCCACTGAACATAGCTATCCGAAGAATATATAATTTCTCTCAATGAATAAGTGACATAACCGCTAAAATTATTTTTTCTAGCATTCCTCCATCATCATGCAGTTTCATCAAGTTTGTATTTTCCCTAATCTGAGATTTAATAATGTTAATAATAAGCAGAAGATGAGAAAAGCTGCATTAAATTTTCAGAAGCAATACTCAATAACAATGTCTATGGGCGAATTCAATGATATAAAACAAAGTGAAACCAAGAATATAAAAGCGTACCTTGTCATAAGAAAATGCATTCTCTCGGAGAATATATCTTGCCACAATCGGATCTGATACCACCACAAATGACTTTGGTCCGAAAGCAAGTCTATACACAGAACCATGCTGCTGACACAATAATTAAGACTAAGCAGGGAAAGCAGCATGGGAAAAGAAAAAATCCAAATCCATCCAAAAAACTTGCAAACACTCTCTTCTCCCAAGGATTTTTAATAATGTCCACAAGTTGAGAGTACCAGTCAGAAAAGTAGAAGTATATTTCTTTAGTCATTACTAACTGCATAATTAAGTATACTGTGCAAACAATACCTAGCAGTTGCCAAAGTTAATTAGATATAAGCAGGATTTGTTCAGAGTGACAGTATATAAACATAAATATACACATAAGCGAGTAATGATGCATAAAAATATATCAATTCCAGTTTCAAGAAAATGTAAGTGTATGTACATCAGGTTCAGTATGGGAAAGGAATATTTGACAATTTCCAACGAAAATTCCAAGCGTGTAGGGACTAGGGACCGATTCTTATCAGCTACATGTTCTTATCGTGATCTAATTAGCTTTATGGAAGCAATGAAAGCCAGATTTTTCTTAACATTGGTTTACTGAAAGCATGAGCAGAAATTCTAAGATGTGGTATAACAAGAAAACATTTCTCAATGCATGTTCATATAAAAATAGTAATCTGTACATCTCTCACGAATAAGAAGCCTAAAAATAAATCACAATGAATTTCATTTCATTTTACACAATGGGTCAACTGAGTTTTTATTTCATTTAGTCTTTCAGATTAAAAACCTCTGTAGGACATATGACTTCCAGTATTCGTTTTCAATACTCAGATGAAAGGAATCTCAGAATGAATTAGAAAACAAGAGGGTATGTCACCTCTATAAACCAATCATAAAGTGAGAAGAAAAGAGGGCGTCCAAAGAGATCAGTCACTGCGCCTTCAGCTGTTGGCATTGATCCAAGGGCTGATCCGCTCAACAAATTGGTTAGAAGATTGCTTGCATTGTCCAGTAGATTTCGATTGGTTTTTGCTTCTTTGGTAGTTGACTGGCACCTGTAAGATTATCAGCATTGCAGCCGTATCAGTAGTTGACTTTCATTGTATTTCTATTTGGGATCAAATGGAAATAATCTCGCTTTATCATAGTTCTGTCATCCACATAATACAAGATTACGATGAGATTCAGTACTTTACATCTCTTTTACATAAATCGAGACTTTAGAACTTTCTCTACACAATCAATGGGACTTTCCTCTGGATTCAGAAATTTTCCTTCCTGATGCTGAAAACAAATTGTCTTCACACTGTCCATAACAACAAAGAAAAATGGAGACAGCTATGTGGTAGGCATTAAGTAATTTGTATAATCTAAAACGAAAATCAGGTTTTCGGGTGCCTCTTCCTGCGTTCCAGATGTTGATACACATGCTATGAGATCCTATCACACTTACGGGCATTCTGCCTGTGATCACTGATTCAACACAGAAGAACAAGATCGACCGAATTAAAGAAACAAGATCATCTGGGCGAGCACAAGAACTGGGCTGGCCTCAGCTGCCACGTTTCGAAAATTCCTATCCAGGAAACTTGGAGCAGCAAAAATCAGGCCTTTGGGTAGCTCTTCCTGCGTTCCGGATGTTAATACACATGTTATGAGATCATATCACACTTACGGGCATTCTACCTGTGATCACTGATTCGACACCGAAGAAAAAAAGCCCGAGATCGACCGAAGTAAAGAAACAAGATCATCTGGGCGAGCACAAGAATTGGGCTGCTCTCAGCTCCCATGTTTCGAAAATTCTCATTCAGGAAATTTGGAGCAGCAAAGAGATAAAATATGGCGTCTTTCACGGCAGAGGAGGAAAACGGCGCTCGAAGCTCGTCAGGGGGGAGGAAATACGAGAAACTGGCAACCAAATTCAAAGCATATAGCGGCGGCGATGCTGAGATCAAGATGTAGAAGCGAGAAAAACCAAATAAGCAAGGCCCGAAAGTGAGGAGTAACAGCTCATCGCCCACCTCGTCATGGACTGTCTTCGAAGTCCGCGTGGAACTCCGTGGGAAGCACCGCCCCTCGAGTTGCCCATCCCGGTGAGACGGGTTCCGCACAGGCCACCATTACCGGCGGTCGAAAGCTGCAGCAGAGCCACAGCCACCATGGCCGGCGCAGACGGATGTTGGAAGGGACAGTACTGGGTGGAAGCGGGCAATGTTGACGACCCTTCTTCCTATTTGGATAAGTCTTCGTTGTTACGCGCGCATTCTGCGTGCGTTCAATCCGAACAAAATCCTCCCTTTTTACTGTCTACAACGTTCGCGGCTATTTCTCGAGGACACCACCATGTCTAACAGTCAACGCTGCACTGCCCCGATAATGCATCGAAATTGTTTCCTAAATACCCCCGAGAAATAAAATTTACTCGATATCAAGAGCTTCATAATTCACAGAGGGCCGAAATCTTCAGAATTTTCCCCCTTTTTTTCAAAATTTCAAAACTAATTAATTTCAGAGTTGAATTATGACATTAAATAGTTTTTAGGATGAAATGTGATGAATGGTGAGCGATGATGAAATGGCGGTAGGATTAGTTATATCAGATGATCATTATCACTAATTGCTACCTGAAGTGGCAACATGTGAGAAAGATCAGCAGGCTTTTATTGGCATCTGGTCACCTTTGTGAGTGACTATATTGATAGAAGAACTAATTAGGGTTATCAGCAAAAGGCTTTAGGTAACTTCAAATTGGACAATCCCATGTATATGTGTGAAAACAAAGTTACATAATGGTCAATGATAGTAATGAGAATACCTAGCAATATGTATTTCAATTCTTGTAGTCTTTTCTAGGGACATCAAAATAAGAATCTCTAGGGCCCACCACAATTTTTCTAGGATTACTCATTCATGAGGCCTTCTTTGTCTTCAAATAGCATTCAATGAGGAGATTTGGTGATAGAACATCATAATTGTCTAACAAACTCCTTGTAACATTCAACCATTTCCCATAGTTCTCCTTTGGGGAAGCCTCCTCTGATGACTTCAAATACGCCTTTCTCTCTCTTACAAGGTCGACATATTAGACTACTAGGAGCCTCCTCTCTCTCTTCTTGTATTGCCTGAGCAACGGATCAGGTGCACTAATTAAATGGGGTCATGAATTATAATGTGCAAATTCGACATGTTAACTATGGCATAAGTTAGACAATTAGTATTTAATTTGGTACAAAATGACATTTCTTTGTACATAAAATAGGGGAAGCATAATTTATGATATATATTCTAACTACATGTCTAATTTTTTTTTGATTTTTTATATTTTCGATGACGTGTATATTTATTTATTTATATGCTTCACTGGAATAATAATTATAAAGAAAATTTCATTTGATGTCTAAATTATTATTTAAATATTTTATAATTTATTTAATATAATCAAAGTATTTTCTTGATTTTTAGAGATTTTTTGAATTTTTTGAGTATTTTAAACTTTTTTAATTTAAATAAATATTTTAAAGGTTTTTTATTCTTTCAAAACTTTTGTTAAATCTGAATTAATATCAATGCTTTAACTCATAAATATTGAAATTATATAACATAATTCAAGTGATTTTTATGATTTATTATGCATCTCTTAAGCCCTAAGTCAACTCATGTATAAATGAGTTTAGATTTACCATGTTGCTTTGTCCCTTATGCCTAATTTATTATATTTATTTGTTTAGGGGGTAGTGGGCTTTATTTTATTATTAAGTTTCAGATCATATCAAGCCAACAGGTTAGTTGGACAGCTCACATTAATTAAAAAGGAGGCTCAAGAAGAAGTAGTTATTTTTCCTCCCCTCAAATTAAGGAAATTGTCCAATTAAGGTGAGTGATTCATTTCTTCTTTAATTAGAGGGAGGGGTATGTGGTACTGTTTAATCATCCACACCCCTCTACCTCATTTGAAAACCCTTGGGACTATCTCAGTCTCTCAATTTGCCCAATCTAAGGGTTGAATAGGCCCTAAGGTGAGAGAAGGTGAGAGAATACCTAACATGACTTAGTCATTGTATAATAAATCACATAAATTTAAAATTTATAAAACTAAAAAAATATTAATTTATAAATTTTTAAACATATTTTAAAATAAATTAATTAATTATAATTTGATAAAAGGTTTAAAAAATAGTAATAAATTTTCTAACAATCATTCGGATGTAAGATAATATCATGTAATATTTCAGAATTTTTATAAATATAATTTTTTATAAGTTTTAGACTAAATGATGAATATAAAATATATTTAAAAATTTACGAATGGTTATCATTTTCAGTGATTGTTGGAATTCTATTTGTTCAGAATGGTTATCGTGTGATGTTCACAACCTCAACGGTTCTCCTTAAATAAGGACAACTTAGGCATTCACTAAATCTCTTTTTGAAGTCTAAAAAATGATGATGGAAGTTAAACTAGTTAAAAAATAGTAAATTAAAGTTTTGACGTCGCGATGGTGATATATTAACAATGTGTCAGAATTTTGAGCATTTAGGAATATTGTTGTGTAATATCTATAGCCTCAAATACTCTTCTTAGATAAGGATGATGTGAGTAATTTTTATATCTTCTTGTAAAGTTTAAAGATTAATGAAATGGGTCATCGAATCATTTACGACAGCTATCAGATGATGCAGTAAAAAATGACAACTTTACGATTCTCTAACAGTTGTCACTCAATGAAGATGAGCTAGATGAAGGTGAGACATGTCTTATGGAGCTTCATCCTCACGTTAGCACAGTAAAAAGAGGCTCTTCATTACATCTAGTACATTTTTAGGAGGTGGTAACTCATCTCTAGATAAATCATCTTTTTATCAACGATGACTTATTCGTCGATCAATCATAAATGATTTATTCGATAGATTCACAATTTTTTTATCATGAATCGTTCAATAATTTTAATAACGATACTTCGCGAATCGTGTTGACAAGATTTTCACTAATAATTGAGCGATTATGACAGCTTAATCCTTCACTAGGGATTTGTAGAAAAATTATGATTTAATTAAATAAAAGTACGAGTTCTGGCACTAGTGGGATTTGAACCCCCACTATTTACTCATCTTCATGAAAAAGAATGAAACAAGAATGCAAATACCTTTATAAAGTGACATCATTAGAGTACTTCTTTTTGATAAATAAGGGGTATTTGAGGTATAAAAATTATTAAAATATTCTAGGGAAGTTGTGATCGTTGATTTAGTCCCACATTGATTATGTGTTGAATTTTGAGGTAGATATATAGTAATATGAGATTTGATAAACAATAAGTCTCTTTCTCGCGTGTGTATAACCACTCTTTACCCAACATTTGGTTGGACACTAGTGATGTGGAAAAGGAGTGATGCACACTTGTCCATCCTTAGTCACTTAAGCCCTTGCTCACAGCTTTGTTTGATTGTGCTTCCAACCTACTTGTGAGCCCAATTAGTTGGCGGGTTCCCCCCTTTTTCTATCTAATTATTTTATTTTTCTTTATTTATCTTAAAAATAGAATTATAAAAAGTATATGAATTCACATAATTAGACAAAAAATTACATTAATCAATTAAAAATCACTTTTCACAATTTCACATAAATATAAGTCTATTTCTTATGAGTTAAGACTAAAACTATATTATTAATAAATTACTAACCCATGATAATGAAAACTTACCAATACCTTTATCAATATTGTCACTTTCATTATTAGTTGTGTTTATCTCTTTCTTGTGATGAATCTTGTCATTTTCATCACCTCTAGAGATCAAGCCATTTAACCTTTTGGCAAGCGACAATGTATATTTGGGATATTCTAACTTCAAGGAACAAGATGACTCCTTCCTTGATGACTTTTCTTTCTTGGGATCATGTTCCAAACTAGCCAAAAACTTTAGTTTTGATTCCAAACTTTCTTTCTTGTTGACTTTTCTTTCTTGCTACCTCTTCTCGTAGTCTCTTTGACACACTCTTAGCATGCATAATATAGTCCTTTCCTTTTCTATCATTTGTCTTGCTAGGTGAGACAATGCAAAGTATCTGATAAGAGACTAGAAGCTACACATATGAAATCTTATTCAATAAGGCTGATCTTGACGAAGAGTTCTTAAATATTTTGCAACCTGGGGTAGCCATGTAAAATGCTTATTCTTTTCCTAGGACAAGTACAAATCATTTGGAGGTGCCATCTCTTATTATTGGGTCATCTAGTTTAGAGAAAAAGCTCAATTATGTGAAGTCCTCCAATTTCATTAAATGAACGGCACTAGCTCATTCATTTCTCCCAAGAAATGAACAGTCTCATGCCTTATGTATAATTGTCAAATGTAGTTTTCCTTTGGAATTTTTCTGTATCTTAGATACAGAATTCTAGTGGCATACATATGCTTGTTGGAATCTGAAGTGGTATAATATTGTAACTCAAGTTTTGTGTCATATATCTTGTCATTGAGCAATGGAAAATGAGACTTTACTTCAGTAGCCTCCTTTAGTGTGAACTTGTAGGTCAAGGTCAAAGCAATAATTCATTTGCCAACAGGTAATCTATCATGTCTCTTTGAAAGTATTCAAATGTTTGATTGTACAAGTTGAATACAAATCCTTATCTTTTCTGTAGTAGTAAGCACAGGTTTCTCATATGACAACAAAGACTTGCTAGTAACAGTAATTGGTCCTTCACTTCCATCAACTAGTACAGCCTCTTTGTGGATGCTTATGCCATGAAACACAATCCTTAGGTTGACCACAGAAGATTCATGGCTACTAGATCCAACTTGGGCAACAATAACTTTAATTATCAAACCACCTTTTACAAAGAAGTTGAAACCTTGATGTGAAGGTGATGAACATGTCACAACACTCTCCCATTCAATGGGCCTTTTAAGAGGGCATAGTTGATCAGGATTAGTGAAAAATCTCCATGCATATCGAATCTTGAAGTGCTCATAATTGCCTCAATCCAAATTGCACAAGTGGTACATCAATAAACTTCCTCACAGCATGCCCTCAAAAGAAAATGACATTAGGCAATGAAATAACTTGGCAATTGAATTCCAAAATTGTAGGCTTCATTATGGGAATGGGTACACTAAAAGCAGGACCATGCCATATACCTTTACAATCTATGGCATACACTTCATGATAGTGCAAGCCTTCATTGAACTTTGAAGGATCAATGATGATTATGAAGCTAAGACCATTGAGAGTAGTGGTAGAAACTCAAGAGCTTGAATAATTAAGCTTTCATTAGAATGCAGCTGTCTATATTCTTCAAATGGTATGAACTGCTCTAATTTGTTTGCACGTTTGTGAAACTTCACCACAACTTGTACAGCCTACTCATTAGATTGCTGACAAGCATGAGGTTCCCTAAGATATAGGGGTTGTTTTTCTAATTAGATTGATCTTTAGTTTACAATAAGCACTAGGGAGATTCTGAGACTGAAGAATAGATTCATATACCTTGTCAGCTAGCATTATTCCATGCCCCATGGAGAGAGTATCTTTAAGCATGTCACTAGCATAATTTGTAGATTTTTCAAAGTTTTTCTGACACTATATGGACTAGTAGGAATGCATTTGGCCTTCATCACATTGATTGATAGAGCAACTATGCCACACACATAAGAAGATGACATCCAAGTTCCATTCGTATGCATGTGGCTTGATCTTTTGATGAATTTGACTTTGTAGTGGGTTCTTTCTTCATCATAAACTTTTGTTGTGGAAATGTACTCTTATTAGAGCCCCTTTCCTTGCATCATCCTCTGAAATTTCATTAAAAACTATTAAAGGTGTTATTGAGGGTCAAAAAATAACCATATGAATCACTATGGCTAAATTCATATTTTTTTATAAAATTTCTCAAAGCTTTTCCAGAATGTGGCCCTTGATATCGTCATCACTTTCAGGCCAATAATCCCATCATTGCTCTTCAAGTAGTTTAAAAATAAAGGAACAAGTTGCTTCTCTAGTAATCCTTTAATTTTAGAGCTTGAAATCTGTTGTCTACATCCAAGGTTGTCTATATCAGAGTACCAAATTGGGCCCACTGCTATTATCGATTCTAGTTGATTTTCTAGTAATAGCTCCATTTTTTCTTGAGCTTGGGAAGGACCTTCTCCTAACATCATCATCCGTGCTCAGGCATTTGTATTTCTACTATCCATGCATTATTTCTCTCCTTCAAGTCTTGCTCTTGTCATCCGTGACTTCTCCTCCTCTCATTGGAGTTCTGCCAACCTAAGCATTGCTGCAGGTGGCTCACTTTTCTCGTACATTGTAATAAATCTTCCCACATTTCCTCCATTTCCTTCTCCAGCCTTTCCACATTGTATTTTTCAATTTGAGCATCATCTCCTTGTGTAGGATCTCAACTTTGATACCAAATTAAGAGACAGAAGACAGAAGACAGAAGATAAAGACAAGAAATGAAGATTAATCAGAATAAAACATAGCTCGGGCTCCAATGAATCCTAAAGTGTTGTGGATGTTCAAGAGCTCATCTGCTCTCCCTCGGCGACAACTGCCCTCGATTAACTTCCCGATGCCCCTTTCCCTCTACGACTCAAGCGCTAGTACCTCTTTTCCTTATGTAGGGGAAAAACATAGCTACCCTTCATAAAGTCCTCACTTGAAGAGATTGTTTGGTTGTTTCAAGAAGGGGGACTAGGCCCTTTGGCTCCCTTTTCTAGGCCCATTGTAATTGGGCCCAAGAGGGGTCAAATAGTTTCCTATTGCTAATGTTCAACTATCATCCCTTTTATATTTCCATGTGTTTTTTGTCCAATCCTATTATAAGCAGAACGATTGATGAAGTATTCTTGGGCAGCTACAGCTGTAGCTGAGGGAGGGAGGGGACCTCACGAATATCCTCACAAACTCTAGGGTTCTTCAGGGCCCAGCTATCTTTCCTACTATTAATTGTCAACCGTCATCCCTTTTCGATTTTCATGTGTTTGTTGTCCACTCTTGTTTATCACCAAGGTGATCAGATATTATAGGGAAGCTGCAGCTGTGGTGGGATGGGAGAGCAGGGAACCTCTCTAATTTCCCCACAAATCTAGGTTTCTATATGGCCCAGCTGCATTTCCTACTATTAATCTTCAACTATCCCTTTTCTAGTTCCATGTCTTTTTTTCACTCCTATCCAGGACCAAGGTGTCCTACCATTTGGTATTAGAGCATGACTTAGGACCCATGGCCCCAAGGCCCAGCAACAACCATGTAGACCACCTGATAGAAGAGTTGAGAAAGATTGCGGAAGATATTGTCAGCAAGCTATAGAGGACTTTCCTGCATTGGGACAAGACGGAGGAGTGTCAAATAACAAGAGAACAATGGGGTTTACCAGAGAGAAGAACTCTATGGAAAATGACATCTCAAGTGCGAGGAAGCAAGGACATGCATATGAAGAAGAAGAAGAAGAAAAGTCGAGAAAACTTATCAACTGCAAGTCAAAATAAAGAGATTGTAAGGGAACCATCTAGAATTATCAGCAAGGGTGAGACCAACTAGTTTCTCTGATCTAGGTAGGAATTAACAGAAACAAGAGGCACGAGTTTCTGAAAAGGAAGGATTTTCGAACTCCCTCATTTATTTCTAAATGAACTGAAGATCAAGGATGTGGCTGTTGGCCTAAAACTGAGGAAGATTTCAAAGGTTACATTTCAAAATGACTTTGAGAAATTTTCAAAAAGATGTGGATTATGCTCCTTTAATGTTCATATGGTCATTCTTGAACCCTGAATGCCACCTTTAATGTTCTAAATGAAACTTTAGTAGATAATGCATGTAAATGTGGATCTACAGGAGTATATTTCCACACAAAGGTTTATGATGAGGAAAGTAACCCATTATAAAATCAAATTCATCAAATTCAATGTTGAGGAAAAGAGGTATTAGTTCTCAAGTCATAGAGGAGAAGGGGACATCAAGGAAGTCTACAAGGGGAGCTGTGGCTGAGCTGAGTGAGCAAGGGACTTCTAGAATGTCCCCACCAACTCTAGGGTTCTTTGGGGGCCCAGCTACATCTACTATAAATCTTCAACCATCCCTTTCTTATTTCCATGTTTGTTGTCTGCTCTTATCCAGGACTAGGGTCCTACCAGAGACATGTATTATCTTAAAAGCCTTAACACTATGTTGGACATCTAAATCATGACGAAAGACTCTTCCATTCATTTCCTCAATGGAGAATTAGACTAGATGATTTAAGATATAGAGTTTGTGGCTTGGATGTGCACAAGAGGTAATGTGGTCCTCAAATAAGATTATCTTCAAAATTCTACTGTAATATTCTTTGAGAATGTACAAATAGACAAGACGAGGAGATTTTTCTTTCACATTTCATTTTCATAATATTGCATTGTTAACATTTTTAATTGGACATGTTGTCTTTTCTCATCAAGATCATTTGAAACCAAGTCTAAGGGAGCAGAAGTGTACCGGGCATTTGTTTCAGAAGGGTTGGACAGATTTCCTGAGTAGGAAAAGTTAAGGAAATATCAAAGAAAGAATGGCTCCATCCTCGATTCTCCCTCTGCCACTGCAGCTGCATTAACTCACCACTGGGATGCCAAATGCCTGGAATATTTACATACTCTCGTTCAGAAGTTTGGGAATGCTGGTATGAGCTGCCACCCATTGTATCCTATTATTTTATGACATTAGTATGATCATGTTTGCCCATTTTGTCTCTTGGTATGTGCCTTTATGCAGTTCCATCTCGATAGCCTTCGGACACGCTCATCCGACTTCAGATCATTGACCTTCTTGAGGGACTTAGAGTCGCTCGGCACTTCATGAATGAGATAAAGAATATTTTGGATGAAGTACACAAGTAGAGTCTTAGTTGTTTATTTTCATCCTTTTGAACAATCTCTAGTTATTAAGAGGATGGCTTAAGCTTGTCATAGGCAATGGCTGAAGAATGACGAGGAAATAACATCGAGTATGACCATTTATGCCATGGCGTTTCGTCTGCTGAAGATGCACGGATATGGAGTTTTGTCTGGTGTTCTTCCTCAATCTGTAGCTGCTATTGGCTCTGTTATTCAGTTTTCCATGGATAAGATCTTCAATCACGTGGACACAATTCTAGGTTCAATGGATCAAATAGATGAGGAGCAGTTCAGCCATTCATTGGATGGAAATCTAGAGGATTCAAACACGGTTCTAGAGCTATACAAGGCTTCTCAACTCAAATTCCCGGATGAATGGTCCCTAAAGGAGCTGGGTATCTGGACGAGAAAATTTCTAGCAAAAGAACTGTCAAAATATGGAAAGGATGAGAGGCTCGTAGAGGTTAGCATCTGTGATGACACATGGGATATGATGCTTATAAATAGCCAATAACGTACGGATGCATAATAAATACTCCTTGCTAACACTGGTTTTATTTTTGTTGATATTTCATTGGCAATGGTGCTATTCTCTAAGGTGGATCACGCACTAAAAATCCATGTTTTTTCCCGTTTACCACGTTTAGAACACAGAAGAAACATTGCACAGTTCAATGTTGATCGCTTTCAGACCCTGGAAATGTCTCATGTGTAAGTTTCAAGGAGATTAAGTAATTTTCAGTTGTCTGGGAAAATTCCCCCTGTTTTGATGAAATGGTTTCATGATCTCCATGCTGAAGGTTGCATCACATTGATGCTAAAGAGCTCCTAGCCTTTGTGATTGAAGAGTTCAATGGCTACCCATACTCATACCGCAAAGAACTGGAGCACCTTCAGAGGTGCATGAATTAGATTTTTTTCCTCTGGTTTAATGGAAGTCAGTCTTCTGTTATGTTGACTTTTCTTTTCAATAGATGGGCAAAAGAAAACAGATTGGATCAACTAAATCTTCGTCGACTGATGCTGACATCCTGTTATTTTTCTGCCGCGGCAACGCTCTTTCCCTCTGAAATGTCTGATGCTCGTATGTCATTCGCTAAAAATTCCGTGCTCGCCACTCTGGTTGACGACATCTTTGATAACGTAGGATCCAAAGAGGAACTCGTCAATCTCCTGCAGCTAGTTGATCAGTAAATATTTCTCTCCTTATACTGCTCCTACTTTCCTGTAGCTTTTAAAAGTAGTAATCCCACAATCTTGGCTTATAGTCATTTTATATAAAAACTCTTACCAGATGGGAAGAAGAACACCAAGTAAATTGCCGCTCTGAACAGGTCAAGATCATATATTCCGCATTACATGCCACCATCAATGAGATTGGAGCAAAAGCATCCGTCATGCAGGGGCACGGCGTGCTGGCTCACATAATCAATACTGTGAGTGGTATCATTTTCCTTCCTAATTTCAGCCTCTGGTGTTCCTGAGTACTAATTCTTGGCATGACACTCACGATATGGGGGCAGTGGCGTGATCTGTTGCGGTCTTTTATGAAACAGGCAGAGTGGGCCGCAGAGAAAGCAGTACCCACAATGGAGCAGTACCTGGGTAATGGATATGTATCCTATGCCTTTGGGCCCATCCTCCCCCCAGCGCTCTATTTATTGGTCTAGTGCTCCCCCCTGATATTATTGGAGACCCAGAGTACCACAAGTTGTACCAAATTTTGAGCACATGTGGTCGTCTCCTCAATGACATTCAAGGGTCGGAAGTGAGTTCTTTTCCCCCATAAGTTATCTGTTTCATTTATGATTTTAGTACGGTAGATATTGTTCATTGCAAAATTAGAGCTAATAATTTACACCGACATTGGGGTTACGATTGTTGAACATATTCACAAGGAATGCAGATGCATTTGGGTTTCTGGCTTTAATGTCTGTTCATCTACACTTGCATAATCAAACTTGGTTGAGACAGAGACGAATTCTGACCTGGGTTGACTTGTGAACCGAGTTAGATTGAAGTGCATTAGCCCAGAAGATCAAAATAATGCGCATTTACAGGCTTTCAGCGTTTGTGTTCCATGGGGCTTCTGTTTGAATCTAGAATATGTCATCTGTTGAAGTTTTGAACACAGAATCACCTACCTTTCTCTGAGTAGCTTAAAAATTTGGCACAATTTTAATAAAGGGGGTAAAAAATCTCGATGACGGAGTGAGAAATGTATGTTCTGATGGAGTTCTTATACGTCATATAGGCTTCGACTTAAAATAACTGATCCAATTACCTCTAGGTTCTGTTTTCATTGAACGGTTGTTTTCTCTTAGTTGTTATCCAACTTTTTGATGGGTTCCACTGATTTGTATGTAAAACTCATACCAATCAACGATCTCATGAGTCAGTTAATATACCAGAAAATTATTACTGTTCAAGGTTTGATTTTAATTTTTAATTGACGTATTAAGTTTAGATAATTTGAAAATATTCGGATCTAGCCTTTTCCATGAATTCAATTGTTCTCTGAATACATCGGTCCTGGGGAATACCTTGATAATCTCCGATTTTTTCATCATGAGTTTTAGGTGATTTCCCTATGTATTCATTTTATTCATCTCGTGTGAATCTTGTGAGAGCTAACATAATCACCACCAACAATTCTTGCAGAGAGAAGATAAGGAAGTGAAGCTTAACAGTGTCTCCTTGCTGGTCCTTGAAGGAGGTGGCTCCCTCTCAGTGGATGGTGCAAAGGAAGAACTGAGGTCCCTGGTAGAAAGGAACAGAGAAGAGTTGCTGGAATTGATATTGATGAAAGAGGGGAGCATAGTTCCCAGAGCTTGCAAGGATATATTTTGGAATATGAGCGGGACTCTTCACCTGTTCTATTTAGACAATGATGAGTTCTCTTCTCCCACCATTCAGATTACTGGTGCTGTGAATTCACTCATTCACGATCCCATTGAACTGGTTCACTGCTCGGGCAATGCAAGAAGGGAAAGAGGAGGTCCTTAGTAGCCTGATATGTCAACCTTCTAAGAGAGACAAATGGGTCTTTGAAGTCATCAGAGGAGGCTTCCCCAAAGGAGAACTATGTGAAATGATAGAATGTTAGTAAGAGTTTGTGAGACGATTATGATGTTCTATCACCAAATCTCATCCTTAATGCTATTTTGAAGGCAAAGGAGTTTGTTTTCACACAGATCGGCACATGGGATTGTCCAATTTTTTGAAGTTATCTAAAGTCTTTTCGTAATAATCCAAATTATTTCTTTTATTAATATAGTCACTCACATAGGTGACCAGATGCCAATAAAAGCATGCTGATCTTTCTCACATGTTGCCACTTCAGGTAGCAATTAGTGATAATGAGCATCTGATATAACTAATCCTACCGCCATTTCATCATCGCCCACCATTCATCACATTTCATCCTGAAAACTATTTAATGTCATAATTCAACTCTGAAGTTAATTATGTTTTGAAATTTTGAAAAACAGGGGGAAAATTCTGAAGATTTCGGCCCTCTGTAAATTATGAAGCTCTTGATATCGAGTAAATTTTATTTTCTCGGGGGTATTTAGGAAACAATTTCGATGCATTATCGGGGCAGTGCAGCGTTGACTGTCGGGCAACTTTACGAGCTCTTGAAGAAGTATTTGGGGGTGGGGGTGGTCAGCGGATGATATTCCCATGAATAGACATGGTGGGTCTCCTCGAGAAATAGCTGCGAATGTTGTACGCAGTAAAAAGGGAGGATTTTGTTCGGATTGAACGCACGCAGAATGCGGGCGTAACAACGAAGACTTCCTTATCCAAATAGGAAGAAGGGTTGTCAACTTTGCCTGCTTCCACCCAATACTGTCCTTTCCAACCTCCATCTGCGCCGGCCATGGTGGCTGTGGCTCTGCTGCAGCTTTTGACTGCCAGTTATGGTGGCCTGTGCGGAACCCGTCTCACTAGGATGGGCAACTCGAGGGGCGGTGCTTCCCACGGAGTTCCACGCGGACTTCGAAGGCAGTTCATGACGAGGTATTAAAGAAATATTAAAGTTTTCTCAATTTTTTAATGTTGAATTCATTTTTATAAATACTTACTTCAATAGTTTTTCATCATCAACGTTAATACTTCCTCTCTTGTACAAACCTTTTTGTCTCCAATCGTAGTCTTGACCTTGAAGTAAATCCAAAAACTAT